GACCTGTGCCGCTTCCTGTGTAAGGTAGGGTCGTACTCTGCGAATGTTGTAGAGCATGAACCTACAGGATCGGGTCACAGTTTTGATGTTAGCGGAGAACGACAGGGTGTTGTCCAGGGTCACGCCAAGGTTCTTTGCACTCTGGGAGGAGGACACACCGGAGTTGTCAACCGTGATGGCAAGATCATGGAGCGGGCAGTCCTTCCCCGGGAGGAAGAGCAGCTCCGTCTTGCCGAGGTTCAGCTTGAGGTGGTGATCCGTCATCCACACTGATATGTCTGCCAGACATGCAGAGATGCGATTCGCCACCTGGTTATCAGAAGGGGGAAAGGAGAAGATTAATTGTGTGTCATCTGCGTAGCAATCATAGGAGAGACCATGTGAGGATATGACAGAGCCAAGTGACTTGGTGTATAGAGAGAATAGGAGAGGGTCTAGAACTGAGCCCTGGGGGACACCAGTGGTGAGAGCACGTGGTGCGGAGACAGATTCTCGCCACGCCACTTGGTAGGAGCGACCTGTGAGGTAGGACACAATCCAAGAGTGAGCCGCGCCGGAGATGCCCAACTCGGAGAGGGTGGAGAGGAGGATCTGATGGTTCATAGTATCAAAGGCAGCAGATAGGTCTAGAAGGATGAGAGCAGAGGAGAGAGAGTTAGCTTTAGCAGTGCGGAGAGCCTCCGTGACACAGAGAAGAGCAGTCTCAGTTGAATGACCAGTCTTGAAACCTGACTGGTTTGGATCAAGAAGGTCGTTCTGAGAGCGATAACAAGAGAGTTGGCTAAAGATGGCACGCTCAAGAGTTTTGGAGAGAAAATTAAGAAGGGATACTGGTCTGTAGTTGTTGACATCGGAGGGATTGAGTGTAGGTTTTTTGAGAAGGGGTGCAACTCTCGCTCTCTTGAAGACGGAAGGGAGTAGCGGGAGAGAGAGAGCCAAGGTCGCGACGGCGCATTACCATCTGAGTAGGGGCAGAGCGAGAGAGAAAAGGATACAAAGTAGTGGTCAGAGACTTGGAGGGGAGTTGCAATGAGATTAGTAGAAGAACAGCATCTAGTAAAGATAAGGTCAAGTGTATTGCCTGCCTTGTGAGTAGGGGGAGACTGTGAGAGGGTGAGGTCAAAAGAGAAGAGGAGTGGAAAGAAGGAGGCAGAGAGAAATGAGTCAAAGGTAGCCGTAGGGAGGTTAAAGTCACCCAGAACTGTGAGGGGTGAGCCATTCTCAGGAAAGGAACTTATCAAGGCGTCAAGCTCATTGATGAACTCTCCAAGGGAACCTGGAGGGCGCTAAATGATAAGGATGTTAAGCTTGAATGGGCTAGTGACTGTGACAGCATGGAATTCAAATGAGGAGATAGACAGATGGGTCAGGGGAGAAAGAGAGAATGTTCACTTGGGAGAGATGAGGATTCCTGTGCCACCGCCCCGCTGACCAGAACACATGGTCAGACGAGGAGAAAGCAGTAGGAGTAGCAGTGTTTTCTGTGGTAATCCATGTTTCCGTCAGCGCCAAGAAGTCGAGGGACTGGAGGGTAGCATAGGCTGAGATGAACTCTGCCTTGTTGGCCGCAGAACGGCAGTTCCAGAGGCTGCCGGAGACCAGGAACTCCACGTGGGTCATGCGTGCAGGGACCACCAGGTTAGAGAGGCAGCAGCCACGCGGTGTGAGGCGTTTGTATGGCCAAAAACAAAACAGACTGTGATTTCCAGGACACTGCCCCTTTGTTTCTGGCCTCACTACATCTAAAGTTGCTGGGGCCCCTTTCATTCCCCGCCAATAGATTAGGTAAGGCTATCAGTGGGTACTGGCCCCCTCCTACTCTCTCATCTCCTGACTCATACTGACTCCCTCCTGAGCTTAGCTCTGAATCCTCCTGTTCCTCTCTTTTCTGTTTCTTTAGATCATTACCACAATTTACATGCGTTTGTTTAATCATGGATTCCAGTTTAATTACATCAAGTAGCCCAGTAAAGCCATATATTTTTTTTTTTAATTAGGTCCATAATACACATTTTGTTTGTCTCCAATTTCCATGTATTTCTTGTCCCCAGTCAATTCTGGGACCTCTTGTGAGGATTTGCCTCCCATGGCTGGTACTGTTAACAATCCCTTAGTCACCTCTATATAACAAGTTATTCAAAACAGTTTCACACAACAATTGGAATCACCCCTTCCTGTCTATGTAGTCTTGACTAGTCCCCCAGAATTATCTCATACCGTTACAGAGGAATTTATCCCCTCAAATGTAATGTTGACAATTCCGTCAGTCTCATACAACAGAAATGGGTTCTCCCTCTCCTAGTGATCTTAACCGTCCAAATTTACTCAATTATATTAACCCTCTCTTCACTTCACACCCCTCCCTGTAAGTCCCACTGGAGTCCGCTCATACTGAACCTTTGATCATAAGTTTATTCATATCACAAGATTTCAGCATAAGTGACGGATGTCATGACACCCGGAGAGCGACGTCACAGATTGCAATGGTCGCTCTAACCTCTTCTTCGTTTTTCCCCCAGTATATATAATCTCCCCGAGATATGGGTGGCTCCCTCTACTGTCCAATCCCCTGTCTACAACACACAGACTTCTCTGTCCTATCCGGGGTGTCACATTAAAACCATTCCCTCTGACACTAAAATAAACGTCCTCTCCGGTTCCACTTAAAAACATTAACAACGTCATAATCTTCATATACGACACTTGCAGCCGAGATTCAATGTAGGTTTGGATTCCGTCACCGTCTCTGTCATTAATCAGGTGTCCTCTGGCCTGTCTTAACCCTTAATGTCAAATGGCAGGACTTTCTATTTACCTGGAATGACAGAGGCAGGTATTGGGTTCCGGCTCAGAAGGACCAAGCTGTTATGTGAATTATTTAACAAACTATTTCAGTGTCTCTGTGTGTCTCCCAAAATCAAGAAACGGACAGAGTCCCAGTCTGCATAGTCTGAGATTTATTCATTGAGAATTCTGCCATCACAATTTCAGAGTCCATCTTTTATACTCACACGTCATACAAAAATCCCTCCCCTCTTTAGGCAGGCTGTAGTTTTCCACTTTAAAACTGCTCTCCTGACCATCAGTTCACACACACACACACACACACACACACACACACACACACACACACACACACACACACACACACACACACACACACACACACACACACACATACATACACACATACACACATGCATACACCCACACACACATTCATTCTTTAGTTATCGCCGTTCTCACAATATTCTTCTCTCCTCCCTAAATTGGGAGGCCTCTTTATCTTGGTTTCTCAGTTGCCTGTAGACAGTTCTCCTTGTCCTTTGTTGTCTGGTCTAACTCTTACTCACATTGCTAAATAGTAGCACAGTGTCATCATCTTTACTGGTCCTACACTCACACATTACCAGGTAGTAGATTCTAACACATCTCACACAGTTTCGGAGTGTAATAATTAGTCACTACTAAGAAAGTACTAATCATACTTAAAACAAGAACATTTCACAACTACATTTAGTCATAACTTTTAACCTGTATATATTTTAATTTCTATATCAAGCCGACTACAGACGAAAGTCGAGGAGTTAGTCAGGTGAGGTGCATCTGTGACAGCCGAAAGTTGGACACTGATGGGATTTTTCAACAGCAAGGCTTAGTGCAACATGGCAGTGTTGCCATTGTTTATAAAAAAAATCATTTTGTAATGTTGAAATAAACATGTCTCCAACCCCCATATCACATATTCACAAACTGTAAATATATGTATTGTACTATCAATTTGGGAGTTCATTCAAAATGTACGAATTCAAATGTATTTAATCAAAATTCTATTAAGTTCATCCACCCAAAAATATTTTTTGATTGCAAGGTTAAATCAGTTCGATCGAGTACAGGCTTAACTGGATAAACAACAGAGACAAAAATGTGAATATGAAAGTATTGAAATAGTTTAGGGGATGGCCTCGTCTGTAAAGGATTACCCCCGGAGCCAGATGCTGGCTTGGCAAGTAGCCCTTTGGTGGGCAGCTGGCAGGGAAACCCCCCGGCTGGGAAAAGAGGTTCCGATTACGGGACTTCAGCTGGTGGCAGTGGGGAGGTGGTGGGTCGACGGTAACACTGTTGCTTCAAGACAGCGAGAGAGAAAAAAGTGGTAAAAGATCATTTAAATACATCACAAGATGTACGCCCATTGGTGACCGGAGAGCAAGGTCATTATTGTACAGGTATGCCCATAGGTTATTTAGCAAGCGGGGTGAGGTTGCATTATTCTGCTGTGCTCATTGGCTATAGGGTATAGGTGATTGACAAATCCTGCACGTGGCTAATTGATAGTAAAGGAGGAGGAATGACATGATGTTGTGCTGTTGATGAGAACATTTGTAAACATCAGATATAAATTCCTACTGTGCCCATGATAAAGGATGTGATGTGAATTATGTTGTAGCCTACTACTGAATCAAAGTAGAATGTGAGGATAATCAATCAGACCAGCCTTACTGATTTAACTTACATTAACTACATTAGTTCACTATAGTGACCTTTTATCTGCAGTTGTTGATTAATATCTTAAAGGGATAGTTCACACACAACACGCCAATTTACACAGCGTTCAACGTAACTTTTCAACTACCATTTATTTGAACACTTTGGGCTGGATTCAGTCCGTATCGCAGAAGATCCACGTTAAAATGTAAATGTAATTTCCAAAAGAGCGACCATGAATGCAGTCTCCGCAACCGTCAATTGCGCTATAAAGTGGATCTTCAGTACTGCGGATTGAATAGAGCCCTTTATCTTGCTAACACTGCCCGTCTCTCTGTCATAGGTTCACCATGGGGAGAGAAGGCCTGCTATTAATCTTCCTCCTGTTGCTTCCCCTGGCCTTGGTCTGGGCAGACCCCCCAACCCTAAACTCAATCAGTGATCTCAGTAATATTGAGTTTGGCCACCGCTTCCCACGTCACGGTTTATATCTGCTCTACTTCATCGCCCACAACCTAGTCGTGGATAACAATGATGCCCTCGTACCAATGTTCATACCAGACAGGGGAGACTGGGGCTTCCACTTCTTCAGTAACTTTGAATGTGTGTTTCCACCACTGCAAGATCAAAACCTACAGGCTTACTACGCAGTAGGGAATCTCAATACACCGACACAATACGGACTCGCCCCTTACGTCAGCCAAAGCTATCGCTACACCCCAGGGAATGTGGAGAGGAACAGGGACAGAGTAGTTGTCAGAACCAGCCCCAACAGCCCGCTGTTGGAGGCACTCTATATAACGCAGCACTATCCTCTTAACGATCCCCGGAGCAATCAATATGACCCGGCTAACACCTGGCGCATAAGCCCTGCCCTCCTGAGAGAGATCCGGTCCGTCTCTGCCAACCGGATGGACGGCCTGGCCGTGTTTCTGTACATCGCTGGCTATGACGTAGATTCCAGATCCTTCAACCAGTTCTGCTACTGCTCCAGCTCATCCACTCCCATAAAAACACATCAGGTGGAAGACGCAGCAGGCCCAAGGGCTCACAACGAGTCCACTGCTGTAAAAAACAGAGTTACAGTGAGTGAGAATAATAACCACTTGGAGTGCTATGCCATTGTGCTGCAGGTGAAATCCACTGACAACGGGTACGCCCGGATCAGATGGTCTAATGTCCCTGACAGTGTGCTGGACCTGGGGGTCAAAGTGACCCTCTATAATGACGACATGTGGCTCGCTCACTCTATTGGCAAGAGCAGCTATGGAACCTTTGACACCAACCAGTACCTAAACCACGGCCTGAGCGTCAGTCTCCAGCACATGGATGACACGTACGTCATCATGAGTGGCCCTAAGTTTGACGACACAGACAGGAAGCATCCTGTTGACATCCAAAACTATGATGCCAGTCTGCAGCTCTACACTATAAATGGATATGCCTGCGCTCGCCTGTTTATCAAGAAGACCTTCACCGATTGGAAGGTTAAGTTCTGTAACTCATGGGTTGGCTTCTACTCCAATCACAATAGTGTAAGTAGTGGATATGATACCTTCTACTGGTCTGTGTATTTCAACTATCAGGGAGAGTCAGAAAAATATGACACCTATACATACATGTCTACCATGTCCATCCGACCTGGGGCCCAGGCTCGATTCTTTCTGAATAAAGATTACGACCCCTCTGCACAAACGATTCCCTGGGAACGCTGAAAGAGAACCATGTTTGTTTTAATTTCTTGTCAGTAAGTTCACAACCCTAAATCTACACAGTACTAGTCAATTTGTCTTGAATAGTAGGCCAACCGCAGATTCTGTTAGTTTCATCAGTAATCCTTGATTGTACTAATACTTGACCACAGAAGGGCAGATATTGGCCTATATAAATCATAAAATACAATTAATGTTTTGGAATAAAATGTTCAATATATTTCCTTAAACATCCTGTGTTGTGTGCTTATTATTTTACCATTGTTATGTTCTAGGTCATTTTGAGAGCTTGGAGCCCTGGAGCACCAGGCACTGCTGGAATGTCTACTAGGGGCATGTCCAGCTATTTGGGAGAAATTACACTGGTCATTCAAAACATTTATTAAGCATAAAGTATATATACTTTTAATCAGATACTGCAAAAGGGGATTTGTAAATGGTTTATAAAGATATTACATTCATAAAATATACAGTTGAAGTCAGAAGTTTACATACACCTTAGCCAAATACATTTAAACTCAGCTTTTCACAATTCCTGACATTTAATCATAGTAAAAATTCCCTGTCTTTGGTCAGTTAGGATCACCACTTTATTTAAAAAATGTGAAATGTCAGAATAATAGTAGAGAGAATGATTTATTTCAGCATTTTTTTCATTCATCACATTCCCAGTGGGTCAGAAGTTTACATACACTCAATTAGTATTTGGTAGCATTGCCTTTAAATTGTTTAACTTGGGTCAAACGTTTCGGGTAGCCTTCCACAAGCTTCCCGCAATAGGTTGGGTGAATTTTGGCCCATTCCTCCTGACAGAGCTGGTGTAACTGAATCAGGTTTGTAGGCCTCCTTGCTCGCACACGCTTTTTCAGTTCTGCCCACAAGTTTTCTATAGGTTTGAGGTCAGGGCTTTGTGATGGCCACTCCTATACCTTGACTTTGTTGTCCTTAAGCAATTTTGCCACAACTTTGGAAGTATGCTTGGGGTCATTGTCCATTTGGAAGACCCATTTGCGACCAAACTTTAACTTCCTGACTGATGTCTTGAGATGTTGCTTCAATATATCCACATAATTTTCCTTCCTCATGATGCCATCTATTTTGTGAAGTGCACAAGTCCCTCCTGCAGCAAAGCACCCCCACAGCATGATGCTGCTACCCCCTTGCTTCACGGTTGGGATGGTGTTCTTCGGCTTGCAAGCCACCCCCTTTTTCCTCCAAACATAACGATGGTCATTATGGCCAAACAGTTCTATTTTTGTTTCATCAGACCTGAGGACATTTCTCAAAAAAGTACGATCTTTGTCCCCATGTGCAGTTGCAAACCGTAGTCTGGCTTTTTTATGGCGGTTTTGGAGCAGTGGCTTCTTCCTTGCTGAGCGGCCTTTCAGGTTATGTCGATATAGGACTCGTTTTACTGTGGATATAGATACTTTTGTACCTGTTTCCTCCAACATCCTTTGCTGTTGTTCTGGGATTGATTTGCACTTTTCGCACCAAAGTACGTTCATCTCTAGGAGACAGAACGCGTCTCCTTCCTGAGCGGTATGACGGCTGTGTGGTCCCATGGTGTTTATACTTGCGTACTATTGTTTGTACAGATGAACGTGGTACCTTCAGGCGTTTGGAAATTGCTCCCAAGGATGAACCAGACTTGTGGAGGTCTACAATGTTTTTTCTGAGGTCTTGGCTGATTTATTTTAATTTTCCCATAATGTCAAGCAAAGAGGCACTGAGTTTGAAGGTAGGCCTTGAAATACATCAACAGGTATACCTCCAATTGACTCAAATGATGTCAATTAGCCTATCAGAAGCTTCTAAAGCCATGACATCATTTTCTGGAATTTTCCAAGCTGTTTAAAGGCACAGTGTCACGGTTTCGGCCGAGGCTGCTCCTCCTCCTTGTTCGGGCAGGCTTCGGCGGTCGTCGTCCCCGGAGTACTAGCTGCCACCGTTGTATGTTATCGATGTTTGTTTGGTTTTGTCTTAGTTGTACACCTGTTTCCGTTTAGTGTTAATTATGTGTCCTATAAGTTCTCGTTTTGTTAGTCGTGTGTTGTGTGTAATTGTCCGCCTGTCAGCAGGTGCCGTATTGTTTTGCTCCATTGTTTTGGAGAGTTTCGCACTTGTGTGCGCACTTATTTGTATTTTCGGTGTTTACGCACGGCGTGCGTAATCGCTCGCCTCCGGGCTCTTTTGAGGCCCGTTTGTATTTGCTTGATCGTCTACTAAAGTGTGTTGGACGAAGCTTCTGTGTCCTGCGCCTGATTCCTGCACCACATCCACATTCAGCATTTCCTGCCAGAATTACACACCACCGATGGAATCAGCAGGAGCAGCAGCAGCAGCGCCCGAGTCGTGGGAGGAGCGCGTCCGCGGGCAGGACGACAGGATCAATCAGATCGGGACCGCCCTGCAGGACGTAATAAATACTCTGCACCGATGGGAGAACAGAGGGGTACCCACACCTCCACCTACCTCACCACCCCCATCGGCCAGTCCGCCCATCCAAGCTCCGGAACCCAGTGGGATTCGGCTCTCGCTCCCGAGGGCGTATGATGGCACCGCTGCCGGGTGTCAGGGGTTCCTCCTGCAGGTGGAACTCTACCTGGCCACCGTACACCCGGCGCCCTCGGGACACGAGAGCGTTTCCGCCCTCATCTCCTGTCTCACCGGCAAAGCGTTGGAGTGGGCCAACGCCGAATGGAGGGGGATAGACGCCGCCACTATCACCTACGCGGAGTTCTCCCGCCGCTTCCGGGCCGTGTTCGACCATCCACCTGAGGGGAAAGCGGCGGGGGAGCGTCTATTCTACCTCCGACAGGGGAAGAGGAGCGCCCAGGAGTTCGCCTTGGAATTCCGGACTCTAGCGGCGGATGCAGGGTGGAATGAGCGGGCCCTCATCGACCACTATCGATGCAGTCTGCGGGAGGACGTCCGCCGAGAGCTGGCCTGCAGGGACACCAATCTCTCGTTCGACCAGTTGGTGGACATGTCCATCCGTCTCGACACCCTGCTGGTCACCCGCGGATGTCCCGAGTGGGGGCCGTCCATTCCATCCTCCAGCACCTCAGAGCCGAGCCCTATAGAGCTCGGAGGTGCTGGCGCTAGAGAGAGGAGGAGAGGGAGCCCGAGGGGGGCCGTCCCCTGCACCAACTGTGGCCGTGGAGGGCACACTGCGGCTAGGTGCTGGGGAGGGTCTCCAGGAGGACGAGACAGCAGGCCACGCACTGCGGAGTCCTTCCAGGTGAGTAGGTGCCCCACTTACCCAGAGCTCTCTGTTGTGCACCTATGTATACCTGTCAGTTTTCCACAGGTTGCACCTCATTCCCAGCATAAGGCGCTAGTAGATTCAGGCGCAGCTGGGAATTTTGTTGATCAGAATTTTTGTGTTAAGTTAGAGATTCCCCTCCTTCCTGTCAATGCTCCCTTCCCTGTACATGCACTAGATAGCCGCCTGTTGGGATCGGGGTTGATTAGGGAGGTCACAGCGCCACTTAGGATGAGTACGCAGGGGGGTCATGAGGAAACTATTCAGTTATATCTGATCGACTCTCCTGCGTATCCAGTGGTGCTGGGGCTTCCCTGGTTGATTACCCATAACCCCTCTATTTCGTGGCAACAGAGGGCTCTTAAGGAGTGGTCTGCCCAGTGTGTGGGGCGATGTCTGGGTGTTTCCGTGGGGGCGACCTCGGTGGAGAGTCCGAACCAAGTGCCCGCAATGCACATTCCCCCTGAGTATGAGGAGGTAGCACTCGTGTTTAGCAAGGCGAGGGCGACGCGATTGCCACCTCATAGACAGGGGGATTGTGCGATAGACCTCCAGGCAGGAGCAGCGCTTCCGCGGAGCCATGTGTATCCTCTGTCTCAAGAGGAGAAGGGGGCTATGGAGACATACATAGCCGAGTCTCTGAGACAAGGATACATACGGCCCTCCACTTCCCCTGCGTCCTTGAGCTTCTTTTTTGCGAAGAAAAAGGATGGAGGATTGCGCCCGTGTATTGATTACCATAGTCTCAATCAGATCACTGTGAAATACAGTTATCCACTCCCTCTGATTGCGACTATGACGGAATCATTACACGGAGCGCGTTTCTTCCCAAAACTGGATCTCAGGAGCGCCTACAACTTTGTGCGCATTAGGGAGGGTGATGAATGGAAGACAGCATTTAGTACCACCTCGGGTCATTACGAGTATCTCGTCATGCCATACGGGTTGATGAATGCTCCTTCAGTCTTCCAATCCTTTGTGGATGAGATCTTCCGGGACATGCAGGGGCAAGGTGTGGTCGTGTACATAGACGACATTCTAGTGTACTCGTCTACCCGAGCCGAGCATGTAGCGCTGGTGCGCCGAGTGTTGAGGAGGCTGCTGGAGCAGGACCTGTATGTCAAGGCAGAGAAATGTCTGTTTTTCCAGGAGTCTATCTCCTTTTTGGGTTATCAGTTGTCCGCGTCAGGGGTAAAGATGGAGGTTGACCGTGTGTCAGCCGTGCGTAATTGGCAAACCCCAACCACGGTTAAAGAGGTGCAGCAGTTCTTGGGTTTTGCGAATTACTACCGGAGGTTTATCCGGGGTTTTGGACAGGTGGCAGCTCCCATAACGTCTCTTCTGAAGGGGGGTCCGGTGCGCTTGCAGTGGTCAGCTGAGGCGGACAGGGCGTTTGGGAGACTGAAGGGCCTGTTTACTTCGGCTCCGGTGCTGGCGCATCCGGATCCCGCTTTACCATTTCAGGTAGAGGTGGACGCGTCTGAGGCCGGTATAGGGGCCGTGCTATCGCAACGGTCCGGCACGCCACCTAAACTCCGCCCCTGTGCTTTTTACTCCAAGAAGCTCAGCCCGGCGGAGCGAAATTATGACGTAGGGGACAGGGAGCTGTTAGCCGTGGTACAGGCCCTAAAGGTGTGGAGGCATTGGCTTGAGGGGGCTCAACACCCTTTCCTCATTTTGACTGACCACCGTAACCTGGAGTACATCCGGGCAGCTAGGAGACTGAACCCTCGCCAGGCTCGGTGGAACATGTTTCTAGCCCGGTTCGTATTTAAAATCACGTACATCCCTGGGTCCCAGAACGGTAAGGCAGACGCCCTGTCCCGGCGGTATGACACAGAGGAGAGGTCCGTTGAGCACACTCCCATACTACCGGAGAATTGTCTGGTGGCACCGGTGGTGTGGGAGGTCGATGCTGAAATCGAGCTGGCATTGCGTACCGACCCTAGCCCTCCACAGTGTCCTGTGGGTCGGACGTACGTTCCGCTCGAGGTTCGGGATCGACTTATATATTGGGCTCACACGTCACCCTCCTCTGGACATCCAGGTATTGGCCAGACAGTGCACTGCCTTAGCGCTAAGTACTGGTGGCCAACATTAGCCAGGGATGTGAGGGTTTATGTCTCCTCCTGCTCGGTGTGCGCCCAGTGTAAGGCGCCCAGACACCTGCCCAGGGGGAAGTTACAACCCCTGCCCGTTCCACAACGACCCTGGTCTCACCTCTTGGTGGATTTTGTTACAGACCTTCCCCCCTCTCAGGGGAATACCACCATACTGGTCGTTGTGGTTCTCTAAGGCCTGTCGTCTCCTCCCAATGCCGGGTCTTCCTACTGCCCTACAGACCGCTGAGGCACTATTCACCCACGTCTTCCGGCATTACGGGGTACCCGAGGATATAGTGTCGTATCGAGGTCCCCAGTTCACCTCCCGAGTCTGGAGAGCGTTCATGGAGCACTTGGGGGTCTCTGTGAGCCTTACCTCGGGGTACCACCCGGAGAGCAATGGGCAGGTAGAACGAGTGAACCAGGATGTGGGTAGGTTTCTGAGGTCGTATTGCCAGGGCCGGCCGGAGGAGTGGGCGAGGTATATTCCCTGGGCAGAGATGGCACAGAACTCTCTCCGCCACTCCTCCACCAACCTAACCCCTTTCCAATGTGTGTTAGGGTACCAGCCGGTTCTGGCACCATGGCATCAGAGCCAGATCGAGGCCCCTGCGGTGGATGAGTGGGTGCGGCGCTCGGAGGAGACGTGGAACGCTGCACACGTCCATCTGCAGCGGGCCATCCGTCGACAAAAGGCGAGCGCCGATCTCCACCGCAGTGAGGGGCCGGTGTATGCACCTGGAGATCGAGTCTGGCTCTCGACCAGAAACCTACCTCTCCGCCTGCCCTGCCGGAAGCTGGGTCGGCGGTTTGTGGGGCCTTTTAAAGTCCTGAGGAGATTGAACGAGGTGTGTTACAGGTTACAACTGCCTATTGATTATCATGTTAACCCCTCGTTCCATGTGTCTCTTCTCAGGCCGGTGGTAGCTGGTCCACTCCAGGACTGTGAGATAGGAGAGACTCCTCCGCCCCCATTGGACAGCGAGGGGGCTCCGGCGTACACAGTTCGGTCCATCTTGGATTCGAGACGTCGGATGGGGGGTCTCCAATATCTCGTGGAGTGGGAGGGGTACGGCCCGGAGGAACGGTGCTGGGTGCCGAGGAGGGACATCTTGGACCCGTCTCTCCTGACTGAGTTCCACCGTGGTCATTCCACGCGCCCTGCTCCGTGTCCTCCTGGTCGTCCCCGAGGCCGGGGTCGGCGCACGGCTGGAGCCGCGCGTCAAGGGGTGGGTACTGTCACGGTTTCGGCCGAGGCTGCTCCTCCTCCTTGTTCGGGCAGGCTTCGGCGGTCGTCGTCCCCGGAGTACTAGCTGCCACCGTTGTATGTTATCGATGTTTGTTTGGTTTTGTCTTAGTTGTACACCTGTTTCCGTTTAGTGTTAATTATGTGTCCTATAAGTTCTCGTTTTGTTAGTCGTGTGTTGTGTGTAATTGTCCGCCTGTCAGCAGGTGCCGTATTGTTTTGCTCCATTGTTTTGGAGAGTTTCGCACTTGTGTGCGCACTTATTTGTATTTTCGGTGTTTACGCACGGTGTGCGTAATCGCTCGCCTCCGGGCTCTTTTGAGGCCCGTTTGTATTTGCTTGATTGTCTACTAAAGTGTGTTGGCCGAAGCTTCTGTGTCCTGCGCCTGATTCCTGCACCACATCCACATTCAGCATTTTCTGACCCACTGGAATTGTGGTACAGTGAATTATAAGTGAAATAATCTGTCTGTAAACAATTGTCTGAAAAATTACTTGTGTCATGCACAAAGTAGATGTCCTAACCGACTTGCCAAAACTATAGTTTGTTAACAAGAAATGTGTGTAGTGGTTGAAAAACGAGTTTTAATGACTCCAACCTAAGTGTATGTAAACTTCCGACTTCCACTGTATATATATATATATTGAACACCTTATAGGTGGTCATACAAAGCACGCACGCACGCACACACAGTGGGAGCTACCATGCTACAAACATTACTGCTCATGCTAGAAACCCTAAACTAACCATAGACAATATATCATTTTTATATCTACAGTGGGGAGAACAAGTATTTGATACACTGCCGATTTTGCAGGTTTTCCTACTTACAAAGCATGTAGATGTCTGTTATTTTTATCATAGGTACACTTCAACTGTGAGAGACGGAATCTAAAACAAAAATCCAGAAAATCACATTGTATGATTTTAAAGTAATTAATTTGCATTTTATTGCATGACATAAGTATTTGATCACCTACCAACCAGTAAGAATTCCGGCTCTCACAGACCTGTTAGTTTTTCTTTAAGAAGCCCTCCTGTTCTCCACTCATTACCTGTATTAACTGCACCTGTTTGAACTCGTTACCTGTATAAAAGACACCTGTCCACACACTCAATCAAACAGACTCCAACCTCTCCACAATGGTCAAGACCAGAGAGCTGTGTAAGGACATCAGGGATAAAATTGTAGACCTGCACAAGGCTGGGATGGGCTACAGGACAATAGGCAAGCAGCTTGGTGAGAAGGCAACAACTGTTGGCACAATTATTAGAAAATGGAAGAAGTTCAAGATGACGGTCAATCACCCTCGGTCTGGGGCTCCATGTAAGATCTCACCTCATGGGGCGTCAATGATCATGAGGAAGGTGAGGGATCAGCCCAGAACTATATGGCAGGACCTGGTCAATGACCTGAAGAGAGCTGGGACCACAGTCTCAAAGAAAACCATCAGTAACACACTACGCCGTCATGGATTAAAATCCTGCAGCGCACGCAAGGTCCCCCTGCTCAAGCCAGCGCATGTCCAGGCCCGTCTGAAGTTTGTCAATGACCATCTGGGTGATCCAGAGGAGGAATGGGAGAAGGTCATGTGGTCTGATGAGACAAAAATAGAGCTTTTTGGTCTAAATTCCACTCGCCGTGTTTGGAGGAAGAAGAAGGATGAGTACAACCCCAAGAACACCATCCCAACCGTGAAGCATGGAGGTGGAAACATCATTCTTTGGGGATGCTTTTCTGCAAAGGGGACAGGACGACTGCACCGTATTGAGGGGAGGATGGATGGGGCCATGTATCGCGAGATCTTGGCCAACAACCTCCTTCCCTCAGTAAGAGCATTGAAGATGGGTCGTGGCTGGGTCTTCCAGCATGACCCGAAACACACAGCCAGGGCAACTAAGGAGTGGCTCCTTAAGAAGCATCTCAAGGTCCTGGAGTGGCCTAGCCAGTCTCCAGACCTGAACCCAATAGAAAATCTTTGGAGGGAGCTGAAAGTCCGTATTGTCCAGCGACAGCCCCGAAACCTGAAGGATCTGGAGAAGGTCTGTATGGAGGAGTGGGCCAAAATCCCTGCTGCAGGTGTGCAAACCTGGTCAAGACCTACAGGAAACGTATTATCTCTGTAATTGCAAACAAAGATTTCTGTACCAAATATTAAGTTCTGCTTTTCTGATGTGTCAAATACTTATGTCATGCAATAAAATGCAAATGAATTACTTAAAAATCATACAATGTGATTTTCTGGATTTTTGTTTTAGATTCCGTCTCTCACAGTTGAAGTGTACCTATGATAAAAATTACAAACCTCTACATGCTTTGTAAGTAGGAAAACCTGCAAAATCGGCAGTGTATCAAATACTTGTTCTCCCCACTGTACATACAGTGCCTTGCAAAATTATTCATCCCCCTTGGTGTTTTTCCTATTTTGTTGCATTACAACCTGTAATTTAAATGGATTTCTATTTGGATTTCTTGTAATGGACATACACAAAATAGTCCAAATTGGTGAAGTGAAATGAAAAAAATTACTTGTTTCAAAAAATTCAAAAAAATAAATAACGGAAAAGTGATGCATGCATATGTATTCACCCCCTTTGCTATGAAGCCCCTAAATAAGATCTGGTGCAACCAATTACCTTCAGAAGTCACATAATTAGTTAAATTAAGTCCACATGTGTCAAGGTGACGTGTATGCGGGAAACGAAGTCAAGCGCAGGACACCGAACTACTGGCAGAACGTACTTTACTTAACACAGTAAAGAAAGTATAAAACAAACCTCCAAACAGGGAGGAACAAATAACGCATACAACCAGCACTGCCGACCTAACGGAAAACAATCACACACAATAACCAATGAGAGACAGGGGTTTATAAAGGGAATACAATATAACATAATGGGAAACAGGTGCAAACAATCAGGACAAACTAGACAAACACCGAAACATAGATCGGTGGCAGCTAGTACTCCGGGGACGACGAACGCCGAAGCCTGCCCGAGCAAGGAGGAGGAGCAGCCTCGGCTGATTCCGTGACAGTACCCCCCCCCCTTGACGCGCGGCTCCAGCTGTGCGCCGACCCCGGCCTCGGGGACGGCCAGGAGGACGCGGAGCAGGGCGAGTCGGATGACTCCGGTGGAAGTCCCTCAACATGGAGGGATATAGGAGGTCCTTCCTAGGGACCCAGCACCGTTCCTCCGGACCGTACCCCCCAGCTTCCGGCAGGGCAGGCGAAGGGGCAGGTTTCGGGTCGAGAGCCAGACCCGATCTCCCGGTGCATACACCGGAGCCTCACTGCGGTGGCGATCGGCGCTCGCATTTTGCCGCCTGATAGCCCGCTGCAGATGGACATGCGCCGCGTTCCAGGTTTCTTCCGAGCGCCAAAACCACTCGTCCACCGCAGGGGCTTCGATCTGGCTCTGATGCCAAGGTGCCAGGACCGGCTGATAACCTAGCACACACTGGAAAGGCGTAAGGTTAGTGGAGGAGTGGCGGAGTGAGTTTTGGGCTATCTCTGCCCAGGGAATATATCCTGACCACTCCTCCTGCCGGTCCTGGTAATAGGACCTCAGAAACCTACCCACATCCTGGTTTACTCTCTCCACCTGCCCGTTACTCTCGGGGTGAAAACCTGAGGTAAGGCTAATCGAGACCCCCAGACGTTCCATAAACGCCCTCCAGACTCTAGATGTGAACTGGGGACCCCGATCTGACACTATATCCTCAGGCACCCCGTAGTGCCGGAAAACGTGTGTGAACAGGGCGTCAGCAGTTTGTAGGGCAGTAGGGAGACCTGGCATAGGAATGAGACGGCAGGCCTTCGAAAACCGATCCACAACGACCAAGATCGTCGTGTTCCCCTGGGAGGGGGGAAGGTCCGTGACAAAATCCACCAATAGGTGAGACCACGGCCGTTGTGGAACGGGTAGGGGTTGTAACTTCCCTCTGGGCAGGTGTCTAGGTGCCTTACACTGGGCGCACACCGAGCAGGAGGAAACATAAACCCTCACGTCCTTAGCTAAAGTGGGCCACCAGTACATCCCACTAAGGCAGTGCACTGTCCGACCAATACCAGGATGACCAGAGGAGGGTGACATGTGAGCCCAATATATCAATCGATCGCGAACCTCGAGCGGCACGTACCTCCGACCCTCTGGACACTGTGGGGGAGTAGGATCGGTACGTAACGCCCGCTCGATGTCCGCATCAACCTCCCACACCACCGGTACCACCAGACAAGACACCGGGAGTATGGGAGTGGGCTCAATGGACCTCTCCTCTGTGTCATATAGTCGGGACAGGGCGTCTGCCTTAGCGTTCTGTGACCCTGGTCTATAGGTGAGCTTAAATACAAATCGGGAGAGAAACATAGACCACCTTGCCTGGCGAGGGTTCAGCCTCCTCGCTGCCCGGATGTACTCCAGGTTACGATGTTCAGTCAGAATGAGAAAAGGGTGTTTAGCCCCCTCAAGCCAATGCCTCCACACCTTCAGGGCCTGAACCACAGCCAACAGCTCCCTGTCCCCCACGTCATAATTGCGCTCCGCCGGACTGAGCTTCGTAGAATAGAAAGCACAGGGGCGGAGTTTTGGTGGCGTACCCGAGCGCTGAGACAGCACAGCGCCGATCCCAGCCTCGGACGTATCCACCTCAACTTGGAACGCCAAAGAGGGATCCGGATGTGCCAGCACCGGAGCCGAGGTAAACAGGTCCTTCAGATGTCTAAATGCCCTGTCCGCCTCAGCCGACCACTGCAGACGCACCGGACCCCCCTTTAGCAGGGAGGTAATGGGAGTTGCTACCTGTCCAAAGCCCCGGATAAACCTCCGGTAGTAATTGACAAAACCCAAGAACCGCTGCACTTCCTTCAACGTGGTGGGAGTCTGCCAATTACGCACGGTAGGAAACGCGGTCAATCTCCATCTCCACCCCTGACGCGGACAACTGATGTCCCAGGAAGGAGATGGACTCCTGGAAAAACAGACATTTCTCCGCCTTCACATACAGGTCATGCTCTAACAGTCTACCAAGCACTCGACGCACCAGGGACACATGCTTGGCTCGTGTAGCGGAGTATGTTAGAATGTCATCAATATACACCACTACACCCTGTCCATGCAAGTCCCGGAAAATCTCGTCCAAAAATGATTGGAAGACTGAAGGAGCATTCATTAAACCGTATGGCATGACGAGGTACTCATAGTGACCCGAGGTGGTACTGAATGCTGTCTTCCACTCATCTCCCTCCCTAATGCGCACCAGGTTGTACGCGCTCCTGAGATCCAATTTTGTGAAGAATCGCGCCCCGTGTAATGACTCCGTCATACTAGCAATCAGAGGGAGAGGATAGCTGTATTTGATTGTGATATGATTGAGACCACTGTAATCAATACACGGGCGTAAACCCCCATCCTTCTTCTTCACAAAAAATAAACTTGAGGACGCAGGGGAAGTGGACGGTCGTATGTATCCCTGTCTCAGAGATTCGGTGACGTATGTCTCCATAGCCGCCGTCTCCTCCTGAGACAGAGGATACACATGACTACGCGGAAGCGCAGTGCCTACTTGGAGGTCTATCGCACAATCCCCCTGTCGATGAGGTGGTAATTGAGTCGCCTTCTTTTTACAGAAGGCGAGTGCCAAATCGGCATACTCAGGTGGAATGTGCATGGTGGGAACTTGGTTTGGGCTTCCCACCGTTGTTGCCCCTACGGAAACATCTACACACCGCCCGAAACACTGATCAGACCATCCCTTGAGAGCCCTCTGTTGCCATGAAATGTTGGGGTCATGAGATGTTAACCAGGGAAGGCCCAACACCACGGGAAACGCATGAGAATCAATCAAATACAAACGTAGTATCTCCTCATGACCCTCCTGCGTTTTCATCCTGAGCGGCGCTGTGACTTCCCTAATAATAATAATAATAATAATATGCCACAATCCTGACCCCAAAGGGCGGCTATCTAGGGCATGGATGGGGAAGGGCACATCAACAGGTACAATAGGAATCCCTAACTTATACAGTGGGGGAAAAAATGATTTAGTCAGCCACCAATTGTGCAAGTTCTCCCACTTAAAAAGATGAGAGAGGCCTGTAATTTTCATCATAGGTACACGTCAACTATGACAGACAAATTGAGGGAAAAAAATCCAGAAAATCACATTGTAGGATTTTTTATGAATTTATTTGCAAATTATGGTGGAAAATAAGTATTTGGTCACCTACAAACAAGCAAGATTTCTGGCTCTAACAGACCTGTAACTTCTTCTTTAAGAGGCTCCTCTGTCCTCCACTCGTTACCTGTATTAATGGCACCTGTTTGAACTTGTTATCAGTATAAAAGACACCTGTCCACAACCTCAAACAGTCACACTCCAAACTCCACTATGGCCAAGACCAAAGAGCTGTCAAAGGACACCAGAAACAAAATTGTAGACCTGCACCAGGCTGGGAAGACTGAATCTGCAATAGGTAAGCAGCTTGGTTTGAAGAAATCAACTGTGGGAGCAATTATTAGGAAATGGAAGACATACAAGACCACTGATAATCTCCCTCGATCTGGGGCTCCACACAAGATCTCACCCCGTGGGTCAAAATGATCACAAGAACGGTGAGCAAAAATCCCAGAACCACACGGGGGGACCTAGTGAATGACCTGCAGAGAGCTGGGACCAAAGTAACAAAGCCTACCATCAGTAACACACTACGCCGCCAGGGCGTGGAGGACAAAGAATGCTGAGTTGCATCCAAAGAACACCATACCTACTGTGAAGCATGGGGGTGGAAACATCATGCTTTGGGGCTGTTTTTCTGCAAAGGGACCAGGACGACTGATCCGTGTAAAGGAAAGAATGAATGGGGCCATGTATCGTGAGATTATGTGTGAAAACCTCCTTACATCAGCAAGGGCACTGAAGATGAAACGTGGCTGGGTCTTTCAGCATGACAATGATCCCAAACACACCACCCGGGCAACGAAGGATTGGCTTCGTAAGAAGCATTTCAAGGTCCTGGAGTGGCCTAGCCAGTCCCCAGATCTCAACCCCATAGAAAATCTTTGGAGGGAGTTGAAAGTCTGTGTTGCCCAGCGACAGCCCCAAAACATCACTGCTCTAGAGGAGATCTGCATGGAGGAATGGGCCAAAATACCAGCAACAGTGTGTGAAAACCTTGTGAAGACTTACAGAAAACGTTTGACCTGTGTCATTGCCAACAAAGGGTATATAACAAAGTATTGAGAAACTTTTGTTATTGACCAAATACTTATTTTCCACCATAATTTGCAAATAAATTCATTAAAAATCCTACAATGTGATTTTCTGGAATTTCTTTTCTCATTTTGTCTGTCATAGTTGACGTGTACCTATGATGAAAATTACAGGTCTCTCTCATGTTTTTAAGTGGGAGAACTTGCACAATTGGTGGCTGACTAAATACTTTTTTTCCCCACTGTAGTTGAATTGGCGATCGATAAAATTCCCAGCTGCGCCTGAATCTACTAGCGCCTTATGCTGGGAGTGAGGAGAAACCTCGGGAAACACAACTTTAATACACATATGCGCAACAGAGAGCTCTGGGTGAGTTGGGTGCCTACTCACCTGGAATGACTCATCAGTGCGCTGCCTACCGCCTCGATTCCTAGGAGACCCTCCCCAGCACCGACCAGCAGTGTGTCCTCTGCGGCCACAGTTGGTGCAGGGGACGGCCTCCCTCCTGGTCACTCTCCTGGTCTCCCTTGCACCAGCACCTCCGAGCTCCATAGGGGTCGGCTCGGAAGTGCTGGGGGATGGAATGGACGGCCCTGAATCCGGACGTCCGCGGGTAGCCAACAGGGTATCCAGGCGAATTGACATGTCCACCAGTTGGTCGAAGCTGAGGTTGGTGTCCCTGCAGGCCAATTCCCGACGCACGTCCTCCCTCAGGCTGCATCTGTAGTGGTCGATGAGGGCCCTCTCATTCCATCCCGCGTTGGCAGCCAGCGTCCGGAAGTCCAGCGCGAACTCCTGTGCGCTCCTCCTCCCCTGTCTAAGGTGGAATAGACGCTCACCCGCCGCTTTACCCTCTGGTGGATGATCGAATACTGCCCTGAAGCGGCGGGTGAACTCTGCATAGTTGACAGTAGCGGCGTCTATTCCCCCCCACTCGGCATTGGCCCACTCCAGCACCTTGCCGGACAGACAGGAGATGAGGGCGGACACGCTCTCGTATCCCGAGGGCACCGGGTGGATGGTTGCTAGGTAGAGTTCAACCTGGAGCAGGAAACCCTGACACCCGGCCGCTGTGCCATCATAAGCCCTCGGGAGCGAGAGCCGAATCCCACTGGACCCCGGAAGTGAAGCGATGGGCATCGCCGATGGTGGTGGTATCGTTGGAGAAGGCGTAGGCAGACCCTTTCTTTCCCATCGCCCAATAGTGCTCACCACCTGTTCCATGGCGGTGCCGAGAGCCTGGATCATGGCCGCTTGGTGTTCGACGCGTTCCTCCATTGATCGAGCTGGCACTGCCGCTCCTGCTGACTCCATGAGTGGTGTGTGATTCTGTCAAGGTGACGTGTATGCGGGAAACGAAGTCAAGCGTAGGACACCGAACTACTGGCAGAACGTACTTTACTTAACACAGTAAAGAAAGTACAAAACAAACCTCCAAACAGGGAGGAACAAATAACGCATACAACCAGCACTGCCGACCTAACGGAAAACAATCACACACAATAACCAATGAGAGACAGGGGTTTATAAAGGGAATACAATATAACATAATGGGAAATAGGTGCAAACAATCAGGACAAACTAGACAAACACCGAAACATAGATCGGTGGCAGCTAGTACTCCGGGGACGACGAATGCCGAAGCCTGCCCGAGCAAGGAGGAGGGGCAGCCTCGGCTGATTCTGTGACAACCTGTGTGCAATCTAAGTGTCACATGATCTGTCACATGATCTCAGTATATATACACGTGTTCTGAAAGGCCCCAGAGTCTGCAACACTACTAAGCAAGGGGCACTACCAAGCAAGTGGCACCATGAAGACCAAGGAGCTCTCCAAACAGGTCAGGGACAAAGTTGTGGAGAAGTACAGATCAGGGTTGGGTTATAAAAAAATATCAGAAACTTTGAACATCCCACAGAGCACCATTAAATCCATTATTAAAAAATGGAAAGAATATGACACCACAACAAACCTCCCAAGAGAGGGCCGCCCACCAAAACTCACGGACCAGGCATGGAGGGGATTAATCAGAGGCAACAAAGAGACCAAAGATAACCCTGAAGGAGCTGCAAAGCTCCACAGCGGAGATTGGAGTATCTGTCCATAGGACCACTTTAAGCCGTCCACTCCACAGAGCTGGACATTACGGAAGAGTGGCCAGAAAAAAGCCATTGCTTAAAGAAAAAAATAAGCAAACACTTTTGGTGTTCGCCAAAAGGGATGTGGGAGATTCCCCAAACATATGGAAGAAGGTACTCTGGTCAGATGAGACTAAAATTGAGCTTTTTGGCCATCAAGGAAAACGCTATGTCTGGCGCATACCCAACACCTCTCATCACCCCGAGAACACCATCCCCACAGTGAAGCATAGTGGTGGCAGCATCATGCTGTGGGGATGTTTTTCATAGGCAGGGACTGGGAAACTGGTCAGAATTGAAGGAATGATGGATGGCGCTAAATACAGGGACATTCTTGAGGGAAACCTGTTCCAGTCTTCCAGAGATTTGAGAATGGGACGGAGGTTCACCTTCCAGTAGGACAATGACCCTAAGCATACTGCTAAAGCAACACTCGAGTGGTTTAAGGGGAAACATTTAAATGTCTTGGAATCGCCTAGTCAAAGCCCAGACCTCAATCAAATTGAGAATCTGTGGTATGACTTAAAGATTGCTGTACACCCATCCAACTTGAAGCAGCTGGAGCAGTTTTGCCTTGAAGAATGGGCAAAAATCCCAATGACTACACCTGATCTTTCCACGACATAGATAATAAAATTGTATTTGTCACATGCTCTAAATACAACAGGTGTAGACCTTACCGTGAAATGCTTACTTACGAGCCCTTAACCATCAATGCAGTGTAAAAAATAAATCCAGGTGAAAGCTATGATCCCTTATTGATGTGTATACACTGAGTGTACTAAACATTAGGAACACTTTCTAATATTGAGTTGCACCCCCTTTTGCCCTCAAAACAAAATAATCCTTCTTTAACCTGTCTCCTCCCCTTTATCTAAACTAATTGGAGTGGATTTAACAGGTGACATTAATAAGGGATCATAGCTTTTATCTGGATTCACCTGGTCAGTCTGTCATGGAAAGAGCAGGTGTTCCTAATGTTCTGTACACTCAGCATATATATTTTTTATGAGAGCTATATTTGCTAGTTGGTTTTTACACAGTCACTTCATTTTGAGGTAATATTGAACCAGGCTATTCCTATCCAAGGCTGGCTAGTTTGATGTGCAGTGTTCCTAGTCTTTCATGACAAATGTTTACATGAATGTAAAGGTGAATAAAAATATATAGACTGACTTATTGTATGCTAATATATATTCTTCAACAAAAATATAGGATGCTGCCATTCTCAAGAGGCTTTCTTGTTTGTGTGTGCCTGTATGTGTGCCAGTGTGTATGTGTGATAGGGTTAGGTTCAATTCCTTTTCAAATCAGTCAAATCAGGAAATTCCAATTTCAGTTTTCCTCAATGCCTCTTAAAGAATTGGAATTTCAGTTTACTCCCTGAATTTACTGAATTTAAATGGAATAGACCCCAACTCTGATGTGTGCTTCTGAATATCAGTGACAATGCTCCCTCCTCTTTCTGGCTGAGGGGGCTACTGAGGAAGTGCTCAGGTCTCCTTCTTCATTCTGGCTGGCTGCTCTCTTGTGCCACCTGCTGCCAGACGCCTTATCTGCCTTACCAGCGGGTCTCTATCGCTGTTGCTTCTGTTGCAGTGTGCTGGGGTCTTTGAAAAACAGTTTAGGCCTCTTGAGCTGGCTCACTTTTCTGATTGACAAGACTATCGCTTCGTCACTTCCAGGAAAGGTATCCAGACACCTGATTGACGTTGGCACTGGCCTCTACATGCTGCACAGCACTCTGGGACATGTCTGGATGCTGCAAGGCCTGCTGGATTAGCTCGGGACTGGACACAGCCTTCTGAGATGAGCCTGCACAACCAACCTTCCTCAGGAAGGTGATTGTAGAACGGTTTTCTGGGCTCGACACAGGATGGACTTAGATTACTTTGACCTTGTGCCGGTCAGTAGTTCCTCAGAGGAGGAAGTGGAGGACCATCCTTCTCAGTGATTTTTTATTTTTATTTTTTAAACACACTGTATTGCAATGAAGGTCTACAGTAGCCTCAACAGCACTCTTTAGGTTAGCAGCATGGTGTAGCCAGAGGACAGCTACCTTCCGTCCTCCTCTGGGTACATTGACTTCAGTACAAAACCTAGGAGGCTCATGGTTCTCACCCACTTCCATAGACTTACACAGTAATTATGACAACTGGAGGATGTCCTCCAACCTATCAGAGCTCTTGCAGCATGAACTGACATGTTGTCCACCCAATCGAAGGATCAGATAATGAATCTAGTAATGGATCGGCAGCAGCTACTCTTCCTGGGGTCCAGCAAAATTAAGGCAGTTATACATTTTAAAAATATTACAATACATTCATAACAGAACATATTAAGTGTGTGCCATCAGGCCTCTACTCTACTAATCTAATTTTACTGCTGGCATGAGTTACTTGATGTGGAATAGAGTTCCATGTAGTCATGGCTCTATGTAGTACTGTGCGCCTCCCATAGTCTGTTGTGGACTGTGAAGAGACCTCTGGTGGCATGTCTTGTGGGGTATGCATGGGTGTCCGAGCTGTGTGCCAGTAGTTCAAACAGACAGCTCAGTGCATTCAACATGTCAATACCTCTCACAAATACAAGTAGTGATGAAGTCAATCTCTCCTCCACTTTGGGCCAGGAGAGATTGACATGCATATCATTAATGTTAGCTCTCTGTGTACATCCAAGGGCCAGCTGTGCTGCCCTGTTCTGAGTCAATTGCACCTGGCCACACTACTGAACAGTAGTCCAGGTGCGACAAAACTAGGGCCTGTAGGACCTGCCTTGTTGATAGTGCTGTTAAGAATGCAGAGCAGCGCTTTATTATAGACAGACTTCTCCCCATCCTAGCTACTGTTGTATCAATATGTTTTGACCATGACAGTTTGCAATTCAGGGTTACTCCAAGCAGTTTAGTCTCCTCAACTTGCTAAATTTCCACATTATTCATTACAAGATTTAGTTGAGGTATGAAAGTGAACTGTGTTCACACGTGATCAGGGGTGTATTAGTTGAGGTATGAAAGTGAACTGTGTTTACGCGTGATCAGGGGTGTATTAGTTGAGGTATGAAAGTGATCAGGGGTGTATTCATTCCTCAGATTCAGTTGAAAAACGTTTTTTAAACGGAAGCAAGAGGAACGAAATGGGGATAAACATACCTGAATTTGACCAATAGAAATTCTCGATTGCAACTGTTGGACTAATGATTACACCCTAGATCAGGTAGATGCAGGCAAGAATGTGCTGGGCGGTACTAAATGTGAAACTGTCTGTCCATGTCACTGTCTGTCACCTCAAATTTGTTTATTGTGTGCACCTACGTTGTAAACATTTGTTCATAGGCTAGGTGAACCATCCCTACGGTGAAACATGGTGGTGGCAGCATCATGCTGTGGGGATGTTTTTCAGCGGCAGGGACTGGGAGAATTGTCAGGATCGAGGGAAAGATGAACGGAGCAAAATACAGAGAGATCCTTGATGAAAACATGCTCCAGAGCACTCAGGACCTTAGACTGGGGTGAAGGTTCACCTTCCAACAGGACAACGACCCAAAGCACACAGCCAAGACAACGCAGGAGTGGCTTCGGGGTAAGTCTCTGAATGTCCTTGAGTGGCCCAGCCAGTGCCTGGACTTGAACCTGATCTAACATCTCTGGAGAGACCTTATGTAAATAGCTGTTTCCGGGGGGGTTTTGTTATACATTTGCAGAAAAATCTAAAAACCAGTTTTTGCTTTGTTATTATGGGGTATTGTGTGTAGATTGATAAGGGGGGGAAAACAATTTAATCAATTTTAGAATAAGGCTCTAACGTAACAAAATCTGGAAAAAGTAAAGGGGTCTGAATACTTTACGAGTGCACTGTAAGTAAACAATGTGCAAATTAATAAATGCATGACGGTGGCGCAATGTTTAGAGAGAATATTTAGGATATACACAACTTGTCAAAAGTTTTAGAACACCTACTCATTCAAGGGTTTTCTATTTTCTACATTGTAGAATAATAGTAAAGACATCAAAACTATGAAATAACATACATGGAATTATGTAATAACCAAGAAAGTGTTAAACAAATCAAAATATATTTTATATGTGAGATTCTTCAAATAGCCACCCTTTGCCTTGATGACAGTTTTGTTGCAACACACACTCCACAAACACCACACTCATCCTCCAGGTAGAAGAACCCGAGCCTCTGGGAGTGGAGGCTACACACACCATGTGGGCACTTGGAACCAGGTTGTTTACCCTGTCAGAGTCCCTTCTTGGTAGGCTTTTCTCTGGTCTTTTCTGTGGGGCCCTGGGTGTCCTTACTGTTCCACTCCTTCAGCAGGGTCTCATAGATGCTCCTCAGAGCCAGGTTGGTACGGGGATGGTCTCTGGAGGACCTGCGTCTGCAAATTGGACAGTCCTTGATCCCTCTCTGCTCCCTCCAGGTCTCCCCCAGGCAGGGCCTGCAGAAGCTGTGGCTGCAGGAGAGGAGCACCGGATGGGGCATGTTAGGTCCTCTCCCAGAAAGAGAAGGGCTGCCATACTGGACAACTGGAGATGGAGTCAAAGGAAAGGGAAACATTTATATTTTCTTATAAATGCATCTCTTTCACAGAAAGAAAAATGCAGGCCAAAGAGTGTAAGAACTCGGTGGGCAGGTGCTGCCAGCACACTGCCTAAAGGCTCTATTGAATCTGTATTGCTGAAGCGTTACTAATTGCGCGCTAGAAATGTAAAGGTAATTTTCAGATTGAGCCAACATATGCAGCAGCATTTACCATGAATGCAGTCTCCGCTAACATGGAAATTATCAAATGTAGCTATCTAGGCATTTTGCAAGTGTGATTGTGATTTAACATTTGTATTTAATTTTGAAACTGATAGAAAAACAGGCTTTTGCGAAGTCAAGAAGCATCTATCCCAATCTCTATCATTGACACAAGCTACACAACTCACCTCGTGAATCTTGAAAGGTGGAAATGAAATAACATAGAATGTATGTGAGGTAGCTACTAACAAGGAAACAGTGTTATTGCATAGAATGTTGGGTGAACGTCTGGGAATTGTGAGGTAGCTACTGACAAGGAAACAGTGTTATTGCATAGAATGTTGGGTGAACGTCTGGGAATTGTAAGGTAGCTACTGACAAGGAAACAGTGTTATTGCATAGCATGTTGGGTGAACGTCTGGGAATTGTGCAAATGCCAAAGTCAAAGGGGGTGAAACTAAAGTATGTAACTAAAGAACAAACCTGCTTAGGGTAGCACTCGCCTTGTCTTTGATGCAGCCGTCTCAATACAAGCCCAGTGCTGCACAATCTTCACCGTTTGCTTCAGCTGCACCTCTTCAGACCGACAACAAGTGCAGTTCAGTGTATGGACCAGTGGGTGGAGGCATACAACATGGATTTTAATTGACAACAGCTTGGAGTGATTTAAAAAACGACAGAAAATAAATCAACCACAATTTCGTTAACAATACCATCAATTTAAGATTTTTTTCTCTGTAATGAATATCGCTCTATAAGTTAAATAAATTATTATATTATTAATTTCTCTAGGTTAGGCTATCTAAGCTCACATTTATGAGAGTGTGGGAGATGTTCTATGTGTGTGTGTCTGTCTGCGCGTACTGCGTCTTGGGTTGGGCTGTTAGTGGGATGGTGGTCTTGTGGTCTGTGGTTGCATAAGATCCCACTACATACCAGCTCCCTGAGCTAATCTTTGTGAGAAGACGATAGGCATACAGTCAGTAGCAGAGAGGAGGTTATACCCTCTCTCTCTCTCCACGTGCCCTAAGGAAGCAAACGCCCCGACCAGGCCACCCTACAGCCCACGCAGACACACATGGAGAGGGACAAGACAGGGCTTGCCCCCTGCTACCTACCACGAGTCATTAACAAACCATTTACATTGAACACAAATCCTGATTTATGTTGAAAACCATTCCATTCAATGGACAGGATTACCTGTTAATCCATACACCTCCATCATCATCTGTAGGGCTTATGATGTGGCGATGATTTAGACATTCTGTTGTGCATGTCTGGCAGGATAATGATTTTATGGGCATTTCCCTTTGTTTAAACAAAAGTTTGATTATGTCATCATAACACCTTTGACACAGACGATAAAGTCATCCATACAAAACATTTATATTTCTTTAGAGTACCTTACAGTGGGCATGTTGGCAATTGTCTAGTACAGTAAGAGTATGTAAGTGTGTAAACATGAATGAGACAGAAAGAATGCATATAAACATGAGTGTCCATAAGCTACAGCTCAGGCACATATCCATGTGTGAATGTGAGGGTGTGTTCGAATGAGTGCCATAGAACGAGTCTACAGCCCATTAATGTGTGTGTAAATTAGCAGCAAGCATGCATTAACGCGTACTCTCTTGCCTGTCTCTCTGTGCCCCTCTCCAGCCCCGAGGCCCCTTCCTGTGGACAGTGTCCAGCCCCAGAGCCTTACATAACTGCAGAGGAATGCTGGAACGTAACACTGCCTGGAGCTCTGGACCATCAGACACGGAGAGAGGAGCCAGCAAATCATAATAATAATAATAATCTATTACATTTGTAAAGTGCTTTTCATTATACAAGAATAATCTCAAAGTGCATAAAGTAAAAGATAAACTAGAAAACAATTGTTTTATTATTTACATATACACTCAGTGGCCAGTTTATTAGATACACCCATTTAGTACAGGGTCGACCCCCCTTTGCCTCTAGAACAACACTCGACCACTCTCATCAACAAGCCGTTTTCGCCCACAGGACTGCCGTTGACTGGATATTTTTTGTTTGTCACACCATTCTCGGTAAACCCTAGACACTGTCATTCGTGAAAAGCACAGGAGGTTGGCTGTTTCTGAGATACTGGAACCGGTGTGCCTGGCACCGACGATCATACCACGCTCAAAGTCACTTAGGTCACTTGTTTTGCCCATTCTAACGGGGGTAGAATGATTACTTTTATACTATTCCAGGTATTCCTTAAAGAGGTAGGGTTTCAAGTGTCTCCGGAAGGTGGTCAGTGACTCCGCTGTCCTGGCGTCGTGGGGGAGCTTGTTCCACCATTGGGGTGCCAGAGCAGCGAATAGCTTTGACTGGGCAGAGCGGGAACTGTGCTTCCGTAGAGGTAGGGGGGCTAGCAGGCCAGAGGTGGATGAACGTAGTGCCCTCGTTTGGGTGTAGGGTCTGATCAGAGCCTGAAGGTAAGGAGGTGCCGTTCCCCTCACAGCTCGGTAGGCAAGCACCATGGTTTTGTAGTAGATGCAAGCCTCAACTGGAAGCCAGTGGAGTGTGCGGAGGAGCGGGGTGACATGAGAGTTACTTGGGAAGGTTGAACACCAGACGGGCTGCAGCGTTCTGGATAAGTTGTAGGGGTTTAATGGCACAGGCAGGGAGCCCAGCCAACAGCGAGTTGCAGTAATCCAGATGGGAGATAACAAGTACCTGGATTAGGACCTGTGCCGCTTTCTGTGTAAGGTAGGGTCGTACTCTGCGAATGTTGTAGAGCATGAACCTGCAGGATCGGGTCACCGCTTTGATGTTAGCGGAGAACGACATGGTGTTGTCCAGGGTCACGCCAAGGTTCTTTGCACTTTGGGAGGAGGACACAATGGAGTTGTCAACCGTGATGGCGAGATCATGGAGCGGGCAGTCCTTCCCTGGGAGGAAGAGCAGCTCCGTCTGCCGAGGTTCAGCTTGAGGTGATGATCCGACATCCACACTGATATGTCTGCCAGACATGCAGAGATGCGATTCGCCACCTGGTTATCAGAAGGGAGAAAGGAGAAAATTAATTGTGTGTCGTCTGCGTAGCAATGATAGGAGAGACCATGTGAGGATATGACAGAGCCAAGTGACTTGGTGTATAGAGAGAATAGGAGAGGGCCTAGAACTGAGCCCTGGGGGACACCAGTGGTGAGAGCACGTGGTGCGGAGACAGATTCTCGCCACGCCACCTGGTAGGAGCGACCTGTCAGGTAGGACGCAATCCAAGAGTGAGCAGCGCCGGAGATGCCCAAATCGGAGAGGGTGGAGAGGAGGATCTGATGGTTCACAGTATCAAAGGCAGCAGATAGGTCTAGAAGGATAAGAGCAGAGGAGAGAGAGTTAGCTTTAGCAGTGCGGAGAGCCTCCGTGACACAGAGAAGAGCAGTCTCAGTTGAATGACCAGTCTTGAAACCTGACTGGTTTGGATCAAGAAGGTCATTCTGAGAGAGATAGCAGGAGAGTTGGATAGAGACGGCACGCTCAAGAGTTTTGGAGAGAAAAGAAAGAAGGGATACTGGTCTGTAGTTGTTGACATCGGAGGGATCGAGTGTAGGTTTTTTGAGGAGAGGTGAAACTCTCATTCTCTTGAAGACGGAATGGACATGGCCAGTGGTCAAGGATGAGTTGATGAGCGAGGTGAGGTAAGGGAGAAGGTCTCCGGAAATGGTCTGGAGAAGAGAGGAGGTGATAGGTTTAAGCGGGCAGGTTCTTGGGCGGCTTTAACAGCCTCAACAGTCTGAGCAGCCTTTGGGAGTTCCAAAGGTGTGATGCGTGGGAGGAAAGGCACGGTCCCCCATTGTATACACACCATGCCACCTACGACACTCCCCTTCCCCCCAACCCTAGAAGGCAATGTCTGCCCCCTGGCCCTGAATGAGATTACCTAGCAGAACAACTTCCAGACCAAAAGTCAAGTCTGTCTGAGGAACTCATGGTGGTCTATGGATTAGGTGCAATATGAAGAGTTTCATTCCAAAACTCTATATATCAATTTTCATACATTTTGGTAAATTGGCTTTTATTGTTAGAAGAACTTAAAAAAGGGATTTGTGTTTTTTATCCCCATTTGATCCTGGCATGGTTTTGTTAAATGACAGACATATGCAGTATTTGTTGAAATCTATCACTAGGTTTCATTTTAGAGTGACAAATAATGATGTTTTGTTGCAAAATGCTATCAGTGCATACGGAAAGTATTCAGACCCCTTCCCTTTTTCCACATTTAGTTAAGTTACAGCCTTATTCTAAAATGGATTACATTATTTTTTTTCCTCATCAATCTACACACAATATCCCATAATGATAAAGCGGAAACAGGTTTTCAGAAATGTTTGCAAATGTATTATAAATAAAAACTGAACAATCGGGGGAGAAGAGCCTTGGTCAGGGAGGTGACCAAGAACCCGATGGTCACTCTGACAGAGCTCCAGAGTTCCTCTGTAGAGATGGGAGAACCTTCCAGAAGGACAACCATCTCTGCAGCACTCCACCAATCAGGCCTTTATGGCAGAGTTGCCAAAAGGCACCTAAAGGACTCTCAGATCATGAGAAACAAGATTCTCTGGTCTGATGAAACCAAGATGGAACTCATTGGCCTGAACGCCAATCGTCACGTCTGGAGAAAGCATGGCACCATCCCAAAGGTGAAGCATGGTGGTGGCAGCATCATGCTGTGGGGAGGTTTTTCAGCGGCAGGGACTGGGAGACTAGTCAGGATCGAGGGAAAGATGAACGGAGCAAAGTACAGAGAGATTCTTGATGAAAACCTGCTCCAGATCCCTCAGGACCTCAGACTGGGGCAAAGGTTCACCTTCCAACAGGACAATGACACTAAGCACACAGCCAAGACAACACAGGAGTGGCTTCGGGACAAGTCTCTGAATGTCCTTGAGTGGCCCAGCCAGAGCCCGGACTTGAACCCAATCGAAAATCTCTGGAGTGACCTGAAAATAGATGTACAGTGACGCTCCCCATCCAACCTGACAGAGCTTGAGAAGATCTGCAGAGAAGAATGGGAGAAACTCCCCAAATACAGGTGTGCCAAGCTTGTAGCGTCATACCCAAGAAGACTCGAGGCTATAATCGCTGCCAAAGGCGCTTCAACAAAGTACTGAGTAAAGGGTCTGAATACTTCTGTAAATGTGATTTTTTATTTATTTTTTTACCTGTTTTTGCTTTGTCATTATGGGTATTGTGTGTAGATTGATGACGGGGGGAAAAACAATTTAATCAATTTTAGAATAAGGCTGTAACTAAACAAAATGTGGAAAAAGTCAAGGGGTCTGAATACTTTCCGAATGCACTGTATATATCCGCCTCACTCTCAGAGAAAAAAGTAGCACTGCTAGGTTTTACACAGTCAAATATGATCAATAATTACATTTTTCATAAAAAAAAGGTACAAGTTATATATTATACAATCCACAACACCAACTAACTATCATGGTCCAAACACACCAAGACTCAGGAGACTGAAAAGACTTGGCATGGGTCCCCAGATCCTCAAAAAGTTATACAGCTGCACCATCGAGAGCATCCTGACCGGTTGCATCACCGCCTGGTATAGCAACTGCTCGGCATCTGACCATAAGGCACTACAGAGGGTAGTGCATACGGCCCAGTACATCACTGGGGCCAAGCTTCCTGACATCCAGGACCTATATACTAGGCGGTGTCAGAGGAAGGCCCAAATAATTGTCAAAGTTTCCAGTCACCGAAGTCATAGACTGTTCTCTCTGCTACCAGAGCGCCAAGTCTAGGACCAAAAGGCTCCTTAACAGCTTCTACCCCAAGCCATAAGACTGCTGAACAATTAATAAAATGGCCACCCGGACTATTTACATTGACCCCCCCCCCAGTTCACATCGAGGGGTCCCCAGTTCACATCGAGAGTCTGGAGGGCGTTCATGGAACATCTGGGGGTCTCGGTTAGCCTGACCTCAGGTTTTCACCCCGAGAGTAATGGGCAGGTGGAGAGAATGAGTTAACCAAGATGTGGGTAGATTTCTGCAGTCCTATTGCCAGGACCAGCCGGGGGAGTGGGCAGCTTTCATCCCCTGGGCAGAGATGGCCCAAAACTCCCTCCGCCACTCCTCCACTAACATGTCTCTGTTTCAGTGTGTACTAGGTTATCAGCCGGTCCTGGCACCGTGGCATCATAGCCAGATCGAGGCACCTGCGGTGGATGAATGGTTTAGGCGCTCGGAGGAGACCTGGGACGCTGCAATGGGCCATCAGGCGACAGAAGGCGAGCGCCGACCTTCACCGCAGTGAGGCCCCGGTGTATGCACTGGGGGACCGGGTCTGGCTCTCGACCCGAAACCTGCCCCTTCGCCTGCCCTGCCGGAAGCTTAGTCCGCGGTTTGTGTGGCCATTTAAATTCCTGAGGAGACTGAACAAGGTATGTTATAGGTTACAGCTCCCCCTGATTACCATATTAACCCCTCGTTCTATGTGTCTCTCCTCAGGCCGGTGGTAGCAGGTCTGCTCCAGCAGTCTGAGGTGCGAGAGGTTCCTCCGCCCCCTCTGGACATCGAGGGGGCCCCGGCGTATACTGTACGAGCCATCATGGACTCAAGACGTCGGGCGAGGGACCTTCGGTACCTCATGGAGTGGGAGGGGTACGGTCCAGAGGAGAGATGCTGGGTGCCGGTGGAGGACATCCTGGACCCTTCCTTACTGCAGGAATTTCACTGTCGCTACCCGGATCGTCCTGTGCCTCGTCCTCCGGGTCGTCCCGGAGGCCGGTGTCGGCGCGCTGCTGGAGCCGCGAGTCAAGGGGGGGGGGGGGGTTGGTGCTTCTCCTACTGTGAGGCAGTAACTTGGAACTGTGAAGCAGTAACTTGGATCTGTGTAGCAGTAACTTGGAACTGTGTAGCAGTAACTTGGATATGTGTAGCAGTAACTTGGATCTGTGTAGCAGTAACTTGGATCTGTGTAGCAGTAACTTGGAACTGTGAAGCAGTAACTTGGATCTGTGTAGCAGTAACTTGGAACTGTGTAGCAGTAACTTGGATCTGTGTAGCAGTAACTTGGATCTGTGTAGCAGTAACTTGGATCTGTGTAGCAGTAACTTGGAACTGTGAAGCAGTAACTTGGATCTGTGTAGCAGTAACTTGGATCTGTGTAGCAGTAACTTGGAACTGTGTAGCAGTAACTTGGATCTGTGTAGCAGTAACTTGGATCTGTGTAGCAGTAACTTGGAACTGTGTAGCAGTAACTTGGATATGTGTAGCAGTAACTTGGAACTGTGTAGCAGTAACTTTGATATGTGTAGCAGTAACTTGGATATGTGTAGCAGTAACTTGGATCTGTGTAGCAGTAACTTGGATATGTGTAGCAGTAACATGGAACTGTGTAGCAGTAACTTGGAACTGTGAAGCAGTAACTTGGATATGTGTAGCAGTAACTTGGATCTGTGTAGCAGTAACTTGGATCTGTGTAGCAGTAACTTGGATATGTGTAGCAGTAACATGGAACTGTGTAGCAGTAACTTGGAACTGTGAAGCAGTAACTTGGATCTGTGTAGCAGTAACTTGGAACTGTGTGGCAGTAGCTTTCCACTAAGCAACACTGCTTGAATCAACATTGTTTCCACATCATTTTAATGAAATTACGTTGAACCAACATTGAATTGACGTCTGTGCCGGGTGGGTATTGGTATTTTATTAGGATCCCGATTAGCTGTTGCAAAAACAGCAGCTACTCTTCCTGGGGTCCACACAAAACATGAAACATGACATAATACAGAACATTAATAGACAAAAACAGCTCATCAGTCATTTGTGTCAGTGCAGTACATGTTGAGTGCCCTTCTCTATAAGCATGCTGAAAGTCTGTAGTTAATTTGTTTACAGAGAAATAGCATTGTATTTGGTCAAACACTATTTTTTCCAACAGTTTGCTAAGAGCTGGCAGCGAGCTGATAGGTCTGCTGTTAGAACCAGTAAAGGACGCTTTCCCACTCTTACTTTGGCTTCCCTCCAGGCCTGAGGACAAAGACTTTGGAACTGTGTTGCTGTAACTTTGAACTGTATTGCAGTAACTTGGAATTGTGATGCAGTACATTGGAACTGTGCAATAACTGTCCAGTAATGATGCCCAGTTGAAACACAGAGGTCTTCACAATGCCAACTTCTGCTTTAGCAAGCCTCAAAGGGCTGCAGTGTAGAAGACACAACACAATAGAGGACCATTCATCAACAAACCTCCCATGGTTATACATGGACAATACTGAAGAAACCCTAGCCTGGTCCCAGATCTGTTTGTGCTCTTGCCAAAGTTGATCTGGAACCAGGCTAAAGAGACACAGAGGTGGAGGATAAAATATATATTATGATTTTGGATCATTCAGCAGTCATAGCTCCTATCTAGGTCCAGGACCAGACCAGGAAAAACTATGGGCCGTAGTCAAATCCAGTGATCAGGAAAATCTCCTGGCCTCATCCGTAGTCCATCGACAGGAGTGGTAGACCTGACGTCTCTGTAGTCATCATCCCCCATCATGTGATAGCATGGTGGCCAATGCTTTGTAAACCAACACAGTTACCACCACACTGGAAATGTTCCTTAGAATGGCACATGCCTGCTATTCAGTTCAACCTCTAAGACTGGATCAAGCTGGTTTGAGCTAAAAGGTCATTATATCCCAGACATGTCTTAGTGGGAAAAAAATAATATATATATATATATATATATATTGTCACGTACAGATAGGTGCAGTGAAATGTGTTGTTTTACAGGGTCAGCCATAGTAGTACAGTGCCCCTGGAGCCAATCAGGGTTAAGTATCTCCTGAGTGGCACAGTGGTCTAAGGCACTGCATCGCAGTGTTAGCTGTGCCACTAGAGATCCTGGTTCGAATCCAGGCTCTGTCGTAGCCGGCCGTGACTGGGAGATCCATGGGGCGGCGCACAATTGGCGTAGGGGAGGGAATGTAGCTCAGTTGGTAGAGCATAGCGTTTGCAACGCCAGGGTTGTGGGTTCGATTCCCCAAAAAGAATGTATGCACTCACTAACTATAAGAGCGTCTGCTAAAATATAAATGTAAAGTATAATTAGGCCCGAGGGGGTGTGGTATTGGGCCAATATACCACGGCTAAGGGCTGTTCTTACGCACTACACAACGTGTAGTGCCTGGATCCAGCCCTTAGCCATGGTATATTGGCAGTATACCACAAACACCCGAGGTGCCTTATTGCTATTATGAACTGGTTACCAATGTAATTAGAGCAGTAAAAATACCACAGCTGTCAGCCAATCAGCATTCAGGGCTCGAACCACCCAGTTTATAACAAGAAAAAGACAGAAACAAGCAACAACTTGTGTATACAAAAACAACATGACATGACAACACAATTAACTGGTTAAAAGGTTGATTGTTTACTAATTAAAACCTTTATCTTCAGAGAGTAGAGTCCCCTGGACTATCAAGAGGGAGGCAATTGACTTCAACATTGCATAGCAAACATACAGTAATACAGGAGGATGTACTTGCAAGAGCACAACACTGACTTCATTTCAGAGTATACACTTTATAGAATAGAGTATCACTGTCTTACAGCTGAGAGACACAAACTGCTATGGCAGCATTGATGACGATACAGTCTTGAGGATTTCCCTCGTATGAAAAGTATCCACCACTCTAACAAGCAGTATCCTCTACCGCTCATCTCACAAACTGAGATAGGTCACAGATTGAAGCGGTCACAGATAGATCCAGAACACCACAACTACCGCGAGGTGTCATCATCACGCGTATGAGGCCACCGCCACGAGGACCTGCATGGCCATGGAGACACAGGGCACTTGGGCGACGACATAGGCCAGGGAGCGTGTGGGCGCCCGCAGGACACATAGGTAGGCCACTGTGTGGAGCACCCGGAACAGGAAGAAGACCAGGAAGTGAGCGCGGGCCACGGCAAGCGACGGGCCAATCAGGGAGTAGACTGCCCCCAGGAACAGGAAGGGGAAGATATTCTCCATGTCGTTACGGTGAGCCCTGAAACACACGAGAGAGAATATTAAATTTCATGTTTTTATATTAATTTATTGGATATAGTCATATTTATTATCATGGAGGTATGGATTTTTACATTAATAACTAAGCTGTTTGCACTCAACAAGTTGCCAAGAATAACTTGGATACACACAACAGCTCTCCACGCTCACACATCAGAAGGTCATTCCTGGAGCTTACTTCCTGGAGCTTACGGTACGGTCGTCTGACTCAGTCGTCTGGCACTGACCCAAGCAGTGAAAACCCCCACTTCCGCTGTGATTACTCCACACACATGCAACTTTCTCCATTAGCCAACATAAGGGAGGGGTTTAGCCTACTGAGTAACAGAAGGAAATACCTCTATGACCAAGGGGAGTACACACATACACACACACACACACACACACACACACACACACACACACACACACACACACACACACATACACACACATATACACACACACACACATACACACACATATACACACACACACACACACACATACACACACACATAAACATACACACACACACACACACACATACACACACACACACACATACACACACATACAGTTGAAGTCGGAAGTTTACATACACCTTAGCCAAATACATTTACAGTGAGGGAAAAAAGTGTTTGATCCCCTGCTGATTTTGTATGTTTGCCCACTGACAAAGACATGATCAGTCTATAATTTTAATGGTAGGTTTATTTGAACAGTGAGAGACAGAATAACAACAAAAAAATCCAGAAAAATGCATGTCAAAAATGTTATAAATTGATTTGCATTTTAAGTGGTCCTCTGTAGCTCAGCTGGTAGAGCACGGCGCTTGTAACGCCAAGGTAGTGGGTTCGATCCCCGGGACCACCCATACACAAAAATGTATGCACGCACGACTGTAAGTCGCTTTGGATAAAAGCGTCTGCTAAATGGCATATTATTTTTATTATTATTAATGAGGGAAATAAGTATTTGACCCCTTTGCAAAACATGACTTAGTACTTGGTGGCAAAACCCTTGTTGGCAATCACAGAGGTCAGACGTTTCTTGTAGTTGGCCACCAGGTTTGCACACATCTCAGGAGGGATTTTGACCCACTCCTCTTTGCAGATCTTCTCCAAGTCATTAAGGTTTCGAGGCTGACGTTTGGCAACTCGAACCTTCAGCTCCCTCCACAGACTCCTTTGTTGCCTTGGCCATGTGTTTTGGGTCATTGTCATGCTGGAATACCCGTCCAAGACCCATTTTCAATGCCCTAGCTGAGGGAAGGAGGTTCTCACCCAAGATTTGACTTTACATGACCCCGTCCATCGTCCGTTTGATGCGGTGAAGTTGTCCTGTCCCCTTAGCAGAAAAACACCCCCAAAGCATAATGTTTCCACCTCCATGTTTGACGGTGGGAATGGTGTTCTTGTGGTCATAGGCAGCATTCCTCCTCCTCCAAACACGGCGAGTTGAGTTGATGGCAAAGAGCTCGATTTTGGTCTCATCTGACCACAACACTTTCACCCAGTTCTCCTCTGAATACTTCAGATGTTCATTGGCAAACTTCAGATGGGCCTGTATATGTGCTTTCTTGAGCAGGGGGACCTTGCGGGCGCTGCAGGATTTCAGTCCTTCACGGCGTATTGTGTTACCAATTGTTCTCTTGGTGACTATGGTCCCAGCTGCCTTGAGATCATTGACAAGAACCTCCCGTGTAGTTCTGGGCTGATTCCTCACCGTTCTCATGATCATTGCAACTCCACGAGGTGAGAACTTGCATGGAGCCCCAGGCCGAGGGAGATTGACAGTTCTTTTGTGTTTCTTCCATTTGCGAATAATTGCACCAACTGTTGTCACCTTCTCACCAAGCTGCTTGGCGATGGTCTTGTAGCCCATTCCAGCCTTGTGTAGGTCTACAATCTTGTCCCTGACATCCTTGGAGAGCTCTTTGGTCTTGGCCATGGTGGAGAGTTTGGAATCTGATTGATTGATTGCTTCTGTGGACAGGTGTTTTTTTATACAGGTAACAAGCTGAGATTAGGAGCACTCCCTTTAAGAGTGTGCTCCTAATCTCAGCTCGTTACCTGTATAAAAGACACCTAGGAGCCAGAAATCTTTCTGATTGAGAGGGGGTCAAATACTTATTTCCCTCATTAAAATGCAAATCAATTTATAACATTTTTGACATGCGTTTTTCTGGATTATTTTGTTGTTATTCTGTCTCTCACTGTCCAAATAAACCTACCATTCAAATTATATGATCATGTCTTTGTCAGTGGGCAAACGTACAAAATCAGCAGGGGATCAAATACTTTTTTCCCTCACTGTAAACTCAGTTTTTCACAATTCCTGACATTTAATCCTAGTAAAAATTCCCTGTTTTAGGTCAGTTAGACTTTATTTTAAGAATGTGAAATGTCAGAATAATAGTAGAGAGAATGATTTATTTCAGCTTTTATTTCTTTCATCATATTCCCAGTGGGTCAGAAGTTTACATACACTCAATTAGTATTTGGTAGCATTACCTTTATATTGTTGAACTTGGGTCAAACGTTTCGGGCAGCCTTCCACAAGCTTCCCACAATAAGTTGGGTGAATTTTGGCCCATTCCTCCTGACAGAGCTGGTGTAACTGAGTCAGGTTTGTAGGCCTCCTTGCTTGCACACGCTTTTTCAGTTCTGCACACAAATGTTCTATAGGATTGAGGTCAGGGCTTTGTGATGGCCACTCAAATACCTTGACTTTGTTGTCCTTAAGCCATTTCGCCACATCTTTGGAAGTATGCTTGGGGTCATTGTCCATTTGGAAGACCCATTTGCGACCAAGCTTTAACTTCCTGACTGATGTCTTGATATGTTGCTTCAATATATCCGCATAATTTTCCTTCCTCATGATACCATCTATTTTGTGAAGTGCACAAGTCTCTCCTGCAGCAAAGCACCCCCACAGCATGATGCTGCCACCCCCGTCCTTCACGGTTGGGATGGTGTGCTTCGGCTTGCAAGTCCCCCCTTTTTCCTCCAAACATAACGATGGTCATTATGGCCAAACAGTTCTGTTTTTGTTTCATCAGACCAGAGGACATTTCTCCAGAAAGTACTATCTTTGTCCCCATGTGCAGTTGCAAAACTGTAGTCTGGATTTTTTTATGGCGGTTTTGGAGCAGTGGCTTCTTCCTTGCTGAGCGGCTTTTCAGGTTATGTCGATATAGGACTTGTTTTACTGTGGATATAGATACTTTTGTACCTGTTTCCTCCAGCATCTTCAAAAGGTCCTTTGCTGTTGTTCTGGGATTGATGCTGTCTTTTGATTTTCCCATGATGTCAAGCAAAGAGGCACTGAGTTTGAAGGTATGCCTTGAAATACATCCACAGGTACACCTCCAATTGACTCAAATGATGTCAATTAGCCTATTAGAAGCTTCTAAAGCCATGAAATCATTTTCTGGAATTTACCAAGCTGTTTAAAGGCACAGTCAACTTAGTGCATGTAAACTTCTGACCCACTGGAATTGTGATACAGTGAATTATAAGTGAAATAATCTGTCTGTAAACAATTGTTGGAAAAATTACTTGTGTCATGCACAAAGTAGATGTCCTAACCGACTTGCCAAAACGATAGTTTCTTAAAAAGAAATTTGTGGAGTGGTTGACAAACGAGTTTTAATGACTCCAATTTAAGTGTATGTAAACTTTAGACTTCAACTGTACATACATATACACATACACATATACACATACACATACACATATACACATACACACACACACACACACACATACACACACATACACACACATACACACACATACACACACACATACACACATACACACAAGTAGGTTGAGCGTGGAAACCCTCCATTACAAAAGTCTGGGAGTACCTGCTTATTCAGGTCTCTTTCTAAAAATGAATCACTTCCTCTCTTCTGACATTCACTCAAGAGAAAATTCCTCTCAGGGATTCCAGTCTCTGTCTCTAAATGGACCAATAGAATGTCACAATTTATGCATGGGCTTTTCCAGCAGCTATCTGAGTCAGTCGTAAAACCCAGACCATGGATTATCAATTATCCTTAAAAAGGGAAAAACAGTTGTAGTTACTCAATAGTATGAATTTTCTTCAGAAGCCATTCAGACATTCCAATTAAATCAGATTTGCAGTGTGTTATTCATCTTGCTTTGTTGAATTCAAGTACCACTCCAACCAATCAACATCAAGACATGGAAAACTCCCATGGTGTAATCTAAACAGAATAGACCCTTGAGTGTTTGATTATTTTGGCAGAGTTGTTAGGAGTTTAAGATTGATTGGAGTACAGACTGAGACCAGAGAGGGAAAGGCGAAGCAAGACGGTTTACTCAGCCCAAAATCTGTCCACGTTACAGTAAACAGATCAATAATTATACTAAGCTATATGGAATTGTTTTAAGAAGGTCATACCAAGGATCATTTAGCTATTTGATTTTTAATTTCAAGACCCCTTCAAGCATAAAAAGTAATAATATTAAAACATTATTTGATGAAGAAAAAAATGTGGGTCTTCCTGCTATTAGCCCATACAAACGCATTGAATAACAGATTCACTACATAGAACAACAGATAGTCCCCCAAAAATATCAAAAGGAAGTTTGTTCTGAAGTGTCTGTCCTATATCTGAGATATATAATAAAGATCAGGAAACATTGATTATATGTATTTAACCCCATATTTTTGCCATTAAAAAGTCTCCATACAGTGGGGGGAAAAAGTATTTAGTCAGCCACCAATTGTGCAAGTTCTCCCACTTAAAAGGATGAGAGAAGCCTGTAATTTTCATCATAGGTACACGTCAACTATGACAGACAAATTGAGAAAGAAAAAATCCATTGTAGGATTTTTTATGAATTTATTTGCAAATTATGGTGGAAAATAAGTATTTGGTCACCTACAAACAAGCAAGATTTCTGGCTCTCACAGACCTGTAACTTCTTCTTTAAGAGGCTCCTCTGTCCTCCACTCGTTACCTGTATTAATGGCACCTGTTTGAACTTGTTATCAGTATAAAAGACACCTGTCCACAACCTCAAACAGTCACACTCCAAACTCCACTATGGCCAAGACCAAAGAGCTGTCAAAGGACACCAGAAACAAAATTGTAGACCTGCACCAGGCTGGGAAGACTGAATCTGCAATAGGTAAGCACCTTGGTTTGAAGAAATCAACTGTGGGAGCAATTATTAGGAAATGGAAGACATACAAGACCACTGATAATCTCCCTCGATCTGGGGCTCCACGCAAGATCTCACCCCGTGGGGTCAAAATGATCACAAGAACGGTGAGCAAAAATCCCAGAATCACACAGGGGGACCTAGTGAATGACCTGCAGAGAGCTGGGACCAAAGTAACAAAGCCTACCATCAGTAACACACTACGCCGCCAGGGACTCAAATCCTGCAGTGCCAGACGTGTCCCCCTGCTTAAGCCAGTACATGTCCAGGCCCGTCTGAAGTTTGCTAGAGTGCATTTGGATGATCCAGAAGAGGATTGGGAGAATGTCATATGGTCAGATGAAACCAAAATATAACTTTTTGGTAAAAACTCAACTTGTCGTGTTTGGAGGACAAAGAATGCTGAGTTGCATCCAAAGAACACCATACCTACTGTGAAGCATGGGGGTGGAAACATCATGCTTTGGGGCTGTTTTTCTGCAAAGGGACCAGGACGACTGATCCATGTAAAGGAAAGAATGAATGGGGCCATGTATCGTGAGATTTTGAGTGAAAACCTCCTTCCATCAGCAAGGGCATTGAAGATGAAACGTGGCTGGGTCTTTCAGCATGACAATGATCCCAAACACACCGCCCGGGCAACGAAGGAGTGGCTTCGTAAGAAGACTGGCCTAGCCAGTCTCCAGATCTCAACCCCATAGAAAATCTTTGGAGGGAGTTGAAAGTCCGTGTTGCCCAGCGACAGCCCCAAAACATCACTGCTCTAGAGGAGATCTGCATGGAGGAATGGGCCAAAATACCAGCAACAGTGTGTGAAAACCTTGTGAAGACTTACAGAAAACGTTTGACCTGTGTCATTGCCAACAAAGGGTATATAACAAAGTATTGAGAAACTTTTGTTATTGACCAAATACTTATTTTCCACCATAATTTGCAAATAAATTCATTAAAAATCCTACAATGTGATTTTCTGGATTTTTTTTTCCTCATTTTGTCTGTCATAGTTGACGTGTACCTATGATGAAAATTACAGGCCTCTTTCATCTTTTTAAGTGGGAGAATTTGCACAATTGGTGGCTGACTAAATACTTTTTTCCCCCACTGTATATACTGCCATTCATTTAGGGGACCTTCAGACAAGTCTTGTGAGGCCTGTGGGCATCTTGGAGCAAAACAACTGACATGTACAGTGTACATGTTCGTGAGAGTCTCACCTTTGCACAGAGTCACATTAGCGTGTATGTAGCCACAACGGTTCGGACGCTACAGACAGAAGTTGGCAGATCGGCTGTACTGACTTCAGACGAGTCTCCTGAGACTTCTGGAGGTCATAGAGCAAAATGGAGAACATCATTGAGAGTCTCATCTTTCCATAGAGGGGTCATAATAGTTTGAAGGCCAAACCGTTCAGATGCTACAGACGATTTTGTGAGAAGACCGATTTTTGGAATGTCTCATGGTCTGACAAGCAGCGCTCTAGCTCTGTCACCTTTCACCACAGATGTGGAAGTGCGACATAAGCGGATGCGGTGGACTGAGACGCATCCAATGCAAAAAAAATATGTATCTCTAGCTTAAACTGATGGATTTTTATGGGGATTAAAAAAAAATGCTAATTATATTTCCACGGGGGCGCGGAGATTGACCTTGCTATTCTTGGAGAATCTTAATTGGACCTAATTGTTACCAGTGAAGGAGCATTCCATTGTATTGTATTGCGCATCAGTGCATGAATGCCTGCTCAGCGCAACACATTTTACATCTTCAATGAGTCGGGTCAGAAAGGGCCTCATGTGAGGGGAAAAAATGAGGGGAAAGTTTTCAGTGTTCACTAGAAAAACAGATGTTTTTTCTGCTGTCCTGGATCATTTCCTATCTAGTTAAAACAACACAGACACTGAACCATATCCACAGCCCCAGGCTGGATAACAAACGTCTGTGAAAGAAAAATGAAAGTGCCACAAATGATCTCTAAAGATTTCAACCAGCTCAAGGTAAAATTCTCCATTTACATGTTTGGTTGTCATATGGAATGTGGGGTTGGTTGTCACTATCAACATTGCCACTGCCAGTATACAATAAATCCCAGCTCTTTGTGCTTGTGGTCATCTGTAGCTCAGCTGGTAGAGCACGGCGCTTGTAACGCCAAGGTAGTGGGTTCGATCCCCGGGACCACCCATACACAAAATAAATGTATGCACACATGACTGTAAGTCGCTTTGGATAAAAGCGTCTGCTAAATGACATATTATAAAGAGCTCCCTTCGTTGCCTCTCTCACACACACATATTTACTCAAAATGTCATGTTATTCTCAAGGCATAAAATGCAGCATTTTGTTAGGAATATCGTTCGATTAAAGCAAGGATATTGCTAAGACCCTGTTTTCTATATTGCTTCATTTCCTGTTAAAAAATGAATACCTTACTAGCAAACATTGTGACAACCAACCCCATACTGTGTGTGATATCTAACCCAGGATGGGGCTGGTTGTCACAAGTGGACAGAGTGTGTTTGATGGTTTATATGAGGATAAAAAGAGTCCACATTTCAACCCAAGGCCTTGTCTTTCTCATAATATTGACACAAGTATTGTAAGATACTGGTGCTGAGAAATACACACAAGAGTAAAAAGTGTGACAACCAACCCGGTCTCCACTACTGTTGAACTTTATATTGCTACCACAATGTCAATAGCCTAGGGCTACAAAATCATCTGATAACAGTAATCGCTCTTCTCACCTTCGGCACCGTTCTACATCCGGATCCTCTCTGTAGTATTGGACGCCGCCGTGTCTCTGCGCATCCTCTGGGTTCGCAAAAGCCTTCCCACGAGAGAGAGAGATAATTTACAAATACCCTGACCAACGTTTATACAGCGCCGTACTTGATTTTTGTAACTACAATGTATTCAAATCATAGATCAAATACCGAACGAGCCTAATAAAAGCTTAACTGGGAGGTATCTTACCTTTTTACGCAGCCTGACTTGTCCAGTGATGATTGCTATGATGTACATCTTGATGACCAGGAGAACACTATAGAAAACAAAACAGGAAAAAACCTCGTTCTCCAACATGACTGTTTGGTGTGATCTTCCAATTCCCAAGTGAAGTACTGCTGTGGTATGCGGTTGGAGAGTTTCTCGTGCTCACACGGAGCCTAACTGGAAAGTATGGAGCGGGATGGAGCCCCAGGACTCAACACTTTCACTGACGCACGTTTTAGAGGGGCTGGTCTGGTGCCTCTGCCTCTCTCTCTCTCTCTCTCTCTCTCTCTCTCTCTCTCTAGCCTCGTTTATACACCTTGTGGGTTTTGTGATCTGATCAATGTCTCTCTCTCTCTCTCTCTCTCTAGCCTCGTTTATACACCTTGTGGGTTTTGTGATCTGATCAATGTGGCCAATCACTATCTGATCAAGGTTTGTTACATCTACACATTCTATTAATATGTGTATCTTGCAATATTTAAGACAAATGTTGATGTCATAAGTCAATGCTCCTACCTGTCAATGATTGTAGAGGCCTGCATTATGATTTTTTAAATGGTTTGACCATCCAGATCTGTTTACACTTGATTGATATCCAGATATTAATGGGTCCCTGACTACCTCCGGAGGTGGTCAAGTGGATCATGCGTCTTTTAATTGTCGACACCTGTTTAAAAATGTGGGCATCAAGATCAGGACAAAGGACGCACGTTAGCACCAGCTATAAACGGAGCTCCTCTCTCTCTGTGTCATGTTATGACATAGCCAGGCAGACACAGGATATTGCTTATCACTTATTTAGAGGCACTAAAATACAAATACTACACTTATTATATAAATAAATCATTATTATTTTTGTATACCCTATTGTGTCTGCTGTTCAGTAGACGTGTTTACCTGTGTAAGTAATAGATTAAAGATATATCACATGCCCTTAATTAAAATGTCACACTTTGACAAGGGAAAACATTTGTCACGACATCAACTATAAACAGACACATGTTTATTCTAGGCAGGTAAACACCCATAGCATGGCAGTCCTCATAACCATGCGTTACAACAGGAACAAACACACACGCTTTGGTTTGCGGAGTCCTCTGCAGGATGTTTGAACAGGGCTTTTCGCTCCCCGGGCAGGGAATTTTCAGAATGCTTTGGTTCGGGATGTTTGAAATGCCGCAGGTTATGTGGAGCGCGTGCAAAAGGAGGTGTGCGCGCCGAGCTTCAAAGAGAGTCTACCTCTGAGGAATGAGAGCTGCGCTCCTCTCTCCGTGTAGAAAAACTTCCCCATCGATTTATTTTAGCTCTGTCATTACAGTCAATGAAATCATTACTCAGATATCAGAGTTTAAAACATGACCACATCACTGCTGCTGATTTTCATTATGTCATTCCAGTAGCGACCCCTCATTCAGGGCAGGTGGGGCAGTTATTTTGACATTAATATGTGTCACATATCAGTTTGCAAACAATGTAAAAAAAAATATATAAAGCTGCATACAAACTTGGTCTCCTTTTTGCTTTCTTGAGTAAGGCAGCTCCAAAATGCTTTCTGTGGTGGTGGGGCAGCCAGCGGAAAATATGGCGTTTAGGGGTTGGTAATGTTCTCTAGTTGCGCCGTGATTGGCTCAGTCTTCTGTCACTCATGGGGAAACTACTTCACCGCCAAATCTAAGGGTAGAGCTCGAAGATTCAAGCCCCTTTGGTGCTGCCTTAGAGTTACATTAGAAGTGCCCATCCAAGAAGGCTCAAGGTCATTGCCACAGATAAAATGACGTCAAATCACATTATATCTACAGTAGCTTTGATTGGACTGATCATGTCAACACCATACTTTCAACATCTTAGCTAGCAAGCTAGCAGTCATCATAATGAATCAAGTCAACAATCTACTGGCAAATCCTTTTTAATCCTTGTCATATGAAGATAAATAATGAAGAGAAATTATAGATAAAACGTATCGGTGCTCATCGGCCATTGGACATAAACATTACACAACCAGTTGGAAATCGCAAATTCAACGAGTGGTTTGGAAGGAATCAGTGGCTAACTGCAAGCATTTCAAGGTAATCTAGCCTGCTATTCAACATGTGGGTGTGTGGTCCCAAGTCTGGGTTTGAGGGTCTCTTTTCCCAAGATTAAAAGGATAAACATTCAACATTGGCCATGCTGTCAAGCATGACTTCTGCCGCGCTCAAAACAACTGGAAACTGGGAAACCTGAGTTCAAGACAACTGGGAACTCAGAAAAAAACTAGCTCTGGGAAAATACATTTTAAACTGTCATCCAACTCGGAATTGCAAATCGGGAACTCGGGCCTCTTTCTAGAGCTACGATCTGAAGATCACTGATGTCATCATGATTCAACCTTGTTTTTTTCTGAGTTACCAGTTGTCTTGAAAGCACCATAAATCCAGAGAATGCCAGACTTTGATGACAAAATTTGCCCACGAAGGACTGCCGCGCCACTTCCTGTTCAAATGAGCACAGCACAACAAGGTGAGCCCAAAGATGTCTTGTATGCTGCTGCATAAATGATGTAATATGCCAGGGACATATGTATACTGTAGCTAAGAAAGTAATACTAAGTGTATGTTGTGTAGTAAGCCGTTAGTAGCCCATGTGCCTCACCCTAATAATTTGGTCCCTTTTCGCCTCTTAATTTCGCCTACTGTTCTGACTTGGTGGTGCACATGTAGCCTATAGCTTGTTTTAGAGAAATGTCATCATTGAATATTGTAAGAGCTTTTATTGTCTGCTTATATGCCCCCTTTATTTATCCTACGGTTCTGACTTGGTGTACAGGGAGAATACTGTAAGAACGGCCCATGTTCTGAATTCTGTCGCTGTACATTTCAAAAGTGCTGAACAAATAGTTATATTGACTACATCCTTCCTAGCTCGCTCATTAATGTCTTAATCGAAATTACGGATTGCCTCTTATCTGCTCGTGGTCCCCTTAGGCCATAGTTTGTACATCTCAATTGTCAGTAGAAACCACATTTGTTTAAGCAAGTCAGCCATATCAGCTATGTTTTTTTTAAAGGCAGTAAATGAGGCTGAATGAACTGTTTCGTTGCCAGACAAGGCTCCGCTGATAGCCAGGTGTAGCAGTGGTAAGTTGTTGGGACTGCTGTTGGGACTCTGCTGTTGGGACAGCTTTATGTAGGCCCGAACAGTTTGTGGGCACCGTTTGTCACCGTTATAGTGCAATTCATGTAGTGTTTAGTGTTGTGTTGTGTAGTGCCTTTGCTTGCATGCATCTAAAAATATATATTTTTAGTTTGCCCAACCAAGATTTACATCCTAAAATCGCCACTGTTTCCTTCTAATCAGGGACGGATTTAGAATGGAATAGTACTGGATAGCTAGGCCTGCTGTTGCCGGGATAGGTGCCTGGGATAAGGACTAAGGGACGTTTCGGCAGCCCTTTAAAAAGGCAGCAGTGAAACGTGGGGGCTGCCTGATCTATATTGAATTCAATACATGTAAAATACTAATCTAGAACAAACTAGTTTTCTTTGTGCCGCCTTTGATAGGCTAAATGAGCCCAGTCAAATATGGATGGTGAGGACCAAAGAAGGTGATTCTAGGCGCACAGACAGTTTAAAAGGGCAGTCTGCAATTGTTACATCCAGTTTTGGACTTATTGTTATACCCATTGATTCTTGAAGAATAGAACTTAAAAATGACTAATGAGCTTAGTTCAACTGTCGGACCCCATCAGAGCCCAAAATATAAGCTTGTTTTACTCCCATGTTTGTAAACAATGTAAATGTTAACAAAGACTGTATAGCCTCAAAACATAGTTAAATAATTTTGATATCATGGATGGTCAATTCTTGCATCCATAGCTCTGTCTATGAGTTTGAGAGTGGTTACATTTTTCCAGGCCCATCCCTCAGCTGTGTTATTGTTTCAATTAAGGACTCTAGCTATGTTTTGAGGCTATACAGTGTTTGTTTACACTGACATTGTTTACAAACAATGGAGTAAAACAAGCTTATATTTTGGGTCCTGATGGGGTACGACAGTTGAACTAAGCTCATGATGGGGTGCTGGGACCGGCATGGTACAGCAGTAGTGGGCTAGTGTGGCTGAAATGCCAGAGGCTAATTTCGTTCCCAGTCTACTACTGGGCCTATCTCTGCTGGACATTACTTGTGTTAGTAGCGAAAGAGGGCGGGGAAACAGCAGGAGCGGGACTTGAACCAGCAACTTCATGCTGCCAGAAAAGCTGTCCAGCATGAACTAAAATGTCCTCCAGAAACCCTGGGTTGACAATGAGAGAGAGAGAGAGAGAGAGAGAGAGAGAGAAGAGAGAGAGAGAGAGAGATGATAGAGAAGATAGAGATAGAGCAGAGTAACGATACTAAGAGTCTCTACAGCTACGCGCCTGCACACTCTCGCTCTCTCTCCTACGCTCTCTTCATCTTCAGCACCTACGGAGAAACACGGAGATGACCATAGTCTTCTCACCATCCTTCCCAGATTGTCATCAGCACCAGAGACCCTGACAGAAATATAAAATATACAGACACAGATGTCCTCCACATCATAACACTAACACAGCCGTGTGTACAATCATCACAACGCAGACATCCAAATGATGTCAGTGTTAATAGACTGGTGTTTACCAGAAATGTCAAACTTGTCAACACTAAAGCTCTCTAATTTATTTTGGCAGAATAACTTGTTGCATTTCATGGTGACTGTCTCTCCTGTCATGAAGGGCTCTAAAGTCCTTCACTGTTAAAATAGAAAGACTCAAAACACAATCATTGTGTAGTGAAACCCTGAAAAGTAGTGCACCTAAACTGAGATCTAGTGTTTAGAGGGTGTTTGAATGTAAACCCAATGTAAGTGTTATGACACACTGAATGTATTTCAAAACAGAATGGAAGTACTCTGAAACACCCAAAGTGGTTCTGCAATCTGAATAATTGTGTTTTTAAGAGAGTGTTGTGAAAACACTTTCTGGTGTTTCAGTGCATGTAAAAGGCAGCACCAAATACAAAAATAATGTTTTGGCAGACTGTCTCTCTCATACAATCAAATGCTTTATAGCATAAATATTGATTGATGCTGATTTTCAGTAAATATTTTTATGAACTATATATATATTTTTAACCCCCCTTTTCATGATTACGATCTTGTCTCATCACTGCAACCCCCCAACAGGCTCAGGAGAGGCGATGGTTGAGTCATGCGTCCTCCGAAACATGACCAGCCAAGCTGCGCTTCTTAACACCCGCCTGCTTAACCCGGAAGCCAGCTGCACCAATGTGTCGGAGGAAACACTGTTCAACTGACGACCGAAGTCAGCCTGCAGGTGTCAGGCCCGCCACAAGGAATTGCTAGAGTGCAATGAGCCAAGTAAAGCCCCCCCAGCCAAACCCTCCCATAACCCGGACAAATTGTGGCCACCCTATGGGACTCCCGGTCACGGCCGGTTATGAAACAGCCTGGGATCGAACCCCAGGCTGTAGTGACGGCGCAACACCGTGATGCAGTGCCTTAGACCGCTGCACCACTCGGGAGGCCTTGATTAACATTTTAAAGAAGACACCGGATTTTCTTTTTTTTCTAGGGTAGACTTCGGCACTTATTACAGGCTACAGTTGCCAGGCCCATTGTGACATCATAAACAATGTTCAAATGTTCAATCCAAATGTTTAGGGCTATGTAAGATAGCAGAGGTAACAAGAGGTAACGTGTAAAGTGGGCCCTCATCACTGGTATTCATGTGAGAAGGACAGAAGGTGGACGTGAACACGGGTCTCATGCTTGTCAAAACAGTGCCTTAGCGCACTCTGCCAGTCTTCAGGACTAAATGGTTATGCTGAACCACCCTTGTTACACTGAGCACATGGGGCCCAATTCAGACTAGAGATAAGTAGACTTAACATGGACTTAATAAAACATGGACTAAAGTCCATGTTAGATCAACTTCCCACTGGGAACACACTGTTTTAATCAACGTTGTTTCCACGTAATTTCAATGAAATTACATTAAACCAATGTGTAATAGACATCTGTGCCCAGCGGGTTATCTTAAGTCTGAAAAGGACCTATAGAGAATACTTTTACGTGAATTTACATCTTTATTTTTTTATGTGCTTTGCTTATTAGAAACAGGAGGAGACAGAGAAGGAGTGAAAGTTGGAGAGGTGGAAGTGGGAAATAAACAACCAACTGCTGGGGCAGTAAGATGGGAGCCATTTCTTTGGAATTTTACCCACTCAACCACACAGCCAGGTACCACGTGAGGAACTTGGGCCCCAATATCAGAAGCAAAATGTGTACTTCAAACATTGTGCTGCCGTACTGTTCAGAATTCACCCAGTCTGTGGCCTTGAGGTGGAGAGAGGGCATTCATGGCAGGTACGCCCTCTAGCAAACTCTATGGTCAAGTATAAAAACAGGCAAGTTTGAAAGCCTCCCTTGTATTCGGGTCCTTCACAAACTCAGACAGGCGAGAGCACACCAAACGTGCAGATAAAACTCTCCAAAACAATCCAAGAAAGTATGGATCCGTGCTATCTGGGATCCTTGGGATGGCCCTACCCCATTGAAGTTTAAATTGAAAATGGTTAAGGTAAGGGTTAGGTAAGGGTTATGGTTAGGGTAGGGGTTAAGGTTAGGGTTTAGGGTAGGGACGTCCCAAGGATCTCAGATAGCACTGACCATGAAAGTATGTGTCAATGAAAACGTGAGTACAAAATGTTATGCTGGTGGGCAGGAGCGTTGGGCCAGTAACCAAAAGGTTGCTGGATCGAATCCCTGAGCTGACAAGGTAAAAATCTGTCGTTCCGCCCCTGAGCAAGGCAGTTAACCCACTGTTCCCCGGGCGCCGATGATGTGGATGTCGATTAAGGCAGCCCCCTGCACCTCTCTGATTTAGAGGGGTTGGGCTAAATGCTGAAGACACATTTCAGTTGAATACATTCAGTTGTACAACTGACTAGGTATCCCCTTTACCTTTCCCTTTATGACATTGAAGAAGGAAACAGAAAAAGGAATTCACCCAATAAGAACATTGGAATTTCGTCCGCTAATAGAATAAATCAAACAGCCATTTTGATTAATTAATCAGTTTTAAAATAAAATAAAATGTTATGTGCCGAATACAAGTGTAGACTTTCCTTTTAAATGCTTACTTACATTCCAAACAATGCAGAGTAATTTTTTATATTTTTAAAGTCATTAAAAAATCATTATCAAGGAAATAGTAACAAAAATAAAATAACAATAACGAGGCTACAGTGCCTTCAGAAAGTATTCACACCACTTGACTTTTTCCAAATTGTGTTGTGTTCCAGCCTGAATTGATTAAATGTAGATATGTCACTATAACCCATAATGTCAAAGTGGAATAATGTTAGTTTTTCTATTTTGCAAATTAAATTAATTACAAATGAAAAGCTGAAATGTCTTGAGTCAATAAGTATTCAACCCCTTTGTTATGGCAAGCCTAAATAAGTTCAGGACACTCTGTGTCCAATAATAGTTTAACATGATTTTTGAATGAATACCTCATCTCTGTACCCCACAAATTATCTGTAAGGTCCCTCAGTCCAGCAGTTAATTTCAAACTGAGGTGGTGCTGAATTTTTTGCCGGGACTACAGACGGGTTGCCACGTTACAGATGGCTATATCAGTCCGCTAATACAGGACTAGTAAAGGCCCAGTGCACTACTTTTGTGATATACACTACCGTTCAAACGTTTGGGTTCACTTAGAAATGTCCTTGTTTTGGTAAGAAAATCATTTTTTTTGGTCCATTAAAATAACATCAAATTGATCAGAAATACAGTGTAGACATTGTTAATGTTGTAAATGGCTATTGTAGCTGTCAACGGCTGATTTTTAATGGAATATCTACATAGGCGTACAGAGGCCCATTATCAGCAACCATCAGTCCTGTGTTCCAATAGCACGTTGTGTTTGCTAATCCAAGTTTATCATTTTAAAAGGCTAATTGATCATTAGAAAACCCTTTTGCAATCATGTTAGCACAGCTGAAAACTGTTGTGCTGATTATAGAAGCAATAAAACTGGCCTTCTTGAGACTAGTTGAGTATCTGGAGCATCAGCAAGTGTGGGTTCAATTACAGGCTCAAAATGGCTGGAAACAAATAACTATTCTAAAACGCGTCAGTCTATTCTTGTTCTGAGAAATGAAGGCTATTCCATGCAAGTAATTGCCAAGAAACTGAAGATCTCGTACAACGTTGTGTACTACTCCCTTCACAGAACAACGCAAACTGTCTCTAACCAGAATAAAAAGAGGAGTGGGAGGCCCCGGTGCACAACTGAGCAAGAGGACAAATACATTAAGAGTGTCTAGTTTGAGAAACAGACGCCTCACAGGTCCTCAACTGGCAGCTTCATTAAATAGTACCCGCAAAACACCAGTCTCAACGTCAACAGTGAAGAGGCGACTCCGGGATGCTGACCTTCTAGGCAGAGTTGCAAAGAAAAAGTCCAGTGTCTGTGTTCTTTTGCCCATCTTTTATTTTTATTGGCCAGTCTGAGATATGGCTTTTTCTTTGCAACTCTGCCTAGGTCAGCATCCCGGAGTCGCCTCTTCACTGTTGACGTTGAGACTGGTGTTTTGCGGGTACTATGCTCCAGATACTCAACTAATTTCAAGAAGGCCAGTTTTATTGCTTCTTTAATCAGCACAACAGTTTCCAGCTGTGCTAACATAATTGCAAAAGGGTTTTCTAATGATCAATTAGCCTTTTAAAATGATAAACTTGGATTAACAAACACAACGTGCCATTGGAACACAGGACTGATGGTTGCTGATAATGGGCCTCTGTACGCCTATGTATATATTCCATTAAAAATCAGCCGTTGACAGCTACAATAGCCATTTACATAAACATTAACAATGTCTACACTGTATTTCTGATCAAGTTAATGTTCTTTTAATGGACAAAAAAATTGCTAAGTGACCCCAAACTTTTGAACGGTAGTGTATATTTTTAGATGTCTTTCTTTCTTTCTTCCTTTCTTTTTTATTTTTCAGGGGGTGCTGCAGCACCCTCAGCACCCCTACTTCCCACGGTTAAGGAGTACCAGTACCGAGTCAATGTGCAGGGCTACGAGGAGGTAGTCATTTAGACAGGTAACCTTGGCGTTCTTGGGCACAGGGACTATGTTGGTCATGTAGGTATTACAGACTGGGTCAGGGAGAGGTTGAAAATGTCAGTGAAGACACTTTCCAGCTGGTCAGCGCATACTCAGAGTATCCGTCTGGCCCGCGGCCTTGTGAATGTTAACCTGTTTAAAGGTCTTACTCACATCGGCAACAGAGAGAGCGTGATCACACAATCATCCCGAACAGCTGGTGCTCTCATGCATGGTTCAGTGTTGCTTGCCTCTAAGCGAGCATAGGGGGCATTTAGCTCGTCTGGGTCACTGGGCAGCTCTTGGCTGGGTTTCCCTTAATATTACAGCATTTGATAACCTAATTATGCATTCGTACTATCATTATTGCTTGTTATTATTTGCTATATCTCTGTCTCTCTGCAAAAAAACATGCATACATACTACGTTACCCATCGGCTGGTCAATCCTAACCAAAGCCAATCAAGACAAGAATCACAGACTAATGCCAACTGAACTGTCACCTGTCAATCATATCATCTAACTCAACTGTACTGTGATTCAATCCATCTGAGCAACCTGTCATGTCATCATCTGAATATAAAGACTCAGTTTAAATTCATTAGCGTAATGGATGACTGGTAGATCGTATTGAGCCCTGGGCTGAAGTTTGTATAAGTGCTACTGCTAACAAGTTTTGTATAAGTGCTACTGCTAACATTAGCAGTCATTGCCTATATTTATTTTCCAGGAATGTGAAATATGCCATATTTCTGTTGATTTTGAAGAATATAAATATGATAACTAACTTACAGATCTTTGAACTCTTACTTTATCAATACAAATGTGAAAGACCTGTTAATGTTTTGTAATTTGATAAATAAAATAAAAATAATTTGAAGCTTCTAAATCCTGTCTTGAAAAAGTAATTTTGTACTCATTCATTATTATCCTGGACGAAATTATTAATTTGTGTTTTCACAAAACTATATTTTCTTGTGTCCTTTGTTTGAGAAAACTATACATTTGACCTTTTGGAATTACCAATGAGGAGTTTATAAAGACCATATAAGAGCAGGGAATATACAATAAGAGGGGGGGGACTCTCATTTACAGTATTTGGAAACTCCAAAAGTAGGGAACTAATTCTGCACTAGACAGGATTTGAAACACCATCATAGTGTTTAGTAGCTTTAGAGAGAGGAAACAACACCAAAAGAGAAGGGATCTAATTCTGTACTATGCAGGACTTGAAACACCATACAGTGGGGGAAAAAAGTATTTAGTCAGCCATCAATTGTGCAAGTTCTCCCACTTAAAAATATGAGAGAGGCCTGTAATTTTCATCATAGGTACACGTCAACTATGACAGACAAAATGAGAAAATAGAATTCAGAAAATCACATTGTAGGATTTTTAATGAATTTATTTGCAAATTGTGGTGGAAAATAAGTATTTGGTCACATACAAACAAGCAAGATTTCTGGCTCTCACAGACCTGTAACTTCTTCTTTAAGAGGCTCCTCTGTCCTCCACTCGTTACCTGTATTAATGGCACCTGTTTGAACTTGTTATCAGTATAAAAGACACCTGTCCACAACCTCAAACAGTCACACTCCAAACTCCACTATGGCCAAGACCAAAGAGCTGTCAAAGGACACCAGAAACAAAATTGTAGACCTGCACCAGGCTGGGAAGACTGAATCTGCAATAGGTAAGCAGCTTGGTTTGAAGAAATCATCTGTGGGAGCAATTATTAGGAAATGGAAGACATACAAGACCACTGATAATCTCCCTCGATCTGGGGCTCCACGCAAGATCTCACCCCGTGGGGTCAAAATGCCGCCAGGGACTCAAATCCTGCAGTGTCAGACGTGTCCCCTGCTTAAGCCAGTACATGTCCAGGCCCGTCTGAAGTTTGCTAGAGTGCATTTGGATGATCCAGAAGAGGATTGGGAGAATGTCATATGGTCAGATGAAACCAAAATAGAACTTTTTGGTCAAAACTCAACTCGTCGTGTTTGGAGGACAAAGAATGCTGAGTTGCATCCAAAGAACACCATACCTACTGTGAAGCATGGGGGTGGAAACATCATGCTTTGGGGCTGTTTTTCTGCAAAGGGACCAGGACGACTGATCCGTGTAAAGGAAAGAATGAATGGGGCCATGTATCGTGAGATTTTGAGTGAAAACCTCCTTCCATCAGCAAGGGCATTGAAGATGAAACGTGGCTGGGTCTTTCAGCATGACAATGATCCCAAACACACCGCCCCGGCAACGAAGGAGTGGCTTCGTAAGAAGCATTTCAAGGTCCTGGAGTGGCCTAGCCCGTCTCCAGATCTCAACCCCATTGAAAATCTTTGGAGGGAGCTGAAAGTCCGTGTTGCCCAGCGACAGCCCCAAAACATCACTGCTCTAGAGGAGATCTGCATGGAGGAATGGGCCAAAATACCAGCAACAGTGTGTGAAAACCTTGTGAAGACTTACAGAAAACATTTGACCTGTGTCATTGCCAACAAAGGGTATATAACAAAGTATTGAGAAACTTTTGTTATTGACCAAATACTTATTTTCCACCATAATTTGCAAATAAATTCATTAAAAATCCTACAATGTGATTTTCTGGAATTTTTTTTCTCATTTTGTCTGTCATAGTTGACGTGTACCTATGATGAAAATTACAGGCCTCTCTCATCTTTTTAAGTGGGAGAACTTGCACAATTGGTGGCTGACTAAATACTTTTTTCCCCCACTGTACAGTGTTTTAAATATTTTCTGGGTTAGTGCTCCCAGTCTCTGGCAAGTTGTTGCACAACTCCTGACTCTGTGGTGTTACAACACACCATGTCATGTTTCAGAATGCCTCAGGATGAATTTTTCAGTACACCTTAAATCTGTCCCAATACCCTCACAACCATGGTATTGCTATCACCAAGTTCTTACCAACTGAGCCACACAGGACCATACAGACATTAGTGGTCAAGGCACAACTTCTGGATTATGTTCATGATGCTACTGTTGGCAATTAGTACGCTTCATCATTCTTTTATGAGAACAAAATGTTCCTATCCATGAAAGGAGTTGGTTTTCTCTGTTCTCTGGCTCTGAATCTCTAGCCTGGTTATTAAACAACACTAAACGCTGCTCTCATGTGAAGTAAAACAATGGTGAGCACAGCGTAGTTTAACCAGGCTACTTGATCTCACCCTGGTGAGAGACTCCTACAGGACAGAGTTATGTGCGTAGCTGCACAGCGTCTGTCCACGTCTTTGCCAAAATAGGGGCTGGTGTTGTATAATGCACAACAGCTTTTCCCCTCACCCACATTTTAACAGACCAACGTCAAGGCATTCCTAAGCAGTGTGTTCAGACTGACACACTGGAAGATACTTAATACAAATTCTTACACAGGACTGTATAAACAAGCTATGGTAGTAAGTAAGCTATAATAAGACAGTGACAGCATTTCAATGTTAGATTTATTGTAGATTGATACATTATGATTAGGGCCCAGAGTGTTTCACTTGAACTGACCAGGAAAAACTCCAGGTGCTAGTTATAGGCAAGGTTGGGTAGGTTACTTTCTAAATGTAATCCATTACAGTTACTAGTTACATGTCCAAATGTTTTGCTGGTAACGTAACTGATTACAGTTACAGTTTTTTGTAATCAGATTAGATGTAATTGATTACATGTTTCTCTACAACCCTGGTTATAGGCTATATTTTCCTGGTCAGGTCCGTAGTCAGAACAAACTCCTGGCTGTATTGACAAGGTGAGTGTGAGTCTTGACGATAGGGCCACATCATTGTGGGATGTTTTGAGAGTTCTGAGAAAGGCTTTCTAATTCACCCTATAGTAAAAAAGAACAAACAAACGATAAAATAATACAGATGAGAAATAATAAATACAATGTTGATCAATGACGGACATTTTAATCACTCACATACACACAGAGAGGATTAGCCAACGTGCTTATGTCGGGTTTACGTTTTGCCATTTTCTTCGCAGATTACAGAAATTCATATTTTACTTCCAACCCTACCCCCCACACACATGCCCGAGGGGTTGGAAGCCAGGGTCAGCCACAGTGCAGTAACCATGGAGCAGATTTGGGGGTTAAGTGCTTTGCTCAAGGGCACATTTGAACTAGCGACTGTCCGGTTTCTGGCCCGCCTCTCTAACCTCTAGGCTACCTGCCGCCCCAGGGTCAGTCATCCGTCTCTTGCCAGTCCATGGTGAAGGAGCTGCCGGTAGTGCTGTTGTGACTGTTGTCATCGCAGCAGTCCTCTGCATCGGAGAAGGAGGACATGTAGTGGAGGCTGGTGACTCTGTGGTAGCCCCCCTGGAGCACCTCGGGGAGGGCAGACAGTTCCATGGCCCTGCGTCTGGTTATCCTCACCGACACGCTCCACATGTCAATCAACTGGGAACACATGGCACAGCCCATGGTGGCTTTATGGAGAGAGACAAACACAATGGACTTGACACAGACAGTGGACTTGACATGCACAGTGGACTTGACACACACAGTGGACTTGACTCACACACACAGTGGACTTGACTCACACACACAGTGGACTTGACTCACACACACAGTGGACTTGACTCACACACAGTGGACTTGACTCACACACACACAGTGGACTTGACTCACACACACAGTGGACTTGACTCACACACACAGTGGACTTGACTCACACACACAGTGGACTTGACTCGTAACGTTAGATGCTGATATATACACACACGTTATGTCACGTGATGTCACTCACTCATTCACACAGACAGACAGACACCGGTAACCATTACATACATGATGTCACTCACACTTATTCACAGGGACAGACAGACGGACGGACAGACATGGCAGTCACTGACACACACACTTCTTGCTCAGTGGCGTAGTCTGACTCAGGCCTCCAGTGAGTGAGCGAGTGTTGACTCAAGCCTCCAGTGAGTTAGCGAGCGTTGACTTAGGCCTCCAGTGAGTGAGCGAGCGTTGACTCAAGCCTCCAGTGAGTGAGAGAGTGTTGACTCAGGCCTCCAGTGAGTTAGCGAGCGTTGACTCAGGCCTCCAGTGAGTTAGCGAGCTTTGATTCAGGCCTCCAGTGAGTGAGCGAGCGTTGACTCAGGCCTCCAGTGAGTTAGCGAGCGTTGACTCAGGCCTCCAGTGAGTGAGCGAGCATTGACTCAGGCCTCCAGTGAGTGAGCGAGTGTGTCTTCCCTCGGAATGTGTTTATGCCAGCACTCCTATCTGAACCCTTTGACCGAGAGAGAAAGAGGTGTAGCTACAACAAGAGAACAAACAGAGGGAGTAAAAGAAGAGAAAGTCAGACTGTTGGTTGTATGTCAACCGCAGCAGACAGCTGCCTCACAACCAACTCTGCCCCTACGGCAGCTCTGAGGTCACCGCCAGTTGAGGAGTCAAAGAAGGTCACCGCCAGTTGATGAGCTCCCAGAACTTTCTCTTCTCTCTCTCTTAGTACAGGTCAGATGAGGACAGGCAGCCACACAATGTCAATATTTACATCAGCTTCATCTGTTCCAAGATGGACTGTGATGAGAAGCCTAGCTGGGCCCATAGACTGAGGGCAATATATGGGGTAGCTTATGCTCCAGTGTTTCTTAATTCTGTGCTAGAGATATTAGTCTGTTCTGGAAAGTCCTTCTCTAGTGCCAGTAAGGAGGGGAAGTGTTGGATATTTGTCCATCTCTCCTTCATCACGTCAGTATATGGGTCATCGTGAGTATGGTTTACTATGGCTCTGACAAGTGTTCTATTACCAAATGTGGTTCTGGTCAGTCTTTGGCCATGGAAGGGTTGCCGTCGGTGTGGGATCCTCAGCTGGGGATGTATGAGCCTGAGAAGAGAGTGAGAGGAGAAAAGGAGAACGAGGTGTTAATGGGAGTCATCTCTCAGTCTGTCTCCCAATCTTTCCTTTCCAGTCACACACTGACACTACAAGGCTATCTAATACAGACTGTGCTGCCGTAGACACACAGTGGATGAGACGCAAACCAACAGTCTAACTTACTATTTTTTTTATTCTCTCTGTTATCTGTCTAATAAATGTTCCCTATTTTCTCATTTATACAGTCTCAGACAGACAGACAGACAGACATACCCACCCCTGAGGTCAAACAGATCCATGCCAGTAATCCTAATATTGATGCCATCCTCTGGCACTGTAGACATGCCCTACCTACACATACCGGGAGTAGTAGCCAATGGATACTGCCTGGTAAAATCACTCAAGTGTTGGTAATGTCAAACATAAAGAAATTCATAGCCAAGCTGGCCAAATCCAGTTTGCTCTTCGTGACAGTGCAGCAGACGGTGTAGACGCTGACACACAGACGACTGTTACTCACATTACATACATGTCTCTCCTAACACAAACTCATATACGGCTGATTACAAATGCTTGTTCAGAAGGAAACATACACTGGGACACTGCTATGGGAAATGCCACTTTACAAAAACCCAATTCAGCTCATCATTCATCAAATAAATCAGAGTAGCCTACCCTTATTTCCACCATCCATTATTTTGCTATAGATATACAGCACCAGTCAAAAGTTTGGACACACCTACTCATTCAAGGGTTTTTCTTCATTTTTACTATTTTCTACATTGTAGAATAATAGTGAAGACATCAACACTATGAAATAACACATATGGAATCATGTAGTAAGCAAAAAAGTGTTAAACAAATCAGAATATATTTTATATTTGAGATTCTTCAAAGTAGCCACCCTTTGCCTTAATGACAGCTTTGCGCACTCTTGGCATTCTCTCAACCAGCTTCACCTGGAATGCTTTTCCAATAGTCTTGAAGGAGTTCTTGTTGGCACTTGTTGGCAGCTTTTCCTTCACTCTGCAGTCCAACTCATCCCAAACCATCTCAATTGGGTTGAGGTTAGGTGATTGTGGAGGCCAGGTCATCTGATGCAGCACTCCATCACTCTCCTTCTTAGACAGCCTGGGGGTGTGTTGGATCATTGTCCTGTTGAAAAACAAATGATAGTCCCATTAAGCGCAAACCAGATGGGATGGCGTATCACTGCAGAATGCTGTGGTAGCCATTCTGGTTAAGTGTGCCTTGAATTCTAAATAAATCACTGACAGTGTGACCAGCAAAGCACCCTCACACCTCCTCCTCCATGCTTCACGGTGGGAACCACACATGCGGAGATCATCCGTTCACCTACTCTGTGTCTCACAAAGACACGGCGGTTGGAGCCAGAAATCTCAGACCAAAGGACAGATTTCCATTTCCATTTTTCCATTTTAGTCATTTAGCAGACGCTCTTATCCAGAGCAACCTACAATTAGTGAGTGCATAATTTTTTTTATACTGGCCCCCCGTGGGAATCGAACCCACAACCCTGGCGTTGCAAGAGCCATGCTCTACCAACTGAGCTACACCGGTCTAATGTCAATTGCTCGTGTTTCTTGGCCCAAGCAAGTCTCTTCTTCTTATTGGTGTCCTTTAGTAGTGGTTTCTTTGCAGAAATTCGACCATGAAGGCCTGATTCACGCAGTCTCCTCTGAACAGTTGATGTTGAGAAGTGTCTGTTACTTGAACTCCGTGAAGCATTTATTCGGGCAGCAATTTCTGAGGCTGGTAACTCTAATGAACTTATCCTCTGCAGCAGAGGTAACTCTGGGTCTTCCTTTCCTGTGGCGGTCCCCATGAGAGCCAGTTTCATCATAGCACTTGATGGTTTTTGCGACTGCACTTGAAGAAACTTTCAAGGTTCTTGAAATGTTACGTATTGACTGACCTTCATGTCTTAAAGTACTGATGGACTGTTGTTTCTCTTTGCTTATTTTGGTTACTACATGATTCCATATGTGTTATTTCATAGTTGTGATGTCTTCACTATTATTCTACAATGTAGAAAATAGTAAAAATAAAGAAAAACCCTTGAATGAGTAGTTGTGTGCAAACTTTTGACTGGTACTGTAGTTGTCATGGTAGATATGAGATCCATTATGAACATTACCCTGAAACATACATGACCCTAAAGCCATGAGTTGCAGGCCATCCTACTTTGTGTGGCATACATTTTATCTTACATAAGAATTTGTATTTCCATGTAATCTATTAGAACGAATAATTACACCAGTCAATTTAACCAGATAAGAGCATGGTGATGTACTGGCAGTAGACATTGACCTGTCTAGATCACAACCAGTCTTTGTGCATCATGCAAAGGCCACTAGCAAAGACCAAAGACATCCAAATTAGCCAATGATGTCAGTCGATGGGGCGAGAAGGACGGGACAGCCCCAACCCATCACAGCTTTGTGTACAGTAGCCTGCACAGCATCCCTGTCATACGTTCCATGTTCTTATTCAGTTATAGCACAGGCAAAGGCTGAAAGTCATGCACATAATATAGTTATTTAACCATCATCAATCATTTATTTAATGAGGCTTGGTTTCTCCAGAAAGATTCAGTCAATATCTGTGAAATTGAGACTCTGCCCTTTACTGACAGTGTCAGAAAATGAAGTAACATCTATTATAAACACACTGTATGAAATCTGCATGTCTACAGTCAGATACACAGCACACCCAGATTGTGGTGACAAAACACTGTCTGTACAGGAACATCACAGTATTTCACTCTCAATCAGACAGCTGCTGCAGAACACAGTCACACATGCAGTGGTCAGAGGCTGCAGACAGAGGCACACGACAATGTTTTGAAACAGTGGAGCGATCCAGCAGCAGTCGTGTTTGGGTGGGTCAAAGAGAGAGGGGGGATTGATCAAGCAGAGCCTTTAAAAACAGAGGGGTACATGTTACCTCTATCACTCACCTTGTATGTTGTTTACCTGCTCCTGTCTGCAAAGGATGATCAGTGTGCTCTATCCTTTCACCTCCCCCTATCTCCCCTTCTCCTTTTGTTCCTCCTCTCCTTAGTCCTCACTCTGTCTGCCTCTGTCTGGGTTAGCTTGATACAGCCAGAGCAGAGCCAGGCGTAGGAGACAAAGTCTATGACATCATAGTCCCACAAAGTGAGACGACACTGTTCTCTCTCTTTCACACACAACCTCAAGTGCATGCAAACACACACTCACACATACACATAGACTGTGGACATGTGCAAGCACACAATAAATGGGGGTCACAAAAGCAAGAAGAGGGTGTGTCCAATTACATTATTTTACCCAGCATGCAGTAGGGGGTAAGTGGCCCTAAACGTCCCTAAAACCTTAATCAATGGGAAGCGTCTGGTCTTCTAGATTACCTATTGATCTGGCCATCATTCCAACATTAGAAATGATATTTGAATACTGAGATTATAAATCATAACTCCTCCCTTATTATAAGTGTCTGGAAAGATGGCATAGTCTGTGAGAGGAATCATTATAACCAGATGCTAAACCACTAATCAGCGTATACTATGGGGCGTGGCAGTGGGATAGGCAAGTAGTCATGAATACATCAAAGTGAAAGATATTGATTAGAATGAGAATATTAGTTAAATAGATGCCAGCAAAACCTCTGGAATAATTGTTTTGTTTTCTGGCCACGCCCCTGCCAGTGTAAACCAAACTCCTGGTTCTAATTCAACAATGTACTGTGCCTTTGTGTGAAAACCAGTTTTCAAATATGATTACACACCAAGCAAAAGATAGAGCAGGCTTTTAATCATATAATAATCTATAATTACATTTCCAGACATTCACAGACAATCATCTGAGTGTGGATCAACCACGGAAGTCAAATAGCATCAAAAGATCATCATCACTATGACCATGACAGACACACTCTTGTCATTGAAAAACATCAGTTGATTAACTCATATTATTCTTTCGGATAAAGACAAGAGGAGAGTCATTATCTATGCAATCCCCCACAGCAACATCTTTATGTTCAATCATTTACCAGTGAAAATAAAACTCTTACATGCAAGTGTGTGTGTACACAACCCAACGTAGACACACAAACCAGGAATTCAGAAGTGAGGTGAAAAGATGTACTTCTCTTCTCTTTGGACACTGACATACCAATTACCAGCACGGCAGCACAGAATCACTCAAACCTTTACATTTAGGTTCCAACACTGTTTGGACCGACTAGTCACTCAGCATCCATTACTTAGCATTGCTACAGTAGCCATATACATGCTTGAATGTATGTTAGTTAACCTTTAAATGGCTAGTTGGCATACTCAGGGAATCAGAAATCAGGTGAAGCTCATAATGACATCCCTGCTTGCATTGCATCATCTCCCTCTTATACACAGAAAAAAAGGTGCTATCTAGAACCAAAAAGGGTTATTCGGCTGTCCCCATAGGAGAACCCTTTGAAGAACCCATTTTGGGTTCCATGTAGAACCCTTTTGGGTTCCATGTAGAACGAGTTCTACCAGGAACCAAAAAGGGTTCTCCTATGGGGACAGCCTCAGAACCCTTTTGGAACACTTTTTTCTAAGAGTGCACACAACAACATCCTCCTGCTTCCAAAAAAAAGGAAAACAAGTTTGAACCTCTGTGTGAGCGTGCAGTACTAACATGCACACTGCAGATTAATGAACCTTTATGGTAAGAGGGATAAGGATGAATATGATATTTCCTCAAAGCAGAGAGACGAGTGCAGGCAGGTACAGGCCAGTGACCTGGGGGAGTGGTGAATTCTGGGTTATGGAGCTGGGGAGAAGTACGAGACGTGATAGAGATTTGACAGATACACCCCTTCGCACTCTTCCACACCGGTCACCTCTACCTCTATCCCTGCAGGTGGACTGGGGGTAGGACACCCCTCTCTTTCCTCCCCTACTAGCCTGATATACTGAACTGGGGCTACTCTCCTGAGGGTCCCCTCCTCTCCTGTAGATCTGCTGCGGTTTCCTATTAGCCTGGTCCGAGAACTGTTTGTGCCGTCTTGCCAACTAGACCATAGAGAGTTGGCAAGGCGGCACAAACAGATCTGGGACAAGGCTCATCTCCTACACCTAAACACCTTGTGAACTCATTCTCTAAGGAACGGAAAGAGAGAGAATCCCCTCATCTGCTTGTTCATACTGTCTGTAAACATACACTACTAGAGGGTCTTGATGGGATGAGCCTTAATCTGTATAATTTAAATATATACATCGTAAAGTCAATTGACTATGCGATGAGACGCCACGAGTCACGACAATCGGAAAACATTGCAGTCCTCCTCGGAAAGGAGCACAACATTCAACACGCTCTGAACATCCTTTTACTTTTTTCACATCCGTCCTCTTTGGTTGTCTCGTGAAAATAAAAAAAAAATGAGTGGCCGACGTGTCGTAATTGAATGTCTTGTGTGGAGAAGAATGTACATGTTGACCCGAGTCGTCAAGCAGCAATTAACACTGATGATGTCACGCCCCTCGGCATCATGGTCCCAAACGCCACTCCCTCCCTCCACTTCTCGTCTGAACACCTTTAACGATGAAACACCTAGTACAGCAGCCATTTTGTTTTAGAGTTAACCAACCAACCATAACTGCCAAAACAGCTTCAGAGACATGGTGTCACGCAATGTTATATTTTTCACTTAAACATCTTATTAAGATTTGTTCAATAAATAACACCTTTTCCACTACGATAGGATGATAATTGACAACTACGTCTTTCTGCACAGGTAATAGAATGAGGCGCATTGCTACATTATACAAAGTGCTCACGACAAGGCTTCTCTTCACCAAGGTGCAAATCAAACCCCTCAGCTCCAGTGAGGGCCAGTGTAGGAGTCAGACAGACAGACGACCTAGAAGGGAGGGAAGGAAAACATTGCTGATAAAAGAGGAAAATACACCAAGGGCATATGGAAATTGACTTGCAGGAATTCTGTGTATTCTGGTGTGTAGTATTTTTTGTAGAATGTAGGGATGTGACAAATTGAACCATTTTCTTGACATTTAAACTGCCATTTTTGGGGGGGTTCCATTAAAACTATAAGAAAATGTCACAAAATTCAACGAGAAATCCTATTGCATGGTATGACTGCTAGGGGGCAGTGAAGTTCTACCGCAGTCATACAGTAGGCTTCCGCATGCTTCGGGTTTGGATGAAGCCTAGCTGAGCTTGGATAGGTGAACCGAACAAGTGTGCTCGCATACACCCTTAAAAGACCTTCACTTGTAAAACGAGAAAAAAGCGGCAATAGTACTGTTTGTCCATCTTGAGATGCCGTAGCCAGTATACACTTCCTCAAAATAGTCCGAATTAATATAACTCAAGACATCTCATTAATTTTGACAATTTTCTCGAGGATATCTTAGTTAGATGTAAAATTGCGCGACTAAGATGTTTGGTGCAGCATTTCTCAATGAGAAAATGTACATGAAAATAAGTCATCTATCATTGAATGTCAACAAAAACTTTTCTGAAGAATCCCTACTGTTGACCATTCACCAACGAAGGGACGTAGACTTCGCCTACCGACTTCGGCTTGCCTCCAGAAAAACATTGGTGTGCCCGAACAATCGAAAAAACCCTTACCGAAGTCCAAAACGTCACAAAATGTCTTCATAATATATAATAATCATAATAATAATATGCCATTTAGCAGACGCTTTTATCCAAAGCGACTTACAGTCATGTGTGCATACATTTTTACGTATGGGTGGTCCCGGGGATCGAACCCACTACCTTGGCGTTCCAAGCGCCGTGCTCTACCAGCTGAGCTACAGAGGACCATAAACTCTTTCAAACTGTTTTGGCTGGGAAGCATGCGGACGCATTTAGGCATCTATAATATGCTTTGTGGCTGCCTGAACAGGCAGGTGACATTTTGTCACAAAGACAACCGTTAATTCACATTGACTCAGTGTTCCTTCCATTTTTTATGTGCATTAGCGACTCACAACAAAAATGAAACATAGCCAAGTGATCACAGTTCTTCTCCCTACATTCTCTTTTCCTTTTGTTACTTGTCTCTCAATTTCGATACGACCGCTCCCTCTACACACGCTCCCATTAGGCCTACAGAAATTACTGCCTATAAAAACGTATCTAACTGATGGGATACACAATCAAAACTGTAGTCAAGCTACATTCCTTGCTAAATCACAACAGCTTTATCACAAATTCAAAATGGACTGGTTGATTAAAGAAGAGAAATGTGTGTTCCAATCACGAGCTGCAGTTTTGGAATAATAGATGCATCTCGCCTTTTTTAGGCTGTTTTGCAAATAGGTTACAACAGAGGAGGCTCCGCAGAGGAGGAAGGGGAGGACCATCCTCCTCAGTGAATTTCAGAAAAATAAAACTATTGAAACATTTAGAAAAAGTTATCCTTTTTAGATAAAACTACACTAAATATATTCACTTCACCAAATAATTGATTAAAACACACTGTTTTGCAATAAAGGTCTATAGTAGCCTCAACAGCACTCTGTAGCGTAGCACCATGGGATAGCCGGAGGACAGCTAGTTTCCGTCCTCCTCTGGGCCAGTGTAACTGCTAAACTGCTTGCTGACTGTACTGCATGATTGTAGTGGGTTTACTAACGTGTTAGTCAACATAGCTACTATAACTATGACATTAGCTAATATGGTGACAACGATGTAGGCTGTGTGTAGCGGTTATGATATGCATTTTTTGGCTTGGAAAGTTGATGTGTTGTGCACTGATGTCCACAAGTGAAGGGAAAATGTGAGAGGAGGAGAGAGCGTATATGCTGTAACAGAAATAAGGCCATGCTCATTCAAAAAATAATCGTCCTCCCTCATCTTAAATGGCACTGACCGCCACTGGGTTAAAATCCCCCCTAAACCTGGGCAGGTTCCAGACAAAACATTGTTTTGATATAGGCAAATAGTGTATTAATTAGTCTAGGGGCCTACTTTGTTTCATGTTTAACGAAAGCCTGCCCACCTAGTTTAAGCTTACAAATCAAACACAGGGCAAAAAAGATGCAGCTACCTACTGGTTAAAAAGGGACACATTTTTAAACTGTATGTCTCAACTCCCAGTGATATTGATGAGAAAGATGCACTTGCAGTTCTTCATTTAGCAAATTACCTCGCAACTCAAGTAGGCCTTGACAATGGCTGCATATCAACCGCAATCATTTCTGTAATCAGCGTTCTATTTCCAACTTAACGACAAGGACGTGCAGAGCACTTTATATCAGTGGCAATTAATTTGAAAGATGCATAACTCCTCCTACTCACTTTACAGCATTGTTGCGTTCTGTAGGCCTATTTGCATATTGTGGGGGGAAAAAAACGAACATTTTCCATTAAGAATTTTTTATTTAGCGTTACCGATTCAGTTTCATTTAAACGTTTCATACGTTCACACCTCTAGTAGACTTGCCTAGCTTTTTATGTTTTATTGTGCAAGACAAATTCCCCTTCAGGGCCCTTCGATTTAGTTACAGTATCTGGAATCTCAAACACAGTTGGGCTGATTTACAAACTGTTTATACATTAAGTACATTACCTACCTCCCCCCCACCACACACACACACACAGAATGTACAGGTAACTGACAAAATAAAGGAAACACCAACATAAAGCTTAATAATTTGGTGTTTTGTTGATGGTGGTGGAAAACGCCATCTCAGGCGCCGCTCCAGAATCTCCCATAAGTGTTCAATTGGGTTGAGATCTGGTGACTGAGAAGGCCATGGTATATGGTTTACATCGGTTTCATGCTTATCAAACCGTTTAGTGATTACTTGTGCCCTGTGGATGGGGGCATTGTCATCCTATGAGGGCATAGCCATGGTAGCCAAAATAATGGGCTGCCCATCATTTTTATACATGACCCTAAGCATGATGGAATGTTAATTACTTAATTAACTCAGGAATCACTTGTGTGGAAGCATGAGAATGACATGAGCTACGTGAGAGAACAAAGTGAGTGGACTGTAACGGTCCCAGACAGTTACAGGAGCCAAAAGGTCTAGTACTGAAGTGTTTAGTAGAGTCGCTCTGGATAAGAGCGTCTGCTAAATGACGTAAATGTAATGTAAATGTAAGATAGGAATGTTTATGCTACATCTTCCTTAGACCTGAGGTGGGTGGGTGGGTGTGTGTGTGTGTGTGTGTGTGTGTGTGTGTGTGTGTGTTTGCGTGTTTGTCAGTGGGAACTGATGTTGATGTGTGGGTTCTTGTGTATGGATGTGGAAAACCGTCAGCGGGCAGAGATGATACTTGCGTGTGTGTGTTTGTAAAAACAACATGCCTATGTGTGTGTTTGGGTGTGTGTGTTTGTGTTTGTAAACACAACGTGTGTGTGTGTGTGTGTGTGTGTGTGTGTGCTGTCTCACCATTGTGTGTGTTTCTCAGAGTGCCCTGGTCTCTGCCTCCATCTTCCGCTCTCTGTGCAGGCTGTCTGTGTCGGGGGCCGGGGCCGGCACTGTCTGTCTTACTGCAGTTTCAGGCCCTCCACCATAGATACTGAGAAGATACTGCCACGTCTCCTCTGAGATCTGACCATAGTCAGCCCCTAGGAACACACACAGGCACAGACCAATACACACAGGATCAAGCACCCACAGATAGACCAACCAACCGACACCCAGACACAATGTGAATGTGTATAAGCATATACTGCTTACTTTGCTTTAGTTGTACGTGTCCCCCTTTCATCACACCAATCTTACTGTTGTCAATAGGACCAGGGGGCTCTAAGAAGACAATGACAAACACCACCAAGAGCTTTAGTGTCGTTACTAAAGAACATTTGAGACTGTATTCATCCCCTCTACATATCCGGGCCAGTATTCATAAATCGTCTCAGAGTAGGAATGCTGATCTAGGATCAGTTCAGTCTTTTAGATCATCATGAATAATATTATATGGACAGGTGGGGACCTGATCCTAGATCAGCACTCCTACTCTGAGGCACTTTGTGGATATGGGCCCTGGTCTGAACAGAGGATACAATGTGATAATGATAGAGTATTAAGTAATTCAGATCTTTAGCTTTCATTGGTACTGTAATGCCTCTGATTATAAATCAACCATTCTCATAGAATTGTACCGTTGTCTTTGCCCTTGACGAAGTTCTCCCACTCCCTGAACCACTGCATGCTGATACACAGGATTACTGTAGGAGCCTCCTCCGCCTGGAACTCTTTATTCAACTGGAGACAGACCGGGAGAACAGGTGAGGCCTTTGATACAGGACACACACACACGCACGCACACACACACACACTTACAGGCACGCACACACACAAACACAGTGACCCATCCCTCTTACCCTGATAAAGGTGTCTATTTCCACCTTTCTGCGTTTGATCAGAGCCTCTAACTCCACCTGGCAGATAGCACATACGTACAGGTGGTTCACTGCTGGGCCTCCTCCAAAACTAGGACACAGACAAACAGTTAGACACACAGTCTGATGGACAGAGAGACATGTGGACAGTCAGTCAGACCGAGAGACAGCTGGACAGAGAGTGAGATGGACAGTCAGTTAGACAGACAGTCTGATGGACAGAGAGACATGTGGACAGTCAGTTAGACCGAGAGACAGCTGGACAGAGAGTGAGATGGACAGTCAGTTAGACAGTCTGATGGACAGAGATAGATGGACAGTCAATTAGACAGACAGACAGGTGGGTAGGAAGACAGACAGTCGGACAGACAGAGTCTCATCTTACCTGTTGTACAGGTACTCCCACACATTCTGGGGCAGGATCACCACCAGGTCGTCAATGTAGTGGTACTTATTGGGTGGGATCCCTGGACAAAACATGTGAAGAAGATTATTTCAATGAGGTTGAATTGGGGTTGAGAGTGGTTGTGCTTGGGGTTGAGAGTGGTTGTGCTTGGGTTTGAGAGTGGTTGTGCTTGGGGTTGAGAGTGGTTGTGCTTGGGGTTGAGAGTGGTTGTGCTTGGGGTTGAGAGTGGTTGTGCTTGGGGTTGAGAGTGGTTGTGCTTGGGGTTGAGAGTGGTTGTGCTTGGGGTTGAGAGTGGTTGTGCTTGGGGTTGAGAGTGGTTGTGCTTGGGGCTGAGAGTGGTTGTGCTTGGTGCTGAGAGTGGTTGTGCTTGGTGCTGAGAGTGGTTGTGCTTGGGGTTGAGAGTGGTTGTGCTTGGGGACTGATGGTGGGGTTGGTGAGGGCATAGAAATAGAATCCCTAAACCCTCAGACCAGATCAGTGGAGGCTGCTGAGGGGAGAACGGCTTATAATAATGGCTGGAATGGAGTAAATGGAATGGTTTTTGTGTTTGATACCACTCCATTCCATCCATTATACTCCATTCCAGCCATTATTATGAGCCGTCCTCCCCTCAGCAGCATCCACTGGATCAGATGGGTGGAGTTTGCACTTTTCAGACTACTATATTGGTTCCACTGTGCCAGGAAGCTCAATCAAGCACATCTTAAAGTATTTGAAAGAAAACAAGTACTACTTGAAGTGAGCCCAGGTCTTCTATAGATTGAGTCTGGTTGATGTTCAGGATGGGTTCTGGTGGTAGGTTGAGTACAGTACTGACCTCCGTGCTGGCAGAGAAAGGTGTGGTTGATGTTTAGGATGGGTTGAGGTGGTAGGTTCAGTACAGTACTGACCTCCGTGCTGGCAGAGAAAGGTGTGGTTGCTGATGGGCCCTGGCTCAGTGAAGGTGTTGAACTTGTTGAGCCACTCTCTGGAGATGTAGAACTGCAGCAGGCTGGACTCCTTCATGTTGGCTAGAGCCACAACCTTCTGCCTCTCCCTCACCGACTCCTCACTGCTCTTCCTGTGGACACACACACACAGATGGATACGCACACACAGGTGAGCACACAGGCACACACACGCATGCAGGCACACATATACACACATGACCCGACACACACACACACACACACACACACACACACACACACACACACACAAATACATTAGTTCAGCAAAACAGCAATACATTTGTATTATCATTGTAATGTGGTATGAAGGTTAGAGTGTCACCTGTAGAACAGCACATAGGCCTCAGCATTCTGCACCACCGTCTCATGGACCTCTGTTACATACTGGTCATCAAACTCATACCACTGACCGTTGATCACGTTCTGACAGTACGCTATGTAGTGACCACCTGGATGGATGGATGGATGGATGGATGAAAGAAAGAAAGAAAGAAAAAAAGAAAGAAAGAAAGAAAGAAAGAAAGAAGAAAGAAGAACGAAAGAGAAAGAGTAAAAAAGGAAAGTGAAGAAAGAAAGAGCACTGAGCGCAAGAAGACTACCGAAGAAGCAATAAACGACATAAAAGAAAGTAAGAGAAAGAAAGAAGAAAGAAAGAAAAGAAAAGAAAAAGAAAGAACGAAGAACAGAAAGAAAAAGTGAGAGAAAGAAAGAAAGAAAGAGAAAGTGAGAGAGTGAGGAATTGCAGAAATGTAGATAAAGGTATGCTGTGAAACCAACAGCATTCATCAGTGTGCAGCTATCTTTTTCTGTGTCATGACCTCCCTTTCTGTAACTTGCAGCTGAACGTTACAGGATGTGGTACTCTCACATTTTTATATGAGTTGAATTTTGACACACATTTTGAGTGTCACATTTTGAGTTGAATCAAAACCTTGAAGCCTAACAACCATGTTCCCTAAACATCAGGTAGTACAGTCAGTCGACTGTCACTTGTTACTAACTGCCTGCGGTGCCATGGTGACAGATGACGGACAGCAGGTCGTATGTGGTGATCTGGGAGAGGCTGTCCTTGGCCAGGAAAGGTCGGAGGTCGAGTCCCTCCAATGGGAAGGCCACGTGACTGTTGATCTTGAAGGAGTACATCACCTCATGACGAAAACGCTTCAGGTGAATGCACAGAATCTGTACACACACACACACACAAAATGTTTAATGTAGATTTCCTGAAACAAATGCATTATCTTCACTATGAAAATCAACAACATTTCACAACTTCGGTATCTTTAGTCGCAGGAAGTCAAATGCAGGAAGTCAAAGTATGACATCACAGAAGGGGACAAAGATAAGAGCGTTACCTCAGGTAGCCGAAGTACTTTGCAATATTTAACACCATTTCTCAATCTGCAAGATAAGTGAAAGAGTATTAAAATGTGTGTTGTAATGTGATCTGTATTACCAACTAGGCAGATGAATCTTCTAATGCTAAATGTAACTAAAAATTCTCCAAAATACTTACTTTTTACACTTTTCACAGCTGTACATGTTGTCCCCTGCAAAACAATTAATTAAGAAATGACTGATAATTTATTTCATGCTGGGGATTTGTTTTTGTTTTTAAGCAGGAAAGTCCCACTGAGACCAATGTCTCTTTGGCAAGGGACTCTGCATCATAAAGAGTACACTGTGATAAACAGTATCTAATGGTTCAATGCAGTGGCAGCTGCATTCATAGAAATAATGTCGCCATAATCCAGGGCCGACAGGGACGTCGATTTAATGATCTGTTTTCTACTATTAAGCGAGAAGCACCATCTATTTCTAATGAAGAAGCCCAGTTGTATTCTCAGCTTCTTAGTTAACTCATCTTTATGTGTTTTAAAAAGACAACTTATCACCGATCCAAATGCCTTGTTATTTATAAAGAGGGATAACGCTCAATTTGCAGACATGTAAATCTGTGCAGTCAATGTTGTGGTCTCTAGAAAATAACATACACTTAGTTGTTTCCTAATTCAGTCCAAGTTTAAGTCAACAAATGCTTTTTGTATGACATTAAAAGCAGTCAGTACATGAGGGATGTTGAGTAATCTTATTGGACAACAACTGTATCTTGTCGAGTTTACCTTTGAGCTCATCAGCAGCAAAGAAGGCAGCGAGACAGTCCTCCAGTGTCACCATGGGACCCCAAAACCAGCTGGGGATACAGGACACCACAAACCTGTAGCGGGGGAGACAATGTACAGGGGTGAATAAATAGCAAGTAATATGGAACTGTTACATATGGTTTAATACTTGTTACACAGTAGTTACATACTAGGTAAGGTTATTCCCATGGAATGATGCATGTGCATTGTAAAGAGTTACCATTGCCAACTGGCTGTTGCAGATAGAAATGTAATGAATAGAGTTGACACCATTCCTTGTTCTAGATGACAGTCAATCATATCTGTTCTACACAATACATTTATATCTGAACGTTCTGTAATGTTGCATCCCCATGAACGTTCCCCAGTGCTACCCCCATCCCCAGCTCTCTACCCCCATCCCCAGCTCTCTACCCCCATCCCCAGCTCTCTACCCCCATCCCCAGCTCTCTACCCCCATCGCCAGCTCTCTACCCCCATCGCCAGCTCTCTACCCCCATCCCCAGCTCTCTACCCCCATCCCCAGCTCTCTACCCCCATCCCCAGCTCTCTACCCCCATCCCCAGCTCTCTACCCCCATCCCCAGCTCTCTACCCCCATCGCCAGCTCTCTACCCCCATCCCCAGCTCTCTACCCCCATCCCCAGCTCTCTACCCCCATCCCCAGCTCTCTACCCCCATCCCCAACTCTCTACCCCATTCCCTGCCTACCATCTACAGCTCCCTTCCCCTGACCCTTGACCCCCTGACCTGCGTATGGAGTCCATGATGTAGGTGATCCAGCCCTGGGAGCCGTAGACGTCGAGAGACACCCCGGTCTTGGCTGGGAGGTTCTGGTGGATGGAGGAGTGTAGCTTGGCAAGGTCCTCCTTACCTGGGATGGGCAGAGACAGGTCCTGGAATGTCTCCACAGTGGTCGACACCTAGAGGGGGGAGAGGAGAGGAGAGGATGAGAGGAGATTGACCAAAACTTCTCAACAATCTGAACAGTGATAATCCACACAGGCAGAATCCATAATAGTCATGTATAAAGTAGGATCAAGTTTAGGTATAATAATCTGTGGTAAAAGGTCTACAAATTAGAAGAAGTCAACATTCAATATTAATGTGACAGTAGTGAGGTTTCAACAGAGGTAGTAAAGCAGAGTTCCTATGGGAGTGGCGCCCCCTGGTGGTGGTCCACACATACAGCACAGCTCACCCTGTCACAGGTCAGACACTGGACCAGGCTGAGGATAGAGCCGTCGAAGATGTCTGAGATGACGCTGCGGTAGAGAGACTGTTTCTTCTTCTTGGCACCCAGGAGCAGCTGGGCTGTAGAGGTAGATTATGGGAAACGGAGTGAAACCGTTTTTGTGTGTGAGGGGGTAAGGTGTGTCTCTGTTTGTGTGGGAGAGTGTGCGCACATGTGACAGAGTGTGTGTGTGTGTGACTGTGTGTATGTGTGTCTGTGTGTGTGACTGTGTATGTGTGTGTGTGTGTGTGTGTGTGTGTCGGTGGTGTGCGTGGCAGTGTGTGCGTGCGAGTGGCGCAGTGGTCTAAGGCACTGCATCGCAGTGCTAGCTGTGCCACTAGATTCGAATCCAGGCTCTGTCGTAGCCGGCCGCGACCGGGAGACCCATGGAGCGGCGCAAAATTGGCCCAGCGTCGTCCAGGGTAGGGGAGGGAATGGCCGGCAGGGATGTAGCTCAGTTGGTAGAGCATGGCGTTTGCAACGCCAGGGTTGTGGGTTCGATTCCCACGGGGGGTATGAAAAATAAAAAAATTATGTATGCACTCACTAACTGTAAGTCGCTCTGGATAAGAGCGTCTGCTAAATGACTAAAAATGTAAGTGTGTGTGTCTTGTGTATCGACGAGAACGTCCATACCTTTCTTGAAGGAATATGTGGGCCCTGCAGAGCGGAGGGGGCTGGAGGAGAGTTTGGGTTGCAGCTCCTGGTCCGTACGGACAGGGCTGCAGGGGCGAGACTGGGGGCGCTGCTGCATCGATGCCTCATTGTCTGGCTCTGGGTAGAAGAGGAAGGGGGGGCTTTTAGAGATTATTCACACATCACTACACTCACACACAAATCTAATCAAAACCAAGCTTTATTTATCCAGTACATTTCAGACATGGATGCAACACAATGCGCTTCACAGGGGAAAAAAACACACAAAAAAACAATGAAAATCAAATCAGAAATATTTACTACACAACAAACATAAGAGGATAAAAAACTAAAGAATAACAATAGAAACTGAAACACTAAAAAGCACCATGAGGAAAAGCAAAGCTAAAAATGTGTGTTTTAACATCTCCAGTTTCTGCCCCCCTCAGGTTCTCTGGCAGGCTGTTCCAGAGGCTGGGGGCATAGTAACTAAAGGCTGCCTCTCCGTGCCTCTTGGTCCTAGGCTTTGGGATAGTTAAAAGGACAGTGCCAGAGGACTTGAGGGACCTACTGGGTACATAACTCAAAAGCATGTCTGACATGTATTGAGGTGCACAATCATGGATTTATTTAAAAACCAATAGAAGAATCTTAAAAAACTCACAGGCAGCCAGTGCAGAGAATTTAAAACCAGTGCATCAAATCAAATCAAATTTTATTGGTCACATACACGTGTTTAGCAGATGTTATTGTGGGTGCAGCGAAATGCTTGTGTTTCTAGCTCCGACAGTGCAGTAATATGTAACAAGTAATATCTAACAATTTCACAACATATACCCAAAGTACACAAATCTAATTAAAGCAATGGAATTAAGAATAAAGAAATATATGGGACGAGCAATGTGTGCTCTCCGTCTGGTCCTGGTCAGTACCCGTGCTGCAGCATTCTGTATGTTTGGCAGTTGACCAATGGAGTTCTTGGGTAGACCAGACAGGAGAGCATTACAATAGTCAAGCCTGCTTGTAATGAAAGCATGGATGAGTCTGTCTGTATCAGCCTGAGAGAGAAAAGACCGCACCGTGGCAATGTTTCAGGTGGTAAAAAAGCTATTTTGGTCACATTCCTATTGTGTGATTCGAAATTTAGTTCAGAATCTAAAATAACACTCGTCTTATCTTTATTGCCCGTGAATTAAAATATGCGGCCAGATTCTCTCTCTGTGTTTTGGCTCCAACAATAACCAGGCCCATACCTGGAGTGTTGTTGCTCTGCATCTGCCCCTGTCCCTGTGTCTGACTCGGGCTCAGACTGGGGCTCTGTGGGCTCTGTGGTCTAGGACTAGGGGGGGTCCCCTCCTCCTCCTCCGCCCCCCTCTCCAGAGCCCCCTCCTCGGCCGCCGCCGTATCCACATCTGCGTCCTCGTCCATCTCCTGGGAGCCTCCGTGGAGGGGCGAGCCCAACACCCTCTTCTCCTTCAGCCTCTCTTTCTCCGAGATGGGCCCTCCTGTCCCTGCTCGCCCCCCAGTGCCTGTCCCCCCTCCTCCCACCCTTGGCGACACCCCACACTCGTCCTGGATGAGCAGCCCCGCCTCACCCAGCCCTCCTCCCTCTCCCCGGTCGCTGCTGGCGCCCGAGTCGCAGGAGAGGAAGTCATCCTCATTAGGGGAGCGGTCGCCCCCGTCCCTCCGCTCATCCCCCTCCCCTCCCCCAACATACTCTGCCAGTGGCTCCTTGAGCTCCTCGTGGAGTTGGTCCATCAGACAGCGCAGGAACTCCTGGGTGTCCTATGTAGTAGATCACAAGGCAAGAGGGAGGGTGTGTGGAACTGTCCTTTACACTCAGATCACACACACTCAGGTCACACACACACACACACACACACTCAGATCACACACACACTCAGATCACACACACACTCACAGATCACACACACACACACACACTCAGATCACACACACACACTCAGATCACACACACACACACACACACACACACTCAGATCACACACACACACACACTCAGATCACACACACACACACACTCAGATCACACACACACACACAGATCACACACACAGATCACACACACACACACTCAGATCACACACACACTCAGATCACACACAGATCACAGATCACACACAGATCACAGATCACACACAGATCACACACACACTCAGATCACACACACACTCAGATCACACACACACTCAGATTACACACACACAGATCACACACACAGAAGTAGAAGAGGGGAGCATGCTGCTCTATCAAGTAGAAAGAGAGAGAGGGGAGATTGGTGTGGGAGGGCTATGAAGCAGGGAAAAAGTGTGTGTGTGTACAGTTCTGTGCAAGTGTGTTCCCTGCAGCTCTTAGGCACAGACAGCCATTGAGAGTGTGTGTGATGGTGAAAGGAGGTGTTGAACCAAGACAAACAGAGAGAGCATGCTCATCACAACACTATTTTCACAGCAGTTTTGTCATTGTATTTCTCCACAGCAATCAAAACCAAAAGGCAAATACACACAATCCCATTCCAATCAACCAAACACGGATTAACGCGAAGCAGTAACATCAAAATGTAACCTAGTTACTGTGTGTTAGTTAGAGCACATCTGCATCCCAAATGGCACCATATTCCCTATATAGTGCACTACTTTTGACCAGGGTGCACTACTTTTGACCAGGACCCATAGCGCTCTGGTCAAAAGTAGTGCACTACATAGAGAATTGGGTGCCATTTGAGATGCAACCTATGGGAAGCTCTCAATTGCATACTCCTCGCGTCCTCTCTCTCCTCGTCTCCTGACTTTCTCCTCCAATGGGTTTTGAGAAGGAGACTAGGAGAGAGGATGTGAGGAGTATGCAATTGAGATCTTCCCCATTTCACTGTCTTGGCACCCTACTTCCAGTTATCACTGACAGGGTTAGCCAATCAGCAACACAACAATCAACCTATGAAACGTCATTGTCCCCGGAGGTCCATTTGGTTTGTGGCAACAGTGGTCATTTTGGGGGTATGGGTCACAGGGAGAGGTGGGTTAGGTCAGGGGTTAAAGAGAGGGGTAAGAGGGGGTAGGGCTAGGGGTCAGGGCGTTGTTTTGTTTCCTACCTGCTGGGAGCTTGCCCCTACCTGCTGGGCGTAGCCACGGAACATGGGGTTGACCAGCTTGATGCCCTGGGACAAACTGGTGGGGACCACGTAACTGGGCCTGGAGGAAAGAGAGAGAGTTGGAGGGGGAGAGAGAGAGACACACACACAGAGAGAGAAAGAAAGTGAGAGAGAGGATGAAGAAGAGGAGGAGAAAGCATAATGTGAAGCAGACCATGACTAAGCAAGTAGACTCATTAAACAAGTCATACGCTTTCTGGGATAGTCATCTAGTGAACGTGTCCTGGGGTAAGATGTATTTTCTTCTACCTCATACGTCATACAGTATAATTTAAAAACAGAATTTTGCTACATTCTTGTGAATATCTAGTCCAAAAATATGCATACAGTCTAACATTCAACATATTAGCATGTCCATTGGTACACTACCGTTTCTTGTGCCAGAGCTCAGAGATTAGTTTCTGGTAGCTCTTGCACAGCGCAGGTTTCTTGTCGGTCCGCACCAGTCCACTGCAGTCCAAGAAGAACTGAGTGAGAGGAGGACTGGAGAGGGATTAGAGGGGTGAGGGGAGGAAGAACTGGTCAGTCAGAGATCCAATCTATGAAAACTAACACACTGCTGAAACGAGCAGTCCCTCCAGGATTCCACTGAGCTTTTTCTGCAGGCTAAAATTATTGATTTTGCTTTGGCAATTATTACATTTTGCATTGCAATATTCTATGATTTTTACCAATTTGTTTGCAATAAATGTGCAGTGATTGGTTGAAATTGCGAGCCTTCTTTTTGTACTGCAGCGATGGGTCAGTCTTATGTGATAATATTGCGATGATTTGACTGTTTTATGCAGGTGATTGGTAAAATATGCATGCCCTCGGATAATGCACTGACTATACCAAACATTAGTAACACCTTCCTCATATTGAGTTGCACCCCCCCTCAGAACAGCCTCAATTCGTCGGGGCATGGACTCTATAAGGTGTTGAAAGCATTCCACAGGGATGCTGGCCGATGTTGACGCCAATGCTTCCCACAGTTGTGTCAAGTTGGCTGGATGTCCTTTGGGTGGTGGACCATTCTTTATACACACAGGAAACTGTTCAGCTTGAAAACCCCAGCAGCGTTGCAGTTTTTGACACAAACCGGTACGCGACAATTGAGACATGGAATGTTTATGTGTGTGTGCCATTCAGAGGATGAATGGGCAAGACAAAAATATTAAGTGCCTTTGAAAGGGGTATGGTAGTAGGTGCTAGGCGCACTGGTTTGAGTGTGTTCCCTGTGGAACACTTGACACCTTGTAAAGTCCATGCACCGACGAATTGAGACTGTTCTGAGGGCAAAGGGGTGTGTAACTTAATATTAGGTGCTTTGTACACTCAAGTGTATGTTAGAGAAAGACCCCACTGAACAATTCAGAAAATGTCATCACCAAAGTGCGTTTTCACCCACTCTGGGGAGAGTGGGTGGACACCCTATAAAATTGTTGATTTTGAAAAAAAATCTGCTATTGCAGAATCGTGGAGGGACTGGAAGACGCACACATATGCGCACACGCACAGTCACACACTATCAGCTTTAAGGACGAAACGAGACAGGAAGTGACCTCACCAGTTGGACAGGGCTTGAAGAGCTGCGTTCATGTAGCAGGAGTTACCGATATTCTTCATCCCTGTCAGACCTTTGAGAAGGACAAGATGTAGGGGAAAAAAACAAGCTAACATCATACAGGTATATTTATAATATATATTATATGGTAGGGCTATGATACAGGCCACTCCACTGTTTACACCTAACATTTGGAGAACATGGCTACATGCAGTATGTGGGATCTTCTTTTGACCAGTTTCTCACAGGAGTAAAATATTCCTGGAGGATTTGATTATTAAAATAAATAAAAAAGTGATAATTTCTTACGGTAAATTAGTTTTGATAGGCTACGGTAGGCTATGGTTTAGGTGTGTGATCTAGTGAGAGAAAGAACTGCGGGCTTTCAATGAATTTATGTAAACCACAAGGCTCATTTTAATTTCTTGCAGTGCATGAAAAATGATCTGCAACAACAGAGTGATCAAATTAAGATACTACATCTGTTAGTGAAAATGCATGGCATGGACCCTGTCAGTTAATATTGACCATCAGTCTATTACCATTGTCTGGTACCTGGGTCTGGTACCTATTCTTAGGCCGAAAGCAATTATATTTCTCCTAACCCTGAGCTTGCCTCATCTGGCTCTCAGATAATTTGGGAGGTCCCTAACCAAATCAGCTTGGCATAATTCACTAAGGGATAGACCTGCTAAGCGTGTCATCTAGAGAAAAGGATGAATAAACCAATTCTACAGAGCTCTAGATCTGATCGTATGTTACATTTGTAACATAATATGTTAAATTTAAAATGCAGACCATATCTGATGGCTATGGTTGTCACCCATAAAGAGAAAACTTTCGGTTGAATGCATTCAGTTGTGCAACTGACTAGGTATGCCCCTGTACAGGCTAAGGGTATCAGTTGAACTGTGTATATGTTGGACAATATGCAATGCATTCGGAAAGTATTCAGACCCCTTGACTTTTTCCACATTTTTTACGTTACAGCCTTATTCTAAAATGGATTTAAAAATGAATTAAAATCCAGTCAATCAATCTACACACAATACCCCATAATGACAAAGCAAAAGCAGGTTTTTAGACATTTTTACACATTTATTTTATATTACATTTACTCAGTACTTTGTTGAAGCACCTTTGGCAGCGATTACAGCCTCTAGTCTTCTTGGGTATGACGCTACAAGCTTGGCACACCTTTATTTGGGGAGTTTCTCCCATTCTTCTCTGCAGATCCTCTCAAGCTCTGTCAGGTTGGATGGGGTGCGTCGCTGCACAGCAATTTTCAGTCCTCTCCAGAGATTGGGTTCAAGTCCGGGCTCTGACTGGGCCACTCAAGGACATTCAGAGACTTGTACCGAAGCCACTCCTGCGTTGTCTTGGCTGTGTGCTTAGGGTTTTTGTCCTGTTGGAAGGTGAACCTTCGCCCCAGTCTGAGGTCCTGAGCTCTCTGGAACAGGTTTTCATCAAGGATCTCTCTGTACTTTGCTCCATTCATCTTTCCCTCGATCCTGACTAGTCTCCCAGTCCCTGCCGCTGAAAACATCTCCACAGCATGATGATGCTGCCACCACCATACGTCACCTTAGGGATGGTATTGGCCAGGTGATGAGCGGTGCCTGGTTTCCTCCAGACGTGACGCTTGGCATTCAGGCCAAAGAGTTCAATCTTGGTTTCATCAGACCAGAGAATCTTGTTTCTCATGGTCAGAGTCCTTTTTATTTTTTTTATTTTTTTATTTCACCTTTATTTAACCAGGTAAACCAGTTGAGAACAAGTTCTCATTTACAACTGCGACCTGGCCAAGATAAAGCAAAGCAGTGCGATAAAAACAACAACACAGAGTTACATATGGGGTAAAACAAAACAAAGTCAAAAATACAACAGAAATACATATAATATACAGTGTGCAAATTTAGCAAGTTATGGAGGTAAGGCAATAAAATAGGCTATAGTGCAAAATAATTACAATTTAGTATTAACACTGGAATGATGTGCAAGAGATGATGTGCAAATAGAGATACTGGGGTACAAATGAGCAAAATAAATAACAATATAGGGATGAGGTAGTTGGGCGGGCTAATTTCAGATGGGCTGTGTACAGGTGCAGTGATCGGTAAGGTGCTCTGACAACTGATGCTTAAAGTTAGTGAGGGAGATAAGTGTCTCCAGCTTCAGAGATTTTTGCAATTTGTTCCAGTCATTGGCAGCAGAGAACTGGAAGGAATTGCGGCCAAAGGAGGTGTCCTTTAGGCAAAGGAGGTGTCCTTTAGGCAAACACCAAGCGGGCTGTCATGTGCCTTTTACTGAGGAGTGGCTTCCGTCTGGCCACTCTACCATAAAGGCCTGATTGGTGGAGTGCTATAGAGATGGTTGTCCTTCTGGAAGGTTCTCCCAACTCCACAGAGGAACGCTGGAGCTCTGTCAGAGTGACCATTGGGTTCTTGGTCACTTCCCTGACCAAGGCTCTTCTCCCCCGATTGCTCAGTTTGGCCGGGCGGCCAGCTCTAGGAAGAGTCTTGGTGGTTCCAAACTTCTTCCATTTAAGAATGATGGAGGCCACTGTGTTCTTGGGGACCTTCAATGCTGCAGAAATGTTTTGGTACCCTTGCCCAGATCTGTGCCTCGACACAATCTTGTCTCGGAGCTCTACGGACAATTCCTTCGACATCATGGCTTGGTTTTTGCTCTGGCATGCACTGTCAACTGTGGGACCTTATATAGACAGGTGTGTGCCTTTCCAAATTATGTCCAATCAATTGAATTTACCACAGGTGGTTGTAGAAACAATTAAGTTGTAGAAACATCTCAAGGATGATCAATGGAAACAGGATGCACCTGAGCTCAATTTTCGAGTCTCATAGCAAAGGGTCTGAATACTTATTTACATAAGGTATTTCTGTTTTTTATTTTTAATACATTTGCTAACATTTCTAAAAACCAGTTTTCACTTTGTCATTATGGGGTATTGTGTGTAGATTGATGAGTACATTTAAAAAAAAATGTAATCCATTTTAGAATAAGGCTGTAACGCAACAAAATGTGGAAAAAGTGAAGGCGTCTGAATACTTTCCGAATGCACTGTATTCTTTACTGTTATTGAATGGTTGCCATGTTGACGAGAGATGGGTCAGAGGTTACCTCTGGGTTTGAGGTCATCCTCCTCCGACTCTGACCCCTCTTCTTCTGCCACCGCGATGGGCACTGCCTTCAACGGGTGGTGTTGACTCACTGGTTGATGAACTGCATCCTGGGAAAATTATTAATCGTCATTAAAAATAACAAACAAGAACATCAGTCTGTGTGCCTGTGGGAAGCCAATTAAAATATATTAACACAGCATCGGCTGCATTTCAGCTCACAAGTGTCAATGTCAGCTGATCAAAATTAAAACATAGTTGAGTAAAACTTTATAATAAATCAATGCTTTATACACAGTACATTTTGCAGTCCTTCTGAATAGTTTATGAACGCTTTCTAAATTAAAGATATTATGATGTTACCCATAGTTGATATAGGGCCCATCCCAAATGGCACCCTATTCCCTATATAGTGCACTAATTTAGACCAGTGCCCAAATGGCACGTAAACATAGTATAGTTTAATATAGCTGAGCTGACCTTTGTGCGATGGCGTACCTGGTTGTCCATTGCTTTACAGTGGTGGGGAGTGTGTGTGGCAGACATAGCAGATACCACTGCAGGCCTCTGCTCTAGAAACACCTCCCTCTCACACACATAGCACCAGATCCTGAACGTTGTCAGGTTTACTGTCAGGTTGTGTTTCTTAGTCTAGGGGGAGAGAGACACAGAGACACACACGCCCACCCACACACAAAATAAGCTTTGAAAAACATATTTTTGTTGCAAGAAATGTTAGGGCGGCAGGTAGCCTGTCGGTTTGAGAGGCGAGCCAGCAACCGGAGGGTTACCAGTTCAAATCTCAGGTCCGATAGGAAAGATCTGGCGGGAAGTGAGCTGGCAACCGCAGGGTTGCTGGTATTAAATCCTAAATGCTGTTGCGTGTGTTTCTCTGAGGGGTTGAAAGTGGAAGTCAAATTTCGGTTGTGCCAATAAAGTGATCTTAATCTAGAAATGGCATCTCTCTACCCAAAGAAGAAACGCTCTGAGAAGAACTCACCTGTGCGTGTAGGGTGCTGTGATCTGAAAAAGATTCTCCACAGCCAACATATTGACACTCGCTCTGACCAAAATAAATAAAGAATTACATTAGACATTAGTCTATGGGTTAAAAAAAATATGTCATGGTCCTCAGAATATCTGAAATTGTGAAGAAAAGCACACTCAAAGAAAAAGCCTGTTGTTTACCTGAAGACAGGCCCAGAGGTTGGGACCTCCCGCTACACATAACTGGCAGGTTCCCTTCAGAACAAAACAATTATACAGCACCAACTCCTGTGTGATTTTGTCAGACCACCAGAATGTATAGTACTTTTATTTTTTTACATTTTGTGGGACTAAGGGCCTTTTAGACCAGAAAAATATGTGAAGGCAAATCTAGAAGACATGACTCAAGAGTAAAATACATTACTTTGGTCACATTGCATCCATTCTATACATATTCAAGATGCTTGACACTGCGAGAGCTTGGGGCTATAAGGCTATATCTGCAAAAAGATGATTATGAGATAATTGTCTTTAAAAAGTTCCAAACCATCATTGGTTTTAATGGTGTCAGCATTTTTCATCTTGTATTCTTTTGAACTTAACAATATGAATTTGGGTATTTACAGTACAATTTCGACCAAAATGCAGATAGAACCTTATAGTCCCAAGCTCTCGACTGGGCAAGTCTCTTTAGAAATCATAATTTTCTCTCACCTTGGATTTCTGCAGAAGGTCCTCCTTGGTGACCTCCCCTATGGATTCCAGGTGGGGACAAATGTCCCCCGGGTCACCCATGTTTATTCAACTTCTTCTAAAGACAAAAAAATATATTAATCTATGACATTTTGTTTGGGCAGATAAAACATGAAAATGAAGCAAGCAGACACAGTAAATGGCTACAAACAGATACACTTCAATCAAGAGGTGTGTCTGACTCTGCAAGAGTAGACTATTTCAAAACAAACGTATGTCGAATTCGTCGTAGCTAGCAGGGAATGTAGCCAACAATGATACTCTTTGGTTTTGCTAGCATGCTAACGTTACTGCATTTACTAGTAGCTAGCTGCCTGACAACCCGTCGGCATTCTAGGAATGGATAATCAATTAATTCAACAGCTAACTATTGCACATCAGCCAACACAGGCACACTTTTTTATTTTTTATTAAATCAAAGACACTACATTTTCCTGTACAATGGTTTGGCTAAAGAGCCACCGAAATATGACAGCTCTGCTGCAAACTGAAGGCCCTGTTTTTCCACGGCTAACTAGCATCAGAAATCGAGGATGACATCGATAACAAATACATTCATCTCAAGGAATGCTATTTACCAACACCAGGCGATGTCACAGCAATATTCCGACGCGTTCATTTAAGGGAAAACGTGCGTTAAAGATAGGTAAACACCTAGCTAGCGATGGTACCCTGGCTAGCTACTGTGGCTGTCGTACGGAATCGAGATACCCCATCCCACTTTTACCCCCCGCCCAACTCACACACATGGTTTAACGTCAGTGTTGTTATGCTCAACGTCAGCGAGAATGGGCGCTTGTTGCTTTATGTAAGGTCAAAGAGGTCTCTTTCAGAATTATCTAAAAGTATTACCCTGCGAATCATTACCTGAAGAAACTCAGACATTAACTGTACTTTTTGTGTTGAGCATCCAGAAGCAGTTTTGCATTTACTTTGGCGCTGTCTACATGTAAAGAGATTATGGCAAGACATTTGTAGTTTTATAATATTCTTGATGACTTCTGTTTACATTTTAGTCTTATCCAGAGCAATTTACAGTAGTGAGTGCATACATTTTCTTACTGGTCTCCCGTAGGAATCGAACCCACAACCCTGGCTTTGCAAGAGCCATGCGCTACCAACTGAGTTAAGGATACAAGGAGAATGGAAGAATGTGTTGCTCATTTCCGTAACTATAATAAGGATAAAGAAAAACAATTTTACCTGTTAAATGTAATTGTGCTAATGGAAAAATGTCATATTCATAAATGTAAATTCACTAATAAAAAACCACTCTTCCTTGTTTTCTATAAGGAGTTAGAGCAGTACATTAAGATCATTGTACATTCTTCCAATAAGAAAGCTGTTAAAACAATCAATACGTGTGTGTCTTTTAAGGTCTTTGTACAATCTGTAATTTGTTGTACCCCCTAGCATATATGTTGTCCTTGTCTGTTTGTTTACTACTGGTGTTTTCTGCAATAAAACATAATAATAATAACAGTAAATGGTATTCGGTATCCTTGGGATGTCCAACTCTGACATCACCCAATAGACACTAGCTCGACTGTGTTTGTGCGCATGACGTTAGTTTGCAATTATAATATTGACAAAGTTCCAGTGAAACTCTGCTTTTCATCGGCAGATTTTCTTGTCATGGTCCTTAATTTATAAGCATAATTTTTCTCCACACAGATATTATATATGGAATAATCAGGATATATTGTATAAAAATACTTCCTTGTTTTTAGAATATTGGTTCCGAAATAATATCCTATTGGTGAGCCAACTTGTAAACGCAGAGGTTTTTTTAACTTAGTTATAAGGAATTCTTATCACTTTACAAGATCCCTGTAACGCCTAAAGATTTTGCAATTGTTTTAGATGCCATTCCCTCAGGAGTTTCTTTATTATTCAGGAACGTGTCAAGACCTGACCCTCAGAACCTACCTTCCATTAACCCTGGTGACTCATCGGTAGGAAATATTTGTTTCTCTTTTGGTCCATTCAACTACAATAGAGCTATACGAACCTTGTTTCAGCAGGATGTTGTAGTTATACCTTATTGATAATGTATGTTGGAAAAAAGTTTGGATGTTGCCACACACATACCTACTTATTAACAAAACGAAGGAAGTTTATTTTAAAATTATTCATAAATATTGTCCTGCCAACCACTATATGAAGAAGTTTAAGAAAAACATAAATTCAAATTGTACCTTTTGTACTGATCACCCAGAAACGATGTTGCATCTTTTTTGGCATTGTATTCATGTAAGGAATCTGTGGCAAGACATCAGTAGATTTATAATTGAACACATTTATGAAGACTTTACACTATTGTGGAGAGATGTACTGCTTGGATTCTTTACCTACGATAGAAATAAGTTGAAACAATTTTATGTAATTAATTTCATTATTCTTTTGGCCAAATTTCATATTCACAAATGTAAATTTACAAACAAAACACCACATTTTCTTACCTTACAAAAAGAAATTGAACTATATTTTAAGACAATTAAATGCACTACTAACAAAAAAGCTGTTAGAATTATAAGTGTGTGTATGTCCCTTAAGGTCCTTGTGTAATGTGATATTGTACCCTCTAGCGCAATTGTCCTTTGTATATTCTTTATAGATACTTGTGTTCCCCCATGTACTTTCTGTATTGATTTGTTGTTAATAAAAATAAATGGAAAAAATATATATATATATGCAAACAAAAAAAATACAAAAAAGTGTTTGTGCGCATGACCTGCATGTGTGCGGGACGACGTTGGTCAAGCCTCGTACGAACCATCTTGATCTCGCGAATTTACATTCAGTTTCCACTGGCACTCGAAAATATGGCCATACAAAATTGATGTACTTTTTTTTAACGATTCATGGTTCATTTAAATGATAATTTTTGACGAAATGAACGATTCACCATTATATTAGTTGGGACTCGGTTCAATCGTGATGAATCAAATCATTTGAATCAAAATAATAATTTGTGAATCGCGAACGATAATTTTAGGAAAATATTTGATGTAGCCTTTCTTTTACATTATGTGGCTTCAAAACTTGTTAAACATTACTAAACTCGAAAACGTACATTTCCAGCTTGCTTCAGCTGAATAAAAATATTTGTAGCCTACCATAGCCATTTGATATTTGATATATTGAATGAGCAAATTATGTCAAAAGGCACAAAACGTATTTGGTTGTAATGTTGCAATGTTATACAGCAAGGGTGGTCAACCATCCTCCAGGAGAGCTAATGAGTGTGTAGGTTTTTATTCCAGTCTCCCTCTAACAAACCACATTTTAGAAATTAGCTGCTCAACCAGACCTTGATCAACTGACTCTGGTGTGTTTGAGCAGGGCTTGATCAAAAACCTGCACACTCAGTAGCTCTCCAGTCCAGTTGCCTAACAGGTATTCTACTTTGTGGGGGGTTAAATGCCTTGCACAACAACATGAGATGGTACATGGGATCAGAGAGCAGCCTCCCAATGTCGATACCACATTACGCATACTTTTTTATACGTACATAGAGACGTCACCAATTGTTAGTCATGGAAATTTGGTTAAAAATCATGAAATTTCATCTGTCAAAACGTGTATGAACCCTATTAAGGTTAGGGTTAGGTGAGGGTTATGGTTAGGGTAGGGACGTCCCAAGGATCCCTGATAACACAAACCGAGCTTGAATGGCATTTTTTAGCCCTGAGTCTGTGAGCATAGTAACTAAACTACAGGTGTCACTGACTGTCGATTCTAAAGTTAAATCATCTTGACCACACACTCTCCCAACCTCAGTAAACCAAACTGTCAGTCAGATACAGCCAAATACGCTGCTGCTACTCTGTTAATTATTTATGCATAGTCACTTTTAACTCTACCCACATGCAGTGGCGGCTCCTGAAAAAATTCTCAGGGGGGGCAATTTTTCTGATGATTTAGGTGACCTACACACATTTTAAAAAAGATATGTCCAGCAACAACATGAAGACAGGGGCAGCATATAAGTCAATACCAGAAGCATTTATTGACTGATCTCAAAAGTGTTGGCTTACCAGGGTTGGTGGAGCCCTCAGTTTCATCTTTGCCTCGCAAAGCTAACTCAAACACTCCGCAAAACTTCACACACTGGATTAGCCGGCTGAGGATGTGGCGGTTCTTGCTAATGTCGTAGTAAATATATTTGTTATAGTGAATATGGAATATGATATGTTGAGTAAAATGTTGTGCTAAGATCTATTTAGGTCAGGAGCTGGTTATAAGTTCTGTTCCTATCCAATAACAATGGACAAAAGGGTCCTATCTTGTCAGCCTTGTCAGTTTCAGTTCTCCGGTAAACTTGTGATTATCAACACTAACCTCATCGTTGTGGCGGCGGACAGCTAGCCTGTATCCCTCATCCAGTTGAGTGGGAATGTTCACTCTCCCCAAAGCAGACAATCTCAAACAGCTATCCATGTGGGTCTTTGACAGCTCATGTTTCTTAATCTTTCCTGAAAGATGGTGCATGTCCGTTACACACCAGTCGCTGTCCAAGCGGTGCTGTCTGCCGTGCCGCCTTCAGGGTGAAAGAGTAAGCAGGGGGTAGCAGAAGACTGCATTAGCTACATCGCAGCCTGCTAGCCAGGTTTTTCGTTCGTACCAATTTTTGGAAAATCCTCGGGTGTAGGACTTCCCCCCTTTAGTAGAAACCTGTTGAATTATTAAATTTGGTCTGGGAGGTCCTAATTGTTTCGTTGCCAATTTATCTTCATTTGTTCGCCGACAAAAAGGAACTTCTTTCAAAGACACAATCGAGTTGCACTGAAGCCTAGCCATTTTGATAGTAGTAGTGAATTGATTGACGAGGCTACCCGCTCTTTTCTTAGTTACGTTCATGGTTATGTTACGTATGACGAAAGCGCGTAAGTGCAAGCCCTCAGAAACCCATAGAGATTGTATTGAAAGCTCTGATATTTGAAAAAAATAGATTTTACATGGGAGTCTATGACAGACTTCTGGGCGATTTTCAACCTGACTGAAATCGCCCCAAAAGGGGGGGGGGGGGCATTTGAAGCACGACTTTAGCCTGATTGGACATTTAGTGGCACTGTGGCAGATCAGACGTCTAGATTACAACACTGATAACTACTGTTGCCGTGATATAATTGATTAGAAAAAAAATCCCTTCCTTTTCCCGTTTGGCAGTGCGTCGCCCATATCGCCCTATTGAACACACCGCCCCTGCCCACATGTACATATTCCTTCAACTACCTCAACTAGCCGGTGCCCCTGTACATTGACTCTGCACCGGTACCCCCTGTATATATAGCCTCCCTACTGTTATTTTATTTTACTTCTACTCTTTTTTTCTCAACACTTTTTTGTAGTTGTTTTATTTTACTTTTTTTATTAAAAATAAATGCACTGTTGGTTAAGGGCTGTAAGTAAGCATTTCACTGTAATGTCTGCACCTGTTGTATTCTGCGCATGTGGCCAATAACATTTGATTTGATTTGATGGCACAGTTGAAAATGCAGGTGAGAACAGCTGAACTGCGTTTTGTTCTGGAGTCCAGCTTATTAGAGCCAGCAAGTAACTAAAACTGTGCAAGATAAACCATACATACAGTGAGCTCCAAAAGTGAGCCCCCCCCCCCAAAAAAAAAAAAAAAAAAAAAAATGCTAACCTCCTCTGTTATTGTAATGGTGAGAGGTTAGCATGTCATGGGGGTATGATATTTGTGCATCTGTAACTTTCTCACTAAGCATTATTCACAATTCATTAAGGACGTAATCATAGTAGCATCCACATTAATGTTGAATGTTTAGAAACATTCTATTCTTATTTACAATAAAAGTGACTCCAAAATGACACAATACATTATTTACCATTCATTTACATTTACATTTTAGTCATTTAGCAGACGCTCTTAACCAGAGCGACTTACAGGAGCAATTAGGGTTAAGTGCCTTGCTCAAGGGCACATTAACGTCATTTAGCAGACGCTCTTAGCCAGAGCGACTCACAAATTGGTGCGTTCACCCTATAGCCAGTGGGATAACCACTTTACAATTTGGGGGGGGGGGGGGGGGGGGGGGGGGGGGGGGGGTTAGAAGGAATACTTTAGCCTATCCCAGGTATTCCTTAAAGAGGTGGGGTTTCAAATGTCTCCGGAAGGTGGTGAGTGACTCCGCTGTCCTGGCGTCGTGAGGGAGCTTGTTCCACCATTGGGGTGCCAGAGCAGCGAACAGTTTTGACTGGGCTGAGGGGGAGCTGTGCTTCCGCAGAGGAAGGGGAGCCAGCAGGCCAGAGGTGGATGAACGCAATGTCCTCGTTTGGGTGTAGGGACTGATCAGAGCCTGAAGGTACAGGGGTGCCGTTCCCCTCACTGCTCCAAAGGCAAGCACCATGGTCTTGTAGCGGATGCGAGCTTCAATTGGAAGCCAGTGGAGTGTGCGGAGGAGGGGGGTGACGTGAGAGAACTTGGGAAGGTTGAACACCAGACGGGCTGCGGCATTCTGGATGAGTTGTAGGGGTTTAATGGCACAGGCAGGGAGCCCAGCCAACAGCGAGTTGCAGTAGTCCAGACGGGAGATGACAAGTGCCTGGACCAGGACCTGCGCCGCTTCCTGTGTAAGGCAGGGTCGCACTCTCCGAATGTTGTAGAGCATGAACCTGCAGGAGCGGGTCACCGCCTTGATGTTGGCGGAGAACGACAGGGTGTTGTCCAGGGTCACGCCTAGGCTCTTCGCACTCTGGGAGGAGGACACAGCGGAGTTGTCTACCGTGATGGCGAGATCATGGAACGGGCAGTCCTTCCCGGGGAGGAAGAGCAGCTCCGTCTTGCCAGGGTTCAGCTTGAGGTGGTGATCCGTCATCCATACTGATATGTCTGCCAGACATGCAGAGATGCGATTCGCCACCTGGTGATCAGAAGGGGGAAAGGAGAAGATTAGTTGTGTATCGTCAGCGTAGCAATGATAGGAAAGGCCATGTGAGGATATGACAGAGCCAAGTGACTTGGTGTATAGGGAGAAAAGGAGAGGGCCCAAAACCGATCCCTGGGGGACACCAGTGGTGAGAGCACGTGGTGCGGAGACAGCTTCCCGCCACGCCACTTGGTAGGAGCGACCGGTCAGGTAGGACGCAATCCAGGAGTGAGCCGCGCCGGAGATGCCCATTTCGGAGAGGGTGGAGAGGAGGATCTGATGGTTCACAGTATCAAAGGCAGCAGACAGATCTAGAAGGACAAGAGCAGAGGAGAGAGAGTTAGCTTTAGCAGTGCGGAGAGTCTCTGTGACACAGAGAAGAGCAGTCTCAGTTGAATGACCAGTCCTGAAACCTGATTGGTTTGGATCAAGAAGGTCATTCTGAGAGAGATAGCAAGAGAGTTGGCTAAAGACGGCACGCTTTCTATTGGGCGCAAAATAATCTGAAACACAAACATAACAAACCACAAATGCATCCAACAAGTTTGTAGAGTCACAAGCTTGATGTAATCATTACATGCTAGGAATATGGAACCAAATACAAAACTTTTGACTACTTTAATACACATATAAGTGAATTTGTACCAATACTTTTGATCCCCTAAAATAGGGGGACTATGTACAAAAAGTGCTGTCATTTCTGAACGGTTCACCCAATATGGATGAAAATACCCTCAAATTAAAGCTGACAGTCTGCACTTTAATGTCACGGTCATTGTATAATTTCAAATCCAAAGTGCTGGAGTAGAGAGCCAAAACAACAAAACGTGTTACGTCATGTCCGGTTTTGGGGGATGTGGCGCATAGATCCGTCGGTGAAATCTGTCCCCTGTGTTATTATTGTTGGCAAAAGAGCAGCTGCGTACTCTGTAAAGTCGTGTACACAAACAGTTTGCTACCATCCTTTCTAAAACAATGCCGTCGGGTAAAAATTTTAGAAGGAGAAGAGAAAGCTCTTCGGATGAAGAGGAAGACGAAATAACAGCTGAAGTTAGGTAACGTTTGAGACGTTTTCAATATAGCTTACCTTAGCTAGTAAGGCAGCCACGACGTGAATGATGGCCAGCTTCTAGCTAGCTGCAGCTGGCTAATGACTCTTCGATTGCCAGATAGCAGTTATCTTCCTGTTCTTGATATTGACATCAGTCAAATATTTTTTTTCTACTCAGATCGAAACTGGACGAAGCTAAAGAACTTCAGAGTTTACGGAAAAGACAGACTGGAGTTAGGTAGGCAAAGTTTACAGTTATGTTTCTGTTGTGTACCCTAGCTAATTGTACTTAGCTAGCTACCTAAGCTAGAAGTTTATATCGCAGCAAGCTATGCAATAATATTTGATTATCAACATTTATCTTTTTAAGCATTGGGTTTTCAGCCAAACTACAGGCTCACAACTTGGTTTGCTGCTATAAAGCCGAAGGATGGGGCTGGATAAATTGAATCACTATCTCAGTCCATGAGATAGACATAATAGTTTTAATCATAGTTTGTTTACAAAGACTCAAATGAGCACGCTTATTGGGTTAAGATAGAGTAAGACAGTTATTTGGACCTACTGAGGCATGTACAATTTAGCATATATTATAAAAAAGTAAACAGGCATATTATAAAATGACTTTAATAGTTGAACAATTATACCTTAAAGTGATGATACTGAAAAGTGATGATAAACGTTATGTTATGTTGTGCTATTCAGCGTGGCCGCATTGTTGGAGGGGGAGAAACTTCGCTTGGACGAAGGGGGTGATGTACGTTTTTTTTCTTGTTTACATAGTGTTATTGTTCACTAGTTGAGACATTGAACGTGTTTGCGTTTCTGCTTTAAACATCTAACTACATTCTTTTCACCTTTCATTCCTCAAAAGAATGACCCTTTTAAATTGAAGACCGGGGGCGTTGTTGACATGAAAAAAGTAAAAGACCGGGCCAGAGACATGTAAGCTTTTATTGTTACCAGTTTCAGGCTTTTAAAGTGAGTGTGTGAGACAATTTTTTGTCTGTATTTATAATGTGTGTGTGTGTCTTTTCCACCTTCAGGACTGATGATGACACAGGGGACCTTAATCTGGGCACCTCTTTCTCTGCCGAGACCAACAGACGAGATGAGGACGCCGACATGTATGTTATCAACAAACCTCTGCAAACTAAACATTTGATTATATTTTAGTGGATCCCCATTAGCCGATGCCAAAACGAAAAAGACATTACAGACAAAAATACATTCTCTTAGAGAGCACAACTATTGTCCAATGAGATCTCACTGATGTTTCAGATCACTCATTTTCTCTCCCTGTCACAATTTTGAAGTTCTATATTTTGCTATATATTTTTAAATGTTCTCTCCCCCTGTCCCCCGGCTAGGATGAAGTACATTGAGACAGAGCTGAAGAAGAAGAAGGGCTTGGTGGAAGCGGAGGAGCAGAAGGTAAAAGTGAAGAACGCTGAGGACCTCCTGTACGAGCTGCCGGAGAACATCCGGGTCAACTCGGCCAAGAAGACTGAAGAGATGTTGTCCAATCAGATGCTGAGTGGGATCCCTGAGGTGGACCTAGGCATTGAGTGAGTGGCCGGGGTCTCAAAATGTTTCTGCAGCTGTGGTAGTGTTCAGTTTTCGGAACTCTGCCACTGCTGCTGAAAAAAACCTAGGGGAAACACTGTTGGTGTACTTTGTTTTTTTGCTCTTGTTAAATCTGTATTCATGTTTGTAGCAACTATAGAAATGTCTCGTCATCTTACCACAACAAATCCAGTGACTGAAAACCTTGCACAACAGCTATGGTGTTTGTTTACCTCTATTACTATCTTGAAGCTTAGATAGAGCATTATTTTTTTCAGTGCTAAGATAAAGAACATCATCTTCACGGAGGAGGCCAAGGCCAAGCTGCTGCAGGATCAGAGGAACAAGAAGAAGGACAACGGCACCTCCTTCGTCCCCACCAACATCGCTGTCAACTATGTCCAGCACAACCGCTGTGAGTCATGTTATGTTCATGTCATCTATGACTGACACCTGTTCACACTACAGGGCCGACCCAGCCCATACTGTGCTGGCTTGGTTATTTTCCCCCCACATTGTTCTTTCCAGAAACTATGGTGGATGTGTAACCAGGCCAGCCCAGTACAGCTAGGCTTGACTCAGTAGCATGAAAGGGGTATTAGATTAGTGACATCAAATCACGTCAACCTGTTTTATACATGCTGATCGGTCTGACCTTTAACTGTGTGAATGTCTTTTGTTCCAGTCTACCGTGAAGACGTGAACGCCCCACAGAGACACCACAACAGACACAAACCAAAGGAGCCAGAGGCCAGGCCTCTCCGTGTGGGTGACACAGAGAAACCAGGACCAGAGGGTAAGAGAAGAACCCACACAACCACACTACTGTATTAACCACTTAACTACATAGCATTTAGACCAGAGGACATATACAAACACACATACTGTTTGAGAGACGCAACAGCTAATACTGATAGCATAACACAGTAATTCTGAGATGAAAAGATTTGTATATTTTTAGCTGAAATATTAGAGAATATACCTATTAGAGAAGGTAACTGTCAATCTGCTCTCATGTCTCTCCCAGCTGTGGAACCAGCCAACCATCGCAAGAGGCCTAACAACGAGAAGGCCACGGACGACTACCACTACGAGAAATTCAAGAAGATGAACCGCAGATACTGAGGATAGATTTTCCCTTTGACTGGAGATTGGATAATCTCCATTGAACATGCTTTTTAGTCTAGGACTAGGCTTAGTATTTTCTACAGAAAAAACATCTCTGTCCATTTGTATAAATATCCCCTTCTGCCTTGTTTCCAGCATTGTTGTTTTGTCTGGGACTCAATTTATGTATTGTATTCTATCAATAGCATGTGAAATGTCATAAATCAGAATTATTTGTGATGTCACATGTCATTCCATCCTTGGTTTCTACAATAAATGTATCATGTTATTTTTGACATATTCTGTCAGTACAAAACCAGTAGTAGTAGCAGACTATATTTTTTGATTGTTCCAGAAATGTTTTTGTTTTTTTAAAGATTAGAGACAGAGGCTTGAGTTTATAATGATGTTTTATTCACTTGTCTAAGTCTTCATGAAACTAAAAGCTTACTAACTGAAATTGCAATATTACAAAAACAATGCTACAAAAGAAATCCAAGAACATAACATCCATATACTTGCATGACATGCAGTCTTATGGTCATACATTTAGACAAGTTTTAACAAAAATAAAGAAATTGGCATCTAGTAATGCAGCATGTTTCTGCCACTGGGATAACTGAAATGTCTTTCAAACTAAATCTCAACAATGTACGTAATGGGGATATTAGACAAAACCAAGAAGTCTTGGTCAGATTTTGGGGAGACAGCGTTTTAAAGTTATTTGGGCCAGCTAATAGTCTTCACACTAGTTGCATAAAGTATTATTTCTAATATTGTCCAAACTTTTAAAAATGAATAACATACTTTATCCATTTGGTCGGATACGTTGCTACAGAGCTTACAGCATTTATAAACTGTTACAATTGATTACCACACCTTTTCTTGTTTTATCGGAGAAGCAACCTGAGATGGATTACCATTATTGATTGAATAAAGTATGCGTGAAATTTGTGCAGTTGGAGTGTAACATTAGCTTATCAACAGTGTTCATCATACTATCAATGCTTCATACTGTTCCCTTGTAATATTACAAAGTATACAGAGGAATACCCTTGAGAAACATCAAAGGTCTTTAGTTTGGTTCAATTTTGCTTGCCCCCATTTCCACCACAGACACACTGACAGTGGAAGACTTGTCATACTGTACATGGATAGACTATGATACACGAACACTAATCTACGTACCACTGTGAGAATCTGAGTGACACACAGTGTTGGAGGTAGAGGTCCATTCTACGTTCCTATGTGCCCATCCATATGTGGTCTGCTCCAGTGCTTTAGGGCTTGTCTGCCGCGGTGATGGTCCCGTGTTTGGGGGTGGTCTCCTGTGAGGCAGGTCCATCTGTGTCCTCCTCAACCCCCTGGGCTGACCCGGAGGTGGCACCCCTGTCCGGGGATGCCCAACTGTCCCAACGCCGGTAGGCCTCACATAGGGGCAGGTCGGAACTGTCCCACTGACCGTAGCTTTACCAGAACAAAAACCATAGAGGGGCATAGAATCAGCAAAGCACAGAAAGGAGAGGAGAGGTGTGTGTCTGACTCACATCTGGTAGAGTACAGACACACACATGCCTTAAAGAGACAGACACAGGAATGATGCACACAAAAAGCAGGGAATAGCAGTATGAAGTAAAAGCTTAAGCTCTAAAAGGATTACAGAGGAATGTTAGCCAGGAGGTCTAGTGTCTGGTGCTGTGATCATATCCCTAAATAAATGTGCCTGTAGTCTTTCATTCCTGTCCGTCTTCGCTATTAACAGCTGCAATGCGGTCTCAAAGATGGTAAACTGGACACAGTTTGTTTTGTTTCCATTTCCAAATGCAACACAATCAATGAAACATGACCTGGAGCAAAGGGTCAATGAGTAGGTGAGAAATCTGTCAATGTGCCCTTGAGCAAGGCACTTAACCATAATTGCTCCTGTAAATCGCTATGGATAAGAGGGTCTGCTAAATGACTTAAATGTAAATGTAGAGTTGGGTCATCTGTAACTGACTGTTAGATACAGTGGTTGTTGGTATTAGGGTTGTCACAATACAAGTATTGTGATACTCAGAGGTATCGTGGCAAAGAAACAAAACATGAAGCGTACTGAATTTCCTGAGGAAAACAGTCCTAATGTTGGAAACAAACAGCCTGATGATGTCACCCAGAATCCCATGTGAAAAAAGTGAAAACGTATGCACTCTGGATAAGAGCGTCTGCTAAATGACTAAAATGTAAAATGTATACAGTAGGTTTTTTAAAGGACCAAAGAGTTTAGTCTGCTTTGTGATTTCCTTTTTGCCAAGGAAAATCAGGTATCAAAATGTAAAATGTATACAGTAGGTTTTTTAAAGGACCAAAGAGTTTAGTCTGCTTTGTGATTTCCTTTTTGCCAAGGAAAATCAGGTATCACGATACACAATACTGGTATCGTGACAATCCTAGTTCGTATCACCTAGCTGTGTAATCCTAATCCCAGAAGAAGCATTAGGTCCTGATGCAGGGCAAATAACAGGAAATGCACAGGCAGAGAAAAAGAGGGGCCCCAACACCTTGCATGCATAAAAGCAGCATCTAGAGAGACAGCTAGATTTCTCACAGTAAACAAATTAGACAGAGAACTACATTGTTTTGTCTCTAGTTTATTTTTCAGTGTTTATAAAGATAAAGACTGGGTCTATGCCAATTATTTATACACTAGACTACCAATAGAGGGTGCTGTGTTGAAGCCACGGTGCCTCCATCTTGGCACTCTCCCACCATTGTAAAAAATATTTTTGGAAGTTATAGAAATGCATTTATTAATGTATACATTCATTTTTGCCACATTTATTCTATTACAGACACCTTATTTCATACTTTTAAATAATATTATGTGAGCTAAACATAAATTATATATTTTCAGTCCTTACAAATATATATATTTTTAAAGATGACTAATGTTACTGTCCCCACTACAACAACAAAAACACTGAAATACATGTAATTTTGTCCTTGAAACATTTAATTGAAATATTGTAGAATTCCATTCATTCCTATGGAGGACTGCTCCTACTAGGGAGTGCCAATATGGCCGACTGGTGGCTTCAAAGCCTCTCAATGGTCAATACATAGCATCAGCAATCCAGGGTTTATATACATCATTGGTCTATGCAGGTCACTGACACAGACTAAATACATATTGTCATAGTTGATGTGTGTGCAACAGTGCATGCTTTGGGAACACAGTTTTCACGGTTACTGGCTTGGTCAATTGTAGGCTATCTGGGGACGAAATCGTACAGACACAACACTGGATTCCGTTCAATGCAAAGTTTATGGAACCCTCATAGAGATTAGATTTGTCTAGCACCTTCCAGTCTAAAACGATTCTATAGAAAATAAATAACACAAATGCCTGGTGTGATTACACAATGGTTTATGGACCTACACATCCACAATTTATAATTAGGGTTAGAAAGACAATATACTTTTGATTGTAGAAATTATCTTCCAGTGACTGTGTGATAGTAGCATAGTTTTACAACATGTTTTTTCTTACATTTCCCTTTCCTTCCTGAGCAGTTTGCTCTGAGTTTACACAAATCTTTCAATTACATGATTGAATAGTTACTAAAGGATCCTATCCACATTTGAGCAGACAACTACATCCATTCACCAGTCCACAAATACTGACTGTAAAGCTTGTGAATTTGTTACCTAGATACCTATAAACTGTATATGTTCTCTCAGTCATCACATCCACTTGAGCCTATTACAAAGAACTGAGGAAGAATACAGCAACTCGATACACTACATGACCAAAAGTATGTTGACACCTGCTCGTCGAACATCTCATTCCAAAATCATGGGCATTAATATGAAGTTGGTCCCCCATTTGCTGCTATAACAGCATCCACTCTTCTGGGAAGGCTTTCCAATAGATGTTGGAACATTGCTGTGGGGACTTGCTTCCATTCAGCCACAAGAGCATTAGTGATGTCGGGCACTGATGTTGGGCGATTAGGCCTGGCTCGCAGTCGACGTTCCAATTCATTCCAAAGGTGTTCGATGGGGTTGAGGTCAGGGCTCTGTGCAGGCCAGTCAAGTTCTTCCACACCAATCTCGACAAACCATTTCTGTATGGACCTCGCTTTGTGCACAGGGCATTGTCATGCTGAAACAGGAAAGGGCCTTCCCCAAACTGTTACCACAAAGTTGGAAGAACAGAATCGTCTAGAATGTCTTTGTATGCTGTAGCGTTCAGATTTCCCTTCACTGGAACTCAAGGGCCTAGCCCGAACCATGAAAAACAGCCCGAACCATGAAAAACCATTACTCCTCCTCGACCAAACTTTACAGTTGGCACTATGCATTCGGGCATGTAGCGTTCTCCTGGCATCCACCAAACCCAGATTCAGCCGTTGGACAGCTAGATGGTGAAGCGTGATTCATCACTCCAGAGAACGCGTTTCCACTGCTCCAGAGTCCACTCCAGCCGACGCTTGTGTGCGGCTGCTCGGCCATGGAAACCCATTTCATGAAGCTCCCGACGAAGAGTTATTGTGCTGACGTTGCTTCCAGAGGCAGTTTAGAACTTGGTAGTGAATGTTGCAACCGAGGACAGACAATTTTTATGCGCTACGCTCTTCAGCATTCTGCGGTCCCGTTCTGTGAGATTGTGTGGCCTACCACTTGTTGCTCCTAGACATTTCCACTTCACAATAACAGCACTTACAGTTGACCAGGGCAGCTCTAGCAGGGCAGAAATGTGACGAACTGACTTGTTGGAAAGGTGGATTCCTATGGCGGTGCCACGTTGAAAGTCACTGAGCTCTTCAGTAAGGCCATTCTAGTGCCAATGTTTGGCTATGGAGATTGCATGGCTGTGTGCTCGATTTTATACACCTGTCAGCAACGGGTGTGGCTGAAATAGCCGAATCCACTAATTTGAAGGGGTGCCCACATACTTTTGTGTATATAGTGTACACTAGAACCACACTTATGATTGGGTATAACATTTACCATGTAGAGACCTACAATCTATCATACATTTAAAAAAAGGCATTACAAACAAGGCACTTCATTGAATTTTCAACCAAATGAGATGAGATTTCTCATGGTGAATGTACTGCAAATGAACTTTGCCCATAGATCAACCATCTATTTTGCTGTTGAAACCAGCATTTGGATATTCTAATGAAGTTGACGCAACATACAGAGACACTAAAGGACTAATGGGGATGACTGAGGTGGTGGGGTAAGATCAACTCTTCATAAGGCACGAAGGTGAGGGGGAATAGGGGCAATAGGTCATGATAGAGTGGACCACATGAACTGCGACTGTGCAGAATGAGCCTACTTGTACCTGGAGGAGTAATATTCTTCCTCTAGCTCGTACAGGTCGATTGCGATCTCATCACGGAGCGAGGTGAGCTTCTTGTCGCACTCCTCCTGCAGCGAGCGCAGCTGCTGGTTCTGCAGGCTGATGGCCTCGTTGACCGACGGGAAGTCGTTGAGGATCAGGAACTGTTTCAGGTCCGACACTAGCTTCATCAGGGACTCGCCCGCACGCACCTTCAGACACAACAACAAATCACTGGGATTATCACTGGTGCTTTTGCCTTGTAACATGCACTCAATACAGGGTCATGTTCATTATGCACCAAATGGGGAAGAAACAGACAAACAGGGTGGGACTACCTGGAATTGTTCAATAAGAAATGCTCATTTGAGTTTTCTGTTCCAAAATGTTCTCAAATGTTTTCCATTACAGGCCCAAATGAACACGCCCCAGGTTTGAATTCCAATTTGACCATTCACTTCACTAAGCAAGTGACATGAATATACAGTCGTGGTCAAAAGTTTTGAGAATGACACAAGTATTGGTCTTCACAAAGTTCGCTGCTTCAGTATTATGAGATATTTTTGTCAGATGTTACTATGGTATACTGAAGTATAATTACAAGCATTCCATTAGTGTCAAAGGCTTTTATTGACAATTACATTACGTTTATGCAAAGAGTCAATATTTGCAATGTTGACCCTTCTTTTTCAAGACCTCTGCAATCCGCCCTGGCATGCTGTCAATTAACTTCTGGGCCACATCCTGACTGATGGCAGCCCATTCTTGCATAATCAATGCTTGGAGTTTGTCAGAATTTGTGGGTTTTGTTTGTCCACCCACCTCTTGAGGATCGACCACAAGTTCTCAATGGGATTAAGGTCTGGGGAGTTTCCTGGCCATGGACCAAAAATGTCGATGTTTTGTTCCCTGAGCCACTTAGTTATGACTTTTGCCTTATGGCAAGGTGCTCCATCATGCTGGAAAAGGCATTGGTCGTCACCAAACTGTTCTTGGATTGTTGGGAGAAGTTGCTCTCGGAGGATGTGTTGGTACCATTCTTTATTCATGGCTGTGTTCTTAGGCAAAATTGTGAGTGAGCCCACTCCCTTGGCTGAGAAGCAACCCCACACATGAATGGTCTCAGGATGCTTTACTGTTGGCATGACACAGGACTGATGGTAGCGCTCACCTTGTCTTCTCCGGACAAGGTGTTTTCCGGATGCCCCAAACAATCAGAAAGGGGATTCATCAGAGAAAATGACTTTACCCCAGTCCTCAGCAGTCCAATCCCTGTACCTTTTGCAGAATATCAGTCTGGCCCTGATGTTTTTCCTGGAGAGAAGTGGCTTCTTTGCTGCCCTTCTGACACCAGGGCATCCTCCAAAAGTCTTCGCCTCACTGTGTGTGCAGATGCACTCACACCTGCCTGCTGCCATTTCTGAGCAAGCTCTGCACTGGTGGTGCCCCGATCCCGCAGCTGAATCAACTTTAGGAGACGGTCCTGGCGCTTGCTGGACTTTCTTGGGCGCCCTGACGCCTTCTTCACAACAATTGAACCGTCTTCACAACAATTGAACCGCTCTCCTTCAAGTTCTTGATGATCCGATAAATGGTTGATTTAGATGCAATCTTACTAGCAGCAATATCCTTGCCTGTTAAGCCCTTTTTGTGCAAAGCAATGATGACGGCACATGTTTCCTTGCAGGTAACCATGGTTAACAGAGGAAGAACAATGATTTCAAGCACCACCCTTTTAAAGCTTCCAGTCTGTTATTCTAACTCAATCAGCATGACAGAGTGATCTCCAGCCGTGTCCTCGTCAACACTCTCACCTGTGTTAACGAGAGAATCACTGACATGATGGCAGCTGGTCCTTTTGTGGCAGGACTGAAATGCAGTGGAAATGTTTTTTTGGGATTAAGTTCATTTTCATGGCAAAGAGGGACTTTGCAATTAATTGCAATTAATCTGATCACTCTTCATGACATTGTGGAGTATATGCAAATTGCCATCATCAAAACTGAGGCAGCAGACTTTGTGAAAATTAGTATTTGTGTCATTCTCAAAACTTCTGACCACGACTGTACACTCTGGGGTTTAAAGTTGAAGGAAAGCTCTCCTAGTCTCGAGGGAGTCTGGCTGGCATGTACTTACGATGTTGGCTGCTCTGACGTGCATCTCATAGTGGTCCTGCTCAGCCTGTGTAGCCCGAGAGACCTGTGTCTCATCCTCTACCTGGAGCAAAACAACACAACACATTTTGGTTGAACAGTAAAAAAAAACACTAGAAGAAAACTCCTTTGTCTGTTTCTCTCGCTCTCTTGCTCACTCGCACCCACCCACACAGTAACGTTACAGCTACCTTTGCGGTTTTGATGATTTCCGTGAGGTTGTCTAGAATGGACCTGATATCATCCTTCAGTCTTTTGTTGTAGTTCTGAAGAAGACTCTCCTTGCTTTGAGGGAGCGCTCTTTGATTGGCCATCGTATTCAGGAATGTAAACAAACCCCTAAAAGCAAATAAAGGAGATATACAACATTCAAAATACGCCCACGTTATACTGTAGTTAGGCAGCAAAATAAAACGGCATGGCATTGGCTAGTGCACATCATCAGTGCAATGTCTTTACTTCTTCTTCTTTTTTGGGATTGGGTTGGGGGATCGCATCCAACTTTTAGGTGCATACACTGCCACCTCCTGTACCGGAGTGTGAAGACAGTCACGACCTACCTATATAAAATTCTGGTTATACAAAATTGGGGGAAAATAACATTACCCTGCCAACTATTAGCCCTCACTAAAAAACCCACCACCTCATTCCACTATTTAACCCTATCTAATCCTACTCCAGGCCAACGGTCTGAGAGGACAGAACACCACCACTCAACATCCCCTGCAACTCTTCTGCAGTAAAACCTCGCAATCAAATCAAATTGTATTGTTCGCATACACATATTTAGCAGATGTTATTGCGGGTGTAGCAAAATGCTTGTGTTCCTAGCTCCAACAGTCCCAAGTACTTCCCAAGTACAATCCCAAGTACTTCTCTGCAGCTGCCACCACAACCTCTATTTTCTGTGACTTACGTTCCATTTCTGCAGTACAGTTGACAACCATGGCTATGAATGCTAATAAACCCAACTTACTGAAGCACATATTATTCCCATCCCTCTCTATTGACCTCGGCCTACTCACAGGAATCCTCTCAGGATCCCTCACCCTGAACCCATCTTCCTCTACCACTCTCTTCACTGCTTCAGCATACGACACTTTCTGTACTACTCTGACCCTGGCAACCTCAACCTGCCTTTCTCTCACCGGACACCTCCAATCTCCAGCCCCATGGGCCAATGTCTTGACTTTCTCTACTTGGCAGTGGCGTGTATTCATGGATGCCAAGGGAAGCCGGGTTTCCCAAAAAAATCAAATAATCTCTCTGTTTTTCATAATTTTCCTTCAATTCCCAAGAGGCTGAATGTACTGTACAGTGCATTCGGAAAAGTATTCAGACCCCTTCCCCACATTTCGTTAAGTTACAGCCTTATTCTAAAACTGATTAAATTAATTGTTTTCATCATCAATCAACACACAATACCCTATAATTAAAAAGCAAAAACAGATTTTTAGACATTTTTGCACATTTATAAAAAAATATATAAAACAGAAATACCTTATTTACATAAGTATTCAGACTCTTTTCTATGAAACTGGAAATTGAGCTCAGGTGCATCCTGTTTCCATTGATCATCCTTGAGATGTTTCTACAACTTGATTGGAGTCCACCTGTGGTAAATTCAATTGATTGGACATGATTTGGAAAAGCATACACCTGTCTATATAAGGTCCCACAGTTGACAGTGCATGTCAGAGCAAAAACCAAGCCATGAGGTCGAAGGAATTGTCTGTAGAGCTCAGAGACAGGATTGTGTCGAGGCACAGATCTGGGGAAGGGTACCAAAAAATATCTGCAGCATTGAAGGTCCCCAAGAACACAGTGGCCTCCATCATTCTTAAATGGAAGACGTTTGGAACCACCAAGACTCTTCCTAGAGCTGGCCGGCCGGCCAAACTGAGCAATTGGGGGAGAAGAGCCTTGGTCAGGGAGGTGACCAAGAAACCGATGGTCACTCTGACAGAGCTCCACAGTTCCTCTGTGGAGATGGGAGAACCTTACAGAAGGAAAACCATCTCTGCAGCACTCCACCAATCAGGCCTTTTTGGTAGAGTGGCCAGACGGAAGTCAATCCTCAGTAAAAGGCACATGACAGCCTACTTGGAGTTTGCCAAAAGGCACCTAAAGGACTCTCAGACCATGAGAAACAAGATTCTCTGGTCTGATGAAACCAAGATTGAACTCTTTGGCCTGAATGCAAAGCGTCACGTCTGGAAGAAACCTGGCACCATCCCTACGGTGAAGCATGGTGGTGGCAGCATCATGCTGTGGGGATGTTTTTCAGCGGCAGGGACTGGGAGACTAGTCAGGATCGAGGGAAAGATTAACGGAGCAAAGTACAGAGATCCTTGATGAAAACCTGCTCCAGAGCGCTCAGGACCTCAGACTGGGGCGACGGTTCACCTTCCAACAGGACAACGACCCTAAGCACAAAGCCAAGACAACGCAGGAGTGGCTTTGAGACAAGTCTCTGAATGTCCTTGAGTGGCCCTGCCAGAGCCCGGACTTAAACCTGATCGAACATCTCTGGAGAGACCTGAAAATAGCTGTGCAGCGACGCTCCCCATTCAATGTTTTACATTTTAGTCATTTTACCAGATGCTTTTATCCAGAGCGACTTACAGTTAGTGAGTGTTTTTTCCCCCATACCTGACAGAGATTGAGAGGATCTGACGAGAAGAATCTGAGAAACTCCCCAAATACAGTTGTGCCAAGCTTGTAGCGTCATACCCAAGAAGACTCAAGGCTGTAATCGCTGCCAAAGGAGCTTCAACAAAGTACTGAGTAAAGGGTCTGAATATTTATGTAAATGTCATATTTCAGTTGTATTTTGTTATATTTTTTTTACATTTACACAAATTTCTAAAAACCTGTTTTTGCTTTGTCATTATGGTGTATTGTGTGTAGATTGATGAGGGAGAAAAAACAATTTAGTAATTTTTTATAATATTTGGCATCTATCTGACGCTGTCTGGTCTATCTGATGCTGTCTGGCCTGTAGCATTGAATGCAAGGGAAGCCAGCGAGCATTTGGCCTCCCTTGATAAAAAAAAAAAAAGTACCAAATAATAGCAAATCAGCGGCACTAAACTGAGTGAGCTCAACTGTGAATGGTCCTGGCACACCAAAAAAAAAGTGGCAAAGGAAGCCAGTTTGGATTTGGCATCACTCCTGTCAAATCGCATAGAATGTAAGTCATTGACAGAAACAACTTGACTTGTTGCATCTAGTTGTGTTGTCCTCCAGTGGCTAGCTAGCTAAAATTGTCCCTTTCCTATATTAGCCATGGATGGAGATAGCGATTTGGATTTGTGGTTCTCTGTACTGGTCAATTATTATAACGGCGATTCTGAGCCTACCATTAATTTATACATTGTGCCCCTGGCGTGAGAGGATGGAAGTTCAATATTTAGCTAGATGTAGAAGGCTAATGTTAACTTGCTAACGTTACCCATGCAAGGAAGTTAGGCTAGCGAGCAAGCATTTTAGCCAGGTAGCCTAAGACAACCATAAATAAAAGCTTGTACTGTATGACAAGAGTGATAGTCCGTTTCGTCAACGTGAAAGAGAGGAGGATGGCATTGGCGTTTCTCTACAAGTAGGGTGAGTCAACATGTATTTTCTACTTGCACAAACAAGCACAGAAATCAGAAACATGGAGATCCACATCATGTTTAACTTAAAATGATTGGACTAAATTGTTTTTGGTATCTTTAAGTCGTCACTGTATTAGACTAAGCATAGGTGATTGATGATGTTTAAATGTTGAAGTTGAAATGGTGCTGGACTAGTGGAGGCAGCTCCTGGTTTCTTTGCGACTTGCATTAACTCTCCGTGGTTCTAAATTAAGTGGTCCGAAAATGCTGTAGGTCATGTAACTGTTTGTTACATGCTATATGCTTTGTGGACTTCACCGGACAGAGGTTGCTCTCCGGTTTTTGTGATGAAACAAAGGTGTGGTTGAATTTATTGTATATATCACGGTCGCAAGGCATTAACTAACAGGATTTATAGAGCAAACGACGCATTTATCACAACACAGGTTGTAATATTGCTTTTTTTCTGGCTTCCCAGTGATTTTACGCACGCACCCACCGCTACTGCCACTTAGGAGAAATTGATTAACTCAACTAAAAATCGTTAATACTAAGATATTATATTTGTACACGCTATATACAGTAATATAAAACATCACGTACCTCCTAATACATTGAAATATACTATTTATGAAAATAGAAACATTCCGTTCAAAATCCCCACTGCCGTCGATTGTTCATGACGTCACATAAAGGTATCGCGGTACTTAAATTACCCACAATCCATGGCTCTTCCTTTCTGTCTGATCCAACATGGTGAGTGTACGGATATTTCATTTGGGGGAATATCTAGATGTTTTCATCCATCAGCATCTTCTCTCTAAAGCTATAATATCTGCTAAAAGTTATAGTACTGTGGCATACATAACCCAAGCATCAATTTGATCTTTGTATGGTGTGATATTTCTTTGTTTTTATCGGAGATCTCATGAATTGACGGTGATACTGCCGGTGGAAGTAATCCACACCGGAACGCTCCTAGTACAGCGTGTTTTGATTTTAATGTTTTCAGTGTCCTTACTACTTTGTGTGCTGCTGAATTAGTGTATGCACGTATAAATGACTTTGCGCTTGTGGCGGGTGGTGTACGTTGTAAAAGACTAAACGGACAACCAAGTTGTAGGCCTGACCTCGCTTCAGCCCGTTTAGCTAACTACGGTGTCATTTGACTGCGCAGTCAATTCACATAGACAAGGGAAACTGACGTTGTCTGTAGAGGTGGACATTAAATTGTCAATTGTATGTTTTGTGAACTCTTGTATTCCTGTTGATAACTAACGAGTGATATAGCTAGTTAGCTAACTTGGATAACTAGGTAGCCATAACTAACCACAACTCGCAGTAACGTTTGTTGGTTAGCAAACTTACATGTCACGATGAGTAGCTTCCATGTTACTTTTAGTTAATCACAGAACGGTCTTTATTTCTGTTTTTGGAAATGAATCTTTGCATTTATTAAACTGAATATTTTATGTGGCTTGAAAACACGCTTATTAACCCTGAGCTAAAGCCACACAATTGTGGAAATCTCTTTGAACAAAGTGTCATGTATGCTGATCAGTCTACTTCTTCTGACAGCCTAAAGGCAAGAAGTCTAAGGGGAAGAAGGTGGCACCAGCCCCTTCTGTGGCCAAAAAGCATGAGGCCAAGAAAGTGGTCAACCCCCTGTTCGAGAAGAGGCCAAAGAACTATGGCATTGGTGAGTAAAGTGAACCTGATAGGATTTGTATTTGATTTCCAGTAACTGTTCTGTCTTGCCTGTGCAGATGATGTAAAGAATATTTGCTATCTTATCAACAATGCAGACAACCCACCAAGATCGCTGATGCACTTTTTCCATGACTATAGTGGCTTCTGACTTTTCTGATTACACAGTACTGATTGGATGCACTATTCTCCTGTGTTTGTTGATAGGTCAGGACATCCAGCCAAAGCGTGATCTGACACGCTTTGTGAAATGGCCCCGCTATATTCGCCTGCAAAGGCAGCGCTCCATCCTGTACAAGCGTCTGAAGGTCCCCCCTGCGATCAACCAGTTCACCCAGGCACTGGACCGTCAGACCGGTAAGTCTCAGTGCATGCGTTTATCAATTCTGCTGTGTTGATTCTTGTAGCGTTTTGTTTCTGGGTCCTGAATATGGATTGTCTTGTGGGGTATTTTGCAAATGATGTGAATAATATTTGCTATCTGAACAGCAATGTTGACATCCCACCAAGATCACTGATGCACCTTACTTGAAAGACCCTCAAGTTACCCTTGTTGATCTCTAACTTTATACATCTTGAGTTGCAGATCATGTTTTCTGCTGTGTCCCAGAGCCAATGAATGTACTAATTTTCTATTTCCCTCTCAGCCACACAGCTATTCAAGCTGGCCCACAAGTACAGGCCGGAGACCAAGCAGGAGAAGAAGCAGAGGCTGCTGGCCCGCGCTGAACAGAAGGCCGCTGGAAAGGGAGACACCCCAACCAAGAGGCCACCTGTTCTCCGTGCAGGTGAGCCATGAGGGGTTGAGCACTTTTTTTAAATGACTGACTTTGGCCTTGATGCAATGATGTTTGAATTTCTTCACCTGAAACAATCATGTAGTTTTATTGAGCTTTTTAACCCTGAGCATAAGCCATGAGTATTGTCTGACTATTTCAACAGAACTCAAGGTTGAATGTGGGTTTGATATCAATGTTGAATTTTCCCATAGGTGTGAACACTGTCACCACTCTGGTAGAAAGCAAGAAGGCACAGCTGGTGGTCATTGCCCACGATGTGGACCCTATTGAGGTAAGACAACTCACCTTTGATTTGTGTCTTGCCGTATGGGTTAGCTTTTGCAGGCTCGATCACTACTCGTGGGCATATGTGGTCATTTGCAATGATGCTTGGATTTCTTCACCTGAATCCTCTATGTGGATCAAAACATACGAGCTTTTTAATTCTGAGCTAAGATCACTGCCCTGTATTGTAGTTGTGAAGAGAAGGCACACCCAGAAATGTCTTGACCATACATATTCATACTTGTCATTTTCTTGTCTCCTCTGTAGCTGGTGGTGTTCCTGCCCGCTCTGTGTCGCAAGATGGGCGTCCCTTACTGCATTGTCAAGGGCAAGGCCAGGCTGGGAAGACTAGTGCACAGAAAGACCTGCACTTCAGTCGCCTTCACACAGACTAACCCGTAAGTAACAGGTGGCAAAGCAAAACATTTTTTAGTGGTGTTGATGCACTGAGGCCTACCTCTAGGAAGTTGAGCTTTTTTAAATCTATAAAAATCCTTTTGGCAATGATGTATGAATTTCTTCAACTGAACAACCATGTGGCTTTATGAGCTTTTTAACCCTGAGCCAAAGGTTTACATGCAGTTCACCTGGATCTCAAGTGCACTTTGACGATGCACTGATGACATGTTCCTACCTTTTCAGTGAAGACAAAGGTGCCCTTGCCAAGCTGGTGGAAGCCATCAAGACCAACTACAATGACCGATATGAGGAGGTGAGTGGCCAGTCTGATCAGCTGTTTTGTCAATTGACTAGTAGTCAAGCCACAATGTTTCTGGGTCCTGAAGATGGCTGGATTATCTTGTGGGTTCATATTTGGCTTTTGCAGACGTGAAATAATATTTGCTGTCTTAACTGATGCAATTTGCTTGAAAGACCCTTTACACCAACCTTTTACATAACTTGAGAGGATCTAGCTTAAGGCACATGAGTCACAACATTGCCTCTGTCTTCTACTTTGTCTCCCTGAACTGACTTAATTAAAAACCCATGCCCCCCTACTGAATTAATGCATGACAATGTGCTTCCTCTTCTAGATCCGTCGTCATTGGGGAGGTGGTATCATGGGCCCCAAGTCCACAGCCCGTATCGCTAAGCTGGAGAAGGCTAAGGCCAAGGAACTGGCCACCAAGCTCGGATAAACTGTTTGATATGAAAATAAATGTCCCCCCCAAAATGTTGTTTTTTCATTTGTACCATCAGATATAACTCTTAACTGTTTTGCACGTTACAATCTTTGAAACTGGATATCATTGTGCTGATCACATCCCAGAGTTTAAAATATCAATGCCAGCTACACTTTGCATGGGTATTTTCTGTATGTGTATTGAATCTAAAACACCATGCAACACTCCATATCGGTGCCAATCACTCATGTTTCTAACATTGGTATGATATTTCTGATTGTGTTTAAGAGCGTTGTGCCATTAACCTTAAAGGTCGCTGGTTCTAATTCCCTAGCCGACGAGGTGAAAAATCTGTCGACGTGCCCTTGAGCAAGGCACTTAACCCTAATTGCTCCTTTAAGTCGCTCTGGAGAAGAGTGTCTGCTAAATTACTTAAATGTAAACCGACTACTGGTGCTCCTCAGCGTATTACACTTGCCAACGTAAGGCCACAGTTGCCGTTACCCACCAGAAACACCCATGTAGAATCATTGTGTAGTGTGCTTTACCTGCGAAATGGTGGCTCAACTCAGGCCTGAGAACACTTAAACTGCCCAATCATAACGTATGAATGATTTGACAACTGGATATTTTTATTACATACTTCAAATATGCACAACAATCCAACTCCACTAATACTGAACAAAAACTCAACATGCAACAATTTCATTACTTTTACAGAGTTACAGTTCATGAGGAAATCGGTCAACTGAAATAAATTCATTGGCCCATAATCTATGGATTTCAGATGACTGGGAATGCCGATAAGCATCTGTTAGTCGAATACCTTTAAATGGCCCGCAGGATCTCTTCGCTGTATCTTTGTGCATTCAAATAGCCATATTTTAAACAGCTTATGCCTTCCCATACCATAAACCCACCGTCATGGGGCACTGTTCACAACATTGACATCAGCACACCGCCATACACATGGTTGTGAGGCAGGTTGTACATACTAAGTTCTCTGTAATGACATTGGAGGCTGCTTATTGTAGAGAAATTGACAAATTCTCTGGCAACAGCTCTGGTGGACATTCCTGCGGTCAACATGTCAATTACACGCTCCCTCAATTTGAGGCATATGTGACAGAGATGCACATTTTAGTGGCCTTTTGTCACCAGCACAAGGTGCACCTGTAATGCTGTTTAATCAGCTCCTTGATATGCCACACCTGTCAAGTAGATGGATTATCTTGGCAAAGGATAAATGCTCACTAACAGGGATTTAAACAAATGTGTGCACAATATAAGATAAATGCTTTTTGTGCATATGTAACATTTCTGGGATCTTTTATTTCAGCTCATGTAGGGTTTATTTTTGTTCAGTGTACATTTGTCAAAATAAAACCAAGACATTAAGTACCTACAGCAGCTTCCATGAGCAGTCTGTGGTATATTCATGACATCTTCAACATTGTATCCAATTACACTACTCAAGCCATTGTGGGGTGTTTTACACAATCCTTTTGATGAACTTGGCATACCACATGTAAGAGGTTGCTGCACAGAGGCCATACCTACAGAGGAAGAGAAGCACTCATTGTATGCATACAACTCAAGTGATCCTAGTTCTACTATCTAAACCAAAGAGGCTCACAGTGAAGAAGAAAAAACAGAAAAATGACAATGAAACTTACCACGTCATAATGTACTGCATATGTTCATTCCTGAGGGTGACTCGGGTCTGTCCTCCTATAGGTCCACCAGGAATTGTGCTGGCTGAGAACATTAACAAACCTTAGCTTTCCATTCATTCTCAATGACACACACTACCAACGCACTAAGGCTAAAAAACAGATTACCGTTATTCCAAACCTCAGCCACAGGGAATGTTAATCACCATTCAGTCTTTCATATACCTTATTTTCTGATATATCATGCTTGATCATCATAGCCATGCAATTAAATCAAAGTGTATTGTCTAAATAGGGTAATACTGAGAGCTATACCCAGGTCAGCATCAATGAAGATCTGCTGGGCCCCTGTGACTCTGGCCATTGCCTCCAGGTCGCGGTAATGCCAGCGGTTGTGCTCCACATCGTTTTGTGGCACAAAGGGTTTACGGATCTCGGTCAGCCTCACCACCCCCACCAGGTCAACCTCGTCATCCACCTACAAAGCAGCACCATGACAGAATCATCATTAATAACAACTTTGAGTCTTGAATTAGACAATGAATGGGGGGAGGATATTTACCTGTCCCTTCATCCTGGTTTCTGGCTTGATCTTCTTCCTAGGAACATAGCCTCTGTTTACAAGGATCGTGATCCTGTGAAATATATATAAAAGAATGTCAGTATAAGGAGCCAATAATTTCTTAACATTGTTACGTTACAGCCTTATTCTAAAATGGATACAAATATTTCCCCCCCCTCATCAATCTACACACAATACTCCATAATGACAAAGCAAAAACGTTTTTAAATTTATTACAAATAAAAACGGAAATATCACATTTACATAAGTATTCAGATCCTTTACTCAGTACTTTGTTGAAGCACCTTTGGCAGCGATTACAGCCTCAAGTCTTCTTGGGTATGACGCTACAAGCTTTGCACCTGTATTTGGGGAGTTTCTCAGATTCTTCTCTGCAGATCCTCTCAAGCGCTGTCAGGTTGGATGGGGAGCGTCGCTGCACAGCTATTTTCAGGTCTATCCAGAGATGTTAGATCGAGTTCAAGTCCGGGCTCTGGCTGGGCCACTCAAGGACATTCAGAGACTTGTCTCAAAGCCACTCCTGTGTTGTCTTGGCTGTGTGCTTAGGGTCGTTGTCCTGTTGGGAGGTGAACCTTCACCCCAGTCTGAGGTCCTGAGTGCTCTGGAGCAGGTTTTCATCAAGGATCTCTCTGTACTTTGCTCCATTCATCTTTCCCTTGATCCTGACTAGTCTCCCAGTCCCTGCCGCTGAAAAACATCCCTACAGCATGATGCTGCCACCACCATGCTTCACCGTAGGGATGGTGCCAGATTTCTTCCAGATGTGACGCTTGGCATTTAGGCCAAATAGTTCAGTCTTGGTTTCATCAGACCAGATAATCTTGTTTCTCATGGTCTGAGAGTCTTGTAGGTGCCTTTTGGAAAACTCCAAGCGGGCTGTCATGTACCTTTTACTGAGGAGTGGCTTCAGTCTGGCCACTCTACCATAAAGGCCCGATTGGTGTAGTGCTGCAGAGATAGTTGTCCTTTTGGAAGCTTCTCCCATCTCCACAGAGGAACTCTGGAGTTCTGTCAGAGTGACCATCGGGTTCTTGGTCACCTCCCTTACCAAGGCCCTTCTCCCCCAATTGCTCAGTTTGGCCGGGCGGCCAGCTAAACGAAGAGTCTTGGTGGTTCCAAACTTCTTCCATTTAAGAATGGAGGAGGCCACTGTGTTCTTGGGGACCTTCAATGCTGCAGAAATGGTTTGGTACCCTTCCCCAGATCTGTGCCTCGACACGATCCTGTCTCGGAGCTCTGCGGACAATAAATTCGACCTCATGGCTTGGTTTTTGCTCTGACATGCACTGTCAACTGTGGGACCTTATATAGACAGGTGTGTGCCTTTCCAAATCACGTCCAATCAATTAAATGTACCACAGGTGGACTCCAATCAAGTTGTAGAAACATCTCAAGGACGATCAATGGAAACAGGATGCACCTGAGCTCAATTTCGAGTCTCATACAGTGAGGGAAAAAAGTATTTGATCCCCTGCTGATTTTGTACGTTTGCCCACTGACAAAGAAATTATCAGTCTATGATTTTAATGGTAGGTTTATTTGAACAGTGAGAGACAGAATAACAACAAAAAAATCCAGAAAAACGCATGTCTGGATAAGAGCGTCTGCTAAATGATGTAAATGTCAAAAATGTTATAAATTGATTTGCATTTTAATGAGGAAAATAAGTATTTGACCCCTCTGCAAAACATGACTTAGTACTTGGTGGCAAAACCCTTGTTGGCAATCACAGAGGTCAGACGTTTCTTGTAGGTTTGCACACATCTCAGGGGGGATTTTGTCTCACTCCTCTTTGCAGATCTTCTCCAAGTCATTAAGGTTTCGAGGCTGACGTTTGGCAACTCGAACCTTCAGCTCCCTCCACAGATTTTCTATGGGATTAATGTCTGGAGACTGGCTAGGCCACTCCAGCACCTTAATGTGCTTCTTCTTGAGCCACTCCTTTGTTGCCTTGTCCGTGTATTTTGGGTCATCGTCATGCTGGAATACCCATCCACGACACATTTTCAATGCTCTGGCTGAGGGAAGGAGGTTCTCACCCAAGATTTGACGGTACATGGCCTCGTCCATCGTCCCTTTGATGCGGTGAAGTTGTCCTGTCCCCTTAGCAGAAAAACACCCCCAAACATAATGTTTCCACCTCCATGTTTGACGGTGGGGATGGTGTTCTTAGGCAGCATTCCTCCTCCTCCAAACACGGCGAGTTGAGTTGATGCCAAAGAGCTCCATTTTGATCTCATCTGACCACAACACTTTCACCCAGTTCTCCTCTGAATCATTCAGATGTTCATTGGCAAACTTCAGACGGCCCTGTATATGTGCTTTCTTGAGCAGGGGGACCTTGCGGGCGCTGCAGGATTTCAGTACTTCACGCCGTAGTGTGTTACCAATTGTTTTCTTGGTGACTATGGTCCCAGCTGCCTTGAGATCATTGACAAGATCCTCCCGTGTAGTTCTGGGCTGATTCCTTACCGTTCTCATGATCATTGCAACTCCACGAGGTGAGATCTTGCATGGAGCCGCAGGCCAAGGGAGATTGACAGTTCTTTTGTGTTTCTTCCATTTGCGAATAATCACACCAACTGTTGTCACCTTCTCACCAAGCTGCTTGGCGATGGTCTTGTAGCCCATTCCAGCCTTGTTTAGGTCTACAATCTTGTCCCTGACATCCTTGGAGAGCTCTTTGGTCTTGGCCATGGTGGAGAGTTTGGAATCTGATTGATTGATTGCTTCTGTGGACAGGTGTCTTTTATACAGGTAACAAGCTGAGATTAGGAGCACTCCCTTTAAGAGTGTGCTCCTAATCTCAGCTCGTTACCTGTATAAAAGACACCTGGGAGCCAGAAATCTTTCTGATTGAAAGGGGGTCAAATACTTATTTGCAAATCAATTTATAACATTTTTGACATGCGTTTTTCTGGATTTTTTTGATGTTATTCTGTCTCTCACTGTTCAAATAAATCTACAATTAAAATTATAGACTGATAATTTCTTTGTCAGTGGGCAAACGTAGAAAATCAGCAGGGGATCAAATACTTTTTTCCCTCACTGTAGCAAAGGGTCTGAATACTTACGTAAATTTATTTTTATTTTTTTTGCAAACATTTCTAAAAACCTGTTTTCGCTTTGTCATTATGGGGCAATGTGTGTAGATTGATGAGGATTTGTATTCATTTAATCAATTTTAGAATAAGCCTGTAACGTAACAAAATGTGGAAAAGGTCAAGGGGTCTGAATACTTTCCGAATGCACTGTACACACATTCTGGTAGCAGCAATTGTGATGTGTGTGTAGCATGAGTGTGTGTGTGCTAAAGTGTGGAGAATCAGTGCAGGTGGTCAGTCCAGTTCAAATGTTCAGCACTCTGATTGCTTGTAGATAGAAACAAAAAGTTACAAACACAAAAAGTTACTGTAGAAATGGAACTGGGCGAGTTAGGACACTTACAGCCTGGTGCAGTTGAATGGGGTGAGTTTGTCATATTTAAACTGAATGAATCAGTAGAGCAACAGTAATGAGTAGTGTTATCTTACCCTAGGTCACTGCAGTAGAACGGGGTAACGACATTGGCTCCAGTTTCTCCACTGGATGACAGCTGGCCTGCTTCCCTTGCCTCTTTCTCTGGGTCGACAGGTGAGCGGGGTAAGATGTACATCTCCTGGGAGTGGTCATAGTGCCCATGCACCTTTACTCTCCTGTACTCCAGATCATTCAACTCCAGAGGACTAGGAAGCAAAGACATACAGTGGGGAGAACAAGTATTTGATACACTGCCGATTTTGCAGGTTTTCCTACTTACAAAGCATGTAGAGGTCTGTAATCTAAAACAAAAATCCAGAAAATCACATTGTATGATTTTTAAGTAATTCATTTGCATTTTATTGCATGACATAAGTATTTGATACATCAGAAAAGCAGAACTTAATATTTGGTACAGAAACCTTTGTTTGCAATTACAGAGATCATACGTTTCCTGTAGGTCTTGACCAGGTTTGCACACACTGCAGCAGGGATTTTGGCCCACTACTCCATACCTTCTCCAGATCCTTCAGGTTTTGGGGCTGTCGCTGGGCAATATGGACTTTCAGCTCCCTCCAAAGATTTTTCTAGGCCACTCCAGGACCTTGAAATGCTTCTTACGGAGCCACTCCTTAGTTGCCCTGGCTGTGTGTTTCAGGTCATTGTCATGCTGGATGACCCAGCCACGACCCATCTTCAATGCTCTTACTGAGGGAAGGAGGTTGTTGGCCAAGATCTCGCGATACATGGCCCCATCCATCCACCCCTCAATACGGTGCAGTCGTCCTGTCCCCTTTGCAGAAAAGCATCCCCAAAGAATGATGTTTCCACCTCCATGCTTCACGGTTGGGATGGTGTTCTTGGGGTTGTACTCATCCTTCTTCTTCCTCCAAACACGGCGAGTGGAGTTTAGACCAAAAAGCTATATTTTTGTCTCATCAGACCACATGACCTTCTCCCATTCCTCCTCTGGATCATCCAGATGGTCATTGGCAAACTTCAGACGGGCCTGGACATGCGCCGGCTTGAGCAGGGGGACCTTGCGTGCGCTGCAGGATTTTAATCCATGACGGCGTAGTGTGTTACTAATGGTTTTCTTTGAGACTGTGGTCCCAGCTCTCTTCAGGTCATTGACCAGGTCCTGCCGTGTAGTTCTGGGCTGATCCCTCACCTTCTCATTGATGCCCCACGAGGTGAGATCTTGCATGGAGCCCCAGACCGAGGGTGATTGACCGTCATCTTGAACTTCTTCCATTTTCTAATAATTGTGCCAACAGTTGTTGCCTTCTCACCAAGCTGCTTGCCTATTGTCCTGTAGCCCATCCCAGCTTTGTGCAGGTCTACAATTTTATCCCTGATGTCCTTACACAGCTCTCTGGTCTAGGCCATTGTGGAGAGGTTGGAGTCTGTTTGATTGAGTGTGTGGACAGGTGTCTTTTATACAGGTAACGAGTTCAAACAGGTGCAGTTAATACAGGTAATGAGTGGAGAACAGGAGGGCTTCTTAAAGAAAAACGAACAGGTCTGTGAGAGCCGGAATTCTTACTGGTTGGTAGGTGTTCAAATACTTATGTCATGCAATTAAATGCTAATTAATTATTTAAAAATCATACAATGTGATTCTGTCTCTCACAGTTGAAGTGCACCTATGATAAAAATTACAGACCTCTACATGCTTTCTAAGTAGGAAAACCTGCAAAATCGGCAGTGTATCAAATACTTGTTCTCCCCACTGTATATAACAAGAAAATTACAAACACTTCCAGTCTTAACTAAAAAGTCAAGACAACGTAATTATGTGTAACTATCTGTCTGATAACTTGTGTGTGCATGTCTTACTCAATAGGAAGAGGGATGGGTTCCACAGAGGTAAGACTTCTCAGTTCTGCAATCAACTGCATTTTCCATTCCCGACGTTTCACCTGAGTAGAAGTGGCTTAGGTCAGTATAATTTTGAATATCCATTCTAATAGAGGTACTTCCATTAGAACTACTGTTTAATGGAGCCATACCTGCCATGTCCCAAGACCAAATGTAGTGACAGGAATCAGAAGCAGGAGCCATTTGAGGAAGGAGTCCTCTCCCTTCGCTGCTCTGGCAGCTGTTGAGCTTGACAGTCGACCAAAGTTGATACACTTGCCTGAAGTTTGGAAAGGTGTCAGAGCCATAACCGTTACGAATTAACGTTATGAAATGGTAAGCTTATGTCATTGAATCAGATGGCTAGTTTGCTAGCTAGGAATGTGTCCTAAACATTACCTTCTGATTGTTTGAAGAGAGGCAGTCGTGGCAATAAGAGAGTCCTTTTGAAATAAATTGCATGTGACTGAAAAAAAAGAAATGCAAAAATACATTTAACTACATCATTACATCAGCAGTCTAACTGTAGGTCACTGGAATTTATGCAACAACAAGCTAGCTAGTTAACGTTAGTTCCTAATATATTAATACTTGTAAGACAGTAGCTATATCAACTTACGTGGTTTTTGATTATCTTCAAGGTCTTAGCAGAGCAAGCGAACATAAATGTTAAACTGCCCATAGTTACTGAAAATATGGAAAACACACCGAGATAGTCAATTTGACAAGGCAACTGGCTACATAACTTACATGTCCTGTGTGCAGGAGGGATTGTGTTGGATGTAACTACATCCGGTCCAACTTGACCACTAAGCCACGCCCGTTTCATTCTATACACGTGCATTTGTAGCTAGCTAGCTTCTATTTATGCTGTCTGTCTTTGGTTGTCATTTTAACAGCAAATGCTGCAATTTTATTTTGATCATCATAAGTTTAATTTAATCAATAATTTATTCACCATTGGTTAAAGTATCAGAAAGATGACCTGCAACATCTTGCTCGCACTTTCTGTTTGAAGAGGGATTTTACGTTAGCTAGCAAGTGGCTATTTCTTGTTAGCAGATTCGTGGTTGTCCATTTTTTGTTGTAGAAATGGCAAGTCTTGCTTCAAAGGACTCCTACCTTCAGAAATTAGCAAGTAAAGTATGTGCTCGACAGCAAGAACCAAGAAATAGGCCATTTGGTAAATGTTTTCAGGTTCTATCTATTAGCTAGCTGCACGTTTTAATTTGTATGGTAATGGTTTTCAATACATTTTAGATGGGTGCTGATGTTAATCATGACACCTCTAGCATCACTGACTTAGCAATAAACACCCCTCCAATGTAAAGGCATTTTCATCTGTACTTGTACAACCTAACATGTTGTCTCTCTTCATGAATTAAGTCCCTTTTCAAGGTGGTCGTGTGGCTGGCCCTCCAAAGAAGAGGAATAAAACCAATCACAAACAGATACGTGGGAACAGCAACCTAGCGAAACACCAGAAGCCACCTTTGAAGCCTAACCAGAAGGCTGTCATCACCCCAGCACAGAAAGCACCTGGTGCAGCAGAACAGAATGCCTCAAAAGCTACAGTTCCAAATGGGACATTGGTTAAGACTAAACAGAAGCCCAAAGGTAAAGTTATATGTTGATGTCCAGTCCTCGAATTATGCTCAACTTCCTAACATCTTTTGGTGATACTTGCTTTTCCTCTTTCTGTTTTTTGACTAGGTATAATATAAATGGTGTAATAGCCATGTCATAGACATTTTTGTACTCTTCACTGACTTTTGTTCTCACCCTGAAGGTGGAAAGCCGGGCACTAAATTCTCCACGGTAGATATTCTACGGCAGAGACTTCATGAGAAGATTGAGGAGTCTCGTGGGCAGGTATGTATTAGGTTATCTAAGGAGTTGTTCAGTGGCTACATACGGCAAAATGTCCCTTTACCAATCCACAGTTGACTGTCATAACTTGGCAATGCACATAAGTGTTTTGATATAGCCTACAACTAACCTTACATCCCCCTTTCTTCCTGTAGGGAACCCCTAAGGACCCATCCTCTGAGGAGGTGCAGAAGAAGCGAGAGAAGCGGAAGCAGGAGAGGGAGCGCAAGAAGAGGAAGCGTAAAGAGTTCCTCATTAAGAAGCTTGCTGAAAAAGCCGGCCTAGAGTATGAGCCTGAGATCAAAAGGGAAGAGGCCCCTCCTCCTCCCACCGCACCAGCTGCAGGCAAGCGGGACGAGACGGCCATCGTCTTCAACAAGGTGGAGCTGGGCGATGGTGGCTTCTTGGACAAAGAGCAGAAGAAGAAGGAGAAGAACAGGATAAAAGGCGGCCTGACACCACTGGTGGGCAAGAACTACAAGCAGCTGCTGGGGCGCGTGGAGGCTCGCAAGGCTAAGCTGGAGGAGCTGCGGGAGAAGGACGAGGACAAGGCCAAGGTGCAGGAGGAGAAGATGAAGTGGACCAACGTGCTGTACAAGGCAGAGGGCCTGAAGATCAAGGACGACGAGGACCTGCTGAGGGCCTCCCTCAAGAGGAAAGAGAAGATGCGCTCGCAGCGGAAGAAGAAGTGGACGGAGCGCAGCGAGACAGTGGTGGAGAAGATGCAGAGGCGACAGGACAAGAGGCGCAGGAACATCCAGAAGAACAACAAGGGCAAAGTGGAGAAGAAGAAGGACCGGGCCAGGAAGAGGGGCCGCGTGCTGCCTGAAGACCTGAAGAAGGCTCAGGTGTAGAGGGATGGGGAGGAGGGTCAAGCTGAGGGTTGTGGAAAACGGACTGGTTAAATGATGAACATGTTGTCTTTTTGATTGAGCTGCACTGCATTTTCCTGCCATGGTGCTTTGTCCAGTGTCCACATAATATTCGTAATGTTTTGGACTTATGTTATAAGCCACTGGACAGAGCAAAGACATTCCTATATACCCAATACAGGGTTCCTCAAGGTTTGAAGAACCAGAGCTCTGTCAAACCAATGCTTGCTGTTTTACTTTTCATTCTGTTGGTCGCAATGGTCGACACATGCCATCTGATTTCTCTATATGGAATGTCAATGTTTTGCCGAATTTAAGAAATATGCCCATGTTACCTGCCCAGAATTCATTTATTTGAAAGCACCACACAAATTGCATTGGAAACACGTTATTGCCATATGTGGTGAACACTGACTCTCTTATAAATAGATTCATAGGCCTATTAATGGGTGTTTATATAAACAAATGAAACACAAAGGTAGCCACTGATGGTTGATTATTTAATTGGCGCGTTCGGTGTTCATCGGCCAGTGTAGAACCGGTGAAATAAAAAAATTTAAACTACAAGCGCAAACTACAGTTTATATCTTTAGCCCCGCCTATACAGGAAGTTATAATCAAAACGGGGGGGGGGAGAGACGTGACTTCTTCCCCCAGCTGAAGGAGTGCAGTCGGCACAATAGCACAACGACAGCGAATTGGTAAAAGACACGAACGTCTACCTCGAACTTGCCAATTTTAAAATTGCAAACGTTGGTTCTGTTACAATAAAATTGCAAACGTTGGTTCTGTTACAAGGTTAGGCAATATTTATGTTTTACTAGAATTTAGATAACCTTTGTAAGATAAATTGCTTAGCCTCCAGCTGAAAATGTCAAACTGAAACTGGTCGAGTTATTTTGTGTAAACCAGTTTTATTGTTGCTAATCATTCATTGAATGCATAGTCTGAGTTGTGTGGGTGGTTCATTACAGTAATAATTGACAACTGATTCAAGGTAATCTGCACTCCTCACTGGCATGCTAAGAAGAGCAACTGCAAATGTGACTGTGAATTGTTGGAAAGGAAACATTGTAAAACTTGATCATAAGGTAATGGTATCTACCGATATGAACTAGTAACCATTTTTACATATTCTCTTGGTGCTTTCAAGACAACTGGGAACTCGGAAAAAAACGAGATTAAATCATGACGTCAGTGATCATCAGGTTGGAGTTCTAGAACGGTGGTTCCCAACCAGGGTTACTTGGAGCCCTGGGGGTACTTGAGATGAGAACATAGGCCTACTGGTAAAATGCACGTGAGGGTGTACATAAGGGGTACTCCAGGCAGAGCAAAATTCTGTTGAAAAAGTTTGGGAACCACTGGAAAGAGGCCCAAGTTCCTGACTTGGAATTCCGAGTTGGATGACCAGTCAAAATATTTTACCCAGTTGTTTTGAACGCAGCAAACAATATAGCTTCAAAATGCTGGCATGTCAGACTGTCAATCCTTGCAGCCATAGATCTGTCAATGAATTTGAGAGTGGTTTCCCCAGCCCCATGCCTCAGGTGACCAAACAAAGTGGCAAGATCAGGCTATTGAAATGGCAGATTGTGGCTATTAAATAATATGATACAATAAGGAATTGTATGCTGTAAAGAGCAATGTGAAATCATGTACTTATTTCAATTGACTATTTAACAATGTAAATTAACATTTATTTAATTTCAGTTAATCATGTCACGCCAGCTACATGCTCGCAGAATCGAGGGAATCGACAAAAATATATGGTAATTTTACAGAATTATCTCATATGTGCTTGCCACATTTTATAGCATACATTGTTGTTTATCAATTGTTCTGTACTGACAGGGTTGATTTTACCCAGCTGGCTGCTGACTACAAGGCAGTGAATCTAGGCCAGGGCTTTCCTGACTTCCCCCCTCCAAGCTACATCCAAGAGGCCTTCTGCAAAGCAGTCAACGGAGGATGCTCAATGCATCAGTACACACGCGCTTTCGTAAGAAAAACACACAATTGTGTGTGTGTGTCACACACTTGATTTTACCTGAGCACATTTATTGTGGTTGACGTTTCGATAAAATACCTTTTTTCAAGACATGGTCTTTTTGTTTTGAAAAAGGTATTGTACCGAAACGTCGATCACAATAAATGCACAGAGGTAAAATCGTGTGTGGGATATATTTATTTTATTTATAATGTTGATCTTTGGGGCAGTAACTCCCAGCACCACAAATGAGATCATATTGGTAGTGGGTGTGTTAACGCTTCTATAGTGTGTACGTGCATGCCAGTCAGGGCTAAAATGTGTTTATTTTGTTCTTCCCTAGGGCCATCCCGCTCTTGTGTCGATCCTGGCCAAGTTCTTTGGTAGAGTCGTGGGACATGAGATTGATGCTTTTGAGGACATCCTGGTCACTGTCGGAGCCTACCAGGCTCTCTTCTGCACCTTTCAAGCCCTGGTCGATGAAGACGATGAGGTAACAGTGACTATGTCAACACCTAGACAAAGGGTGCAACTCAATACTTCGTTTTTACTGTGCATCTCATATCAGTCAGTCACTTCTGTCTTCTAGGTCATCATTATTGAGCCTTTTTTCGACTGCTATCAGCCAATGGTGAAGATGGCAAGAGGAAAGGCTGTCTATGTGCCACTGAGGCCAGTGAGTAGTGTGTTTTTAGTGTGTGTTTTTACAGACAATTAGATTTTTTACATACCTTTCATGGCCCATTTCCTTTGGTGGGACAGTAAGTGCTAGCCTAAAGCTCATTGAGAACGTTTACATGCACATTAATAATTCATTATTAAACTGATTATGGCAGTAGGCAGATTATGCAATAGTCCTGTAAACACCTTACTCTGCTTATCTTAATCAGTGTAAGGTCAAAATTGAAGTAAGCATATGCCGATTAAAACACCTGGTTTCTGAGCAATCTTTAGAATTATTAAGACACGGAAACACCTTAATCGGCGTTCCAGCAGTGTATTTGATCTGTGCATGTGCTAACACCAGCTGAGTGAGCCTCCCTCTTTAGAGTGAGTGAAGTGAGTTTGGAACAAACTGAATGTTTGGGTCTTAGAAGTAGTTTTGACATACAAACTTTATACACTGGAACAAAGGGGCCTAGCCCGAACCATGAAAAACAGCCCCAGACCATTATTTCTCCTCCACCAAATTTTACGATTGGCACTATGCATTCGGGCAGGTAGCGTTCTCCTGGCATCCACCAAACCCAGATTCGTTCATCGGACTGCCAGATGGTGAAGCGTGATTCATCACTCCAGAGAACGCGTTTCAACTACTCTAGAGCCCAATGGCGGCGAGCTTTACACCACTGCAGCCGGCGCTTGGCATTGCGCATGGTCATCTTAGGATTGTTAGGCTTGTGTGTGGCTGCTTGGCCATGGAAACCCATTTGATGAAGCTCCCGATGAACAGTTATTGTGCTGACGTTGCTTCCAGAGGCAGTTTGGAACTCGGAAGTGAGTGTTGCAACCGATGGCAGAATATTTTTTTACGCACCCTCGCGCTTCAGCACTCGGCGGTCCCATTCTGTGAGCTTGTGTGGCCTACCACTTCATGGCTGAGCCGTTGTTGCTTCTAGGCATTTCCACTTTTACAATAACAGCACTTACAGTTAACTGGGGCAGCTCTAGCAGGACAGAAATCTGACAAACTGACTTGTAAGAAAGGTGGCATCCGATGACGGTGCCACATTGAAAGTCACTGAGCTCTTCAGTACAGGCCATTCTACTGCCAATGTTTGTCTATGGAGATAGCATGGCTGTGTGCTCGATTTCTATACACCTGTCAGCAACGGGTGGGGCTGAAATAGCCTAATCCACTTGGGTGGCCACATACCTTTGGCCATGTAGTGTATGTCCGAACTCAGAATCAAATATGCTTCCAAAAAATAACATGGTCGCTGTGGTAGAACGTTTATTTTGATTGCTGATTTTCTGCATTTAACAAAGTGCCATCAGGTAGCCTGATTTCAGATGTGTCCATGTAAACATTTTAATCAAACTATTATATAAATCTATCTACAATAATCGCATTATTGTGTGCATGTAACCATACTCACTGATTTAGAGAAAAGTCCAGATAACATAAAGCTGAGGCTGTGTTGTGTGGTCCTAGAGAGTGGAGGGGGGCAAGGCCCTGACTAGTGCAGACTGGCTCCTATCGTCTGAGGAGTTGGCCAGTAAATTCAACCCACGCACCAAAGCCGTCGTCATCAACACTCCCAACAATCCATTAGGCAAGGTGAGACACCCCACTGTATGGTGAGATAGACTTGTTTCAATGTTATCCTTGGGCTATCCATCCATTTCACATTGCGGGTGACATTCTCGTGGTGCAAAAGAGCACAGATCTGTGCAAAAATACCGTAAACCACGTTATAATCTGGCAGTGCAATTTAATTAGAAACTTCTGAGATTTGTGCTCTTCTGCACCATGAAAATGGCACCCTACATCACTGACTTTTCTCACCTCCCACATCTCATCTTTGTCACATAGGTGTATAAGAGGGAGGAGCTCCAGGTGATTGCAGACCTGTGTATAAGGCATGATGTGGTGTGTATCAGTGACGAGGTGTACGAGTGGCTGACTTATGATGGTGCCAAGCATGTGAAGATAGGTGAGGTACAGTTGATTCAATAGAGACAAGTAGCACAGTTTCTATAGCATGATGTAATAACCATGGTTGTAACAGTATGGTAATAATGCCCTGATACAACTAAATCCGCTAAATCTTATTTTGACTGTGTTTTCATTCAAGCCAGTCTTCCTGGGATGTGGGAGCGGACTGTCACGATAGGAAGCGGAGGAAAGAGCTTCAGTGCTACAGGGTGGAAGGTAGGTAATCCACTGAAATACTATGAACACAAACTATGATAAAGTTTTGAGGCACAGTGTCATATACAATCTATGCAATCCATATTGTGTGTATTGAATTGACTGAGACATATCTGATCCATATTGTGTGTATTGACTAAGACATATCTGATCCATATTGTGTGTATTGACTAAGACATATCTGATCCATATTGTGTGTATTGACTAAGACATATCTGATCCATTTTGTGCGTATTGACTGAGACATATCTGATCCATATTGTGTGTATTGACTAAGACATATCTGATCCATGTTGGGTGTATTGACTAAGACATATCTGATCCATATTGTGTGTATTGACTAAGACATCTGATCCGTATTGTGTGTATTGACTAAGACATATCTGATCCATATTGTGTGTATTGACTAAGACATATATGATCCATATTGTGTGTATTGACTAAGACATATCTGATCCATTTTGTGCGTATTGACTGAGACATATCTGATCCATATTGTGTGTATTGACTAAGACATACAGTGGGGAAAAAAAGTATTTAGTCAGCCACCAATTGTGCAAGTTCTCCCACTTAAAAAGATGAGAGAGGCCTGTAATTTTCATCATAGGTAAACGTCAACTATGACAGACAAAATGAGAAAAAAAAATCCAGAAAATCACATTGTAGGATTTTTAATGCATTTATTTGCAAATTATGGTGGAAAATAAGTATTTGGTCAATAACAAAAGTTTCTCAATACTTTGTTATATACCCTTTGTTGGCAATGACACAGGTCAAACGTTTTCTGTAAGTCTTCACAAGGTTTTCACACACTGTTGCTGGTATTTTGGCCCATTCCTCCATGCAGATCTCCTCTAGAGCAGTGATGTTTTGGGGCTGTCGCTGGGCAACACGGACTTTCAACTCCCTCCAAAGATGTTCTATGGGGTTGAGATCTGGAGACTGGCTAGGCCACTCCAGGACCTTGAAATGCTTCTTACAAAGCCACTCCTTCGTATTCCGGGTGGTGTGTTTGGGATCATTGTCATGCTGAAAGACCCAGCCACGTTTCATCTTCAATGCCCTTGCTGATGGAAGGAGGTTTTCACTCAAAATCTCACGATACATGGCCCCATTCATTCTTTCCTTTACACGGATCAGTCGTCCTGGTCCCTTTGCAGAAAAACAGCCCCAAAGCATGATGTTTCCACCCCCATGCTTCACAGTAGGTATGGTGTTCTTTGGATGCAACTTTGTCCTCCAAACACGACAAGTTGAGTTTTTACCAAAAAGTTCTATTTTGGTTTCATCTGACCATATGACATTCTCCCAATCCTCTTCTGGATCATCCAAATGCACTCTAGCAAACTTCAGACGGGCCTGGACATGTACTGGCTTAAGCAGGGGGATACGTCTGCCACTGCAGGATTTGAGTCCCTGGCAGCGTAGTGTGTTACTGATGGTAGGCTTTGTTACTTTGGTCCCAGCTCTCTGCAGGTCATTCACTAGGTCCCCCTGTGTGGTTCTGGGATTTTTGCTCACCGTTCTTGTGATCATTTTGACCCCACGGGGTGAGATCTTGCGTGGAGCCCCAGATCGAGGGAGATTATCAGTAGTCTTGTATGTCTTCCATTTCCTAATAATTGCTCCCACAGTTGATTTCTTCAAACCAAGCTGCTTACCTGTTGCAGATTCAGTCTTCCCAGCCTGGTGCAGGTCTACAATTTTGTTTCTGGTGTCCTTTGACAGCTCTTTGGTCTTGGCCATAGTGGAGTTTGGAGTGTGACTGTTTGAGGTTGTGGACAGGTGTCTTTTATACTGATAACAAGTTCAAACAGGTGCCATTAATACAGGGAATGAGTGGAGGACAGAGGAGCCTCTTAATGAATAAGTTACAGGTCTGTGAGAGCCAGAAATCTTGCTTGTTTGTAGGTGACCAAATACTTATTTTCCACCATAATTTGCAAATAAATTCATTAAAAATCCTACAATGTGATTTTTGGGATTTTTCTTTTCTCAATTTGTCTGTCATAGTTGACGTGTACCTATGATGAAAATTACAGGCCTCTCTCATCTTTTTAAGTGGGAGAACTTGCACAGTTGGTGGCTGACTAAATACTTTTTTTCCCCACTGTATCTGATCCATGTTGGGTGTATTGACTAAGACATATCTGATCCATGTTGGGTGTATTGACTAAGACATCTGATCCGTATTGTGTGTATTGACTAAGACATATATGATCCATATTGTGCGTATTGACTAAGACATATCTGATCCATATTGTGCGTATTGACTAAGACATATCTGATCCATATTGGGTGTAATGAAATGATGCTTGTGTTTCAGGTTGGCTGGGCTATTGGAGCAGGGCACATTCTAAAGCACCTGAAGACCGTCCATCAGAACTCTGTGTACCACTGTGCCACTGCCGCTCAGGTTAACAATTGATTTATGATGCTTTCTAAACCACTACTGTTGGTGTATAAAGACATATGACCTCACCCTTACTCTAACTTTCTGACTTATTTACTCTACTTACTCTTGCCTATTGAATGAGGAAGGTGAGCATGCTGTATGTCTTGCCCACAACTTTTAAATTGACTACAGTTGTCTTTAAATTCAGTCTGTCTGAATCTTATCTGAAATTGAATCGTTGTTTTACCTCTGAAAGTTAACATTCTCCAGCTCATGCTTTGGGTGGGTCGTTCACACTTGCACCATCTCAGGAGGCGGTGGCCCAAGGTTTCCAGAGAGAGTACGAGCAGTTTGGGACGCCAGAGAGCTACTTCCTGCAGCTGCCTGAGAGGCTGCATCACAAGAGGAAGAAGCTGGCCACCTGTCTGGAGAGTGTTGGCCTGCAGCCCATTCTGCCTGAGGGAGGCTACTTCATGATCGCAGACATCTCCTCTCTCAGTGAGTATTAGTGTACCAGTAAAGTGTGTTTGCTTGTATCTGGTTGTGTTACAATGTCGTTTATCTGTTTGTGAGTGTTGCAATGTGTGTTTTTCACGGATCCGTTTGTGTGACTGTAACAATGTTTCAGCTTCTTCATCAAATTTGTCTTGCTTAATATGGGCATATGAAGTAATGGATGAATGTTGCTTGATATTTCATAACTGTTTTTGTCTGGATGTTATGGTTTTTTCCAAAGAGGTTGACTTGAATGATCCAAGCACTCAGGGTGAAGCTCATGACTACAGATTTGTCAAGTGGCTCATTAAAGAGAAGGTAATAAGAGGGGAGAGGTTTAGGTTGAACTAAATATTGAACACATGTTGACATGATATGGATGATGCATAATGTAATCCTGACCTATGTGTTCTTCATAATGCAGGGTTTGGCCACTATCCCTGTCTCGGCTTTCTACAGCCCTGAGCACCGCAAGGACTTTGAAAACTACGTTCGGTTCTGCTTCGTCAAGGAGGACTCGACGTTGAACGCTGCCGAGGATATCCTCAGAAAGTGGAGGGATGGAAAATGAAGAAAGCACACAGACAACCCTTCCTGTTTTGCCTTTATCCAGCCTAGCTCAAATCAGGTGTTCTCAGTTGAACCGAGCCATATTCAGCACCTATGGATTTATTTACACTGTAGCACTGTAGGAATAGACCTCCATAGGAGCAAGTTATAAGGGATGTTTTCCTTTGTCAATGTACGCTGAGTGTACAAAACATTAGGAACACCTTCCTAATATTGAGTTTCACCCATTTTTGCCCTCAGAACAGCCTCAATTCGTTGGGGCATGGACTCTACATGGACTCTTATCCAAAGCGTTCCACTGGGATGCTGGCACATGTTGACACCAACGCTTCCCACAGTTGTCAATTTGGCTGGATGTCCGTCGGGTGGTGGACCATTCTTGATACACCCGGGAAACTGTTGAGCGTGAAAAACCCAGCAGTGTTGCAGTTCTTGACACAAACCGGTTCACCTGGCATTTACTACCATAACCCAAATAAAGGCACTTCAATATTTTGTCTTGCCCATTAACCCTCTGAATGGCACACATACACAATCGATGTCTCAATGCTTAAAAATCCTTCTTTAACCTGTCTCCTCCCCTTCATCTACACTGATTGAAGTGGATGGTCATAGCTTTCACCTGGATTCATCTGGTCAGTCTGTCATGGAAAGAGCAGGTGTTCCTAATGTTTTGTACACTCGGTGTATAGCTACAATTCTGCGTAGTCAGTCACACACTCCCAGTTCTGATTGTTCTAGTTGGCTGCTTTACATTTTTTGTTCAAACCTGTCCTGATACGGTAGTAATCAACCGCTTACAGTAATCAATCCGTCCTCCATGGATGTGATCACCATGCAGAGTGCACTATAATTTTAGCGCATTAATGTTGATTTTATTAATTTTGTATAACTGCTCTGATTGACAGTCATGCACATTTTAAAATGAGACCAAGGGAAAGTTGCACATTGAATTTGCGGTCTTCTTTGGTAGACATCACTGTATTTGATGTCTTTCAATCTTTTCATGATTTTTTTATCATCAACTGGTGGTCTACTCCTTGAAGAAAAATAGTCCCAATGTATGATTATTTGCATAATACTGTATGCTGATGTTCTTGTCAAATTAAAAAAAATTTGAGCAGCTAGCTTTGAATGAGGACTGCTTTTTATTAAATAATTACTACACTTACCAGGTTTGTGTACATTACATGTTCAGAGCGATCATGGTTGATAAAGGATGGTCGAGGACTTTTATTTTTAAAACGAATTACGTGAACCGGAAGTATATGTCAGTGGTTGTTTTCACGTGTTGGTTGCAGGGAAAGATGACGGACAGCGTTGCATCGAAAAAACCCAAATTGTCCTCTTCGCAGGTATTTTAAACTGGGGACTTCTCACGCTATCTTTTGATGTGTAAAAAAGGCAATTCGTGTCAGACACATAATCTTGAAATTTGATGTACTTTTACGATAACCATTTTACATCGGTTCGCTAGCTAGCATAATGCTAACTAACGTGGTGTGTATGTTATTGTTTTACAGGGCGAGGAGAGAGTAGATTGGAAGAAATGGAAAGCGGAACGTAAATATCCTTAATCCTACATTTTCTTTCTTGTGAAAAATGTGCCTAGTTAATCGCTATGTTTGAGGATTATTGGATATTGTGACATGCGCACTTTTAAATGCGGAATACACATTTCGATTAGATGCATTCAGTTGACTTCCTTTCCTACTATTTGATTTGTGAATCCATGTTTTTTCTTGAATAATAGGAAAAGAGGTCAAGAAGCAAATCAAAGAATCCAAGCTAATTCAACAACTTGACAAGCAGAAGGAAGAGGAGGAGGAGAAGAAGACTGAGGCAGCAATGCAACAGAGTCAGAGGGAAAACCGATCAGGTAATATTGATTAGGTTTTCACCCCACTGGTTATTCCACTATGGTCCCACTATCTTAAAAAAACAAAAACACATTACAATAAAATAATGTATGATTTTGACTCCAGTATCTGTAACCCTAGGACGGTCGTACACAGTGAGTGTGGCCCTGCCTGGTTCTGTCCTGGACAATGCCCAGTCTACAGAACTCCGTACGTACCTGGCTGGACAGATAGCCAGAGCCTGCGTCGTGTTCTGTGTCGACGAGATCATCGTATTTGACGAACAAGACGAGGATGTCAAGTAAGACCTCTGTTTCTATGCATCTTATTTTAGACTCATGTCTTTAATAGTTTGATGCTGTTGTAGATATTAGGTCTTGACAGTGGCAGTATAATGATACTGATCCACAATGTTGTTTTATTTCACAGGACTGTTGACGGAGAATTCAATGGTGTCGGCAAGAAGGGTCAAGCCTGCATTCAACTGGCTAGAATACTCCAGTTCTTGGAATGCCCACAGTAAGTACTGCATTGACTTATAACAGACTGTCAAATGCAGCTGCCGTGTTAATCCTCTTCCTTTTGTGTTATTTTCCAAGGTACCTGCGCAAATCATTCTTCCCAATGCATAAAGATTTACAGTATGCCGGTGAGTGAGTAGCTGTATAACTCAATCTCCATTCCTGGTTTTCCCAACCATATAATTAACATATGTCATAGTGTAAACATTATAACGAATGTTCTAGTACAGCCATAATTGGCCCTAACTATGTGTTGGTGCCTCCCCACCCAGGCTTGCTCAACCCTCTGGACAGCCCTCACCACATGAGGAAGGATGATGAGTGTGAGTACCGGGAGGGAGTGGTCCTCGATCGGCCCAGCAAACCAGGAAAAGGCTCCTTGGTCAACTGTGGAATGTGGAAGGTGAGCAGATGTCTCGATATGGTGATAAAGTACGGTAATGTGCCATAAGAAGAACCATAGGTCAACGGACCGAGAAAGCTGTGTGCTTATATTGAACCCCAACAGGAGCAGGACGTGGTAGAGGACTGATGTCTTTTTCTGCTACTTTTAGGAGGTACAGATAGATAAGCAGCTACAGTCGGGTCTCAGAGTCACTGTCCATATGAACAAAACCCAGAATAAAGGTAGGTCTACATCTGTACATCCAACTCAGTTGTTCCACTGAAACTGATCTTTGATTCCATGAATAGGAGCTTCAGAGAAGTACGTTTCAGTTATTTACTTACAAATATGATGCCGCCCTCATAGTTGCACAATATTTTGTGTGTGTGTTTACACAGATGGTAGACTACACAAAGGGGTGGTGGTGGCGCCTCACAAGCCACGAACAGAGGGAGGTCTGTACTGGGGCTACAGTGTTCGCCTGGCCTCCAGTCTAAGTAGGTGTATTCTTTACATATCCTCCACAACTGGAGACATTCTTTTCAATTTCGTGAGGTTGAGATTTTCATTCTATTTGACGAGTCTCACCTTACCAAGTGTTGATTGGATTGCAGGTAATGTGTTCACTGAGTGTCCACATAAAGAGGGCTATGATCTGACCATTGGAACATCTGATAAAGGCGGAGATGTTGACAAAACCTCTCTTTCTCCATTCAAGTAAGTTCAGAGTATGAGGGCGAGAACTACAAAATGCAAGAAGGTCTGGTGGAAGACCTGTTTACATATATTACTATAACTTTTCTTTGTTTTATATGGTAAACATAACTGGTACCGTAGAATCTGTCAGGAAATAATGGTGCGTGGGTTAACGAGCAGCAGTAGTTCTGGTGTTTGGGTTTTTCATCACTGGTTATTTGGACATATCACAATTTCGCAGGTGTTGGCATTTTTCGAATTTCAGAAGAGGGGACATTTGGCCCATAGGCTTGTATGTAACTTGCAAAGAGAGAGGGGGTGGAGCTCCTCGTTCTGGTTCCGCTCCTCGTTCTAGCATCTCTTCATCCCTGCTCTTAACATGTATGGACCCAGAATCGAGCAGCTGACCAATTAAGCAAGACTTTAATTCTGGGTTACCGAGATGATATATGGCCTAAAACTTTGTTCTGTTTCTCTCTCCCCCCCTCTCTCACTCTCTCTCCCCCCCTCTCTCACTCTCTCTCCCCCCCTCTCTCACTCGCTCTCCCCCCCCTCTCTCACTCCCCCCCCCCCCCCCCCCCCACTCTTTCTCCCCCCACTCTCCAGGCACATGTTGGTTGTGTTTGGTGGTCTGCAGGGCTTGGAGGCCAGTGTGGACGCTGATCAGAACCTGGAGGTGACGGACCCCAGTGTCCTGTTTGACCTGTACCTCAACACCTGCCCCAACCAGGGCAGCAGGACCATCCGCACAGAGGTGAGTGGGGAACAAAGAGGAGTGTGTAGCAGGGGAAGACAGAGGATCGCAAACTGTCGTTCACATGTCTGCTGTAGGTCACTGAGTTATTCCCTGACCAGGAAAGACACTGACAATGGAACATGGTTTCCTTACATCAGGGGTGTCAAACTCATTCCACAGAGGGCCGAGTGTCTGCAGGTTTCAGTTTTTTCGTTTAATTTAAGACTTAGACAACCAGGTAGGGGAGTTCCTTACTAATTAGTGACCTTAATTCATCAATGAAGTACATGGGTGGAGCGAAAACCCGCAGACACTCAGCCTTCCGTGGAATGAGTTTGACAGGTGCCCTACATGGTAAAGGAAAAACTCGGGCCCTTAATGTCATTATATCGGCTGGGAGTTCAATCTGACTGGTCTATTTTGTTTCTCTGATCCATCCCATGTGTAATCCACAGGAGGCCATCCTGATCTCGATGTCCAGCCTGAGGCAGAAAATCACAGCCGCATTTCCAGACGTGTCGACTGGTTCGTAACAGGAAGTGGCCACTGACAAACCATCACTGAGAGGCAGTCTAAAGGATCAACGGGACTATTAATAATTCACGCCTTTGGGGAACTGGGTGAAGCTAACTGACCCAGATGATTTAATATTTATATACTTCTGGGATCAAATGAATGGACATTGCTGGGATCATTGTGTGCTGTAAGCGTCTTTTATTAAAGGATAGCGGATCACAGCACAAGTGAAGAAGAACCCACTGTCTTGGCCATGAGACCTCATCCTTGGTGGTGTTTCCCATCTAGAACAACTGTTACTCTCTGTCTTTGGTAGCTTTTTGCTAGTTAAAGCCAACGCTAGCTTTGCCTTATGTTTCTACTACCCCTCTGTATAGGATTCCAGGTGAATTAAGTCATTTATATGCATGTTTTTTTGTCATTTGTTCTCAAGACACACATTACGGAACATACATGAAGATGAAGTTGCTCAACACAATGCTAACAAATAATGCAATACATTATTTTAGTAATGCTAACAAATACTGCAATACATTTTCGTAATACTAAATACCGCAATACATTATTTTGAATCATTCAAACTCAGACAGCTGCATGCCTAGGGATGTCAGAAGTAAAGGGTCAAACATGACGAGGCAACGTTTGTCCGTGTCATGGTTAGACGGGATAAAACAACTTAGTATCTAATACAGCACAGTTGCGTGAATGCCTTACAGAAGCTCACACACCCCTACATTCAACAGGCATGGTGTGATTCTATTTGCTTGGCATGAACCAACCTAAAGTACAATAAATGTAAGCTTGTGTTCTGATGTTGGTATTTTAACTGTTAATACTTCTAAGCCATACAAGGTTTGATTGGATACGGTAATGCGACAAACATGTCACTGTTAACTTTAGCCATACTGTCTTTAAGCATATAATGTCATTCCTTTAAAGCGGCAATCAGCTGTTGAAACAAGTGTTCTCCCTTCCACTGTTTCGCTAAGGGATGGCGAAATGTAACCACTCAAATTCAGAGCTATGGATGCAAGGACTGACCATCCATGATAACAATTATAGTTTGTTGAGGCTATACAGTGTTTGTTTACAAACATTGGAGTAAAACCAGCTTATATTTTGGGTTCTGACAGGGTAAGAAAGTTGAACTAAGCTCATGAGGCATTTATAAGTTATTTTCTTCAAGAATCAATGGGTACATTAATTTTTAAGTTGAAAAATGGATGTAGCTACTGCAGATTGCCCCTTTAAATCTTTTAACTTCTTGAATAATACAATCTCCCTCAATGGGAAAGTTGACATTATCTTGTTATATTTGAGTGCTTTTGAGGATTTTTTTTTTACAAAAACATTATAAACATGTAAAAATACATCTTTAAATATCAATTTGTTTATTTACAATCAACATTGTCAGTTGCCCTTTTCAAACTTCCTTGCCAAACACCGGAAATACAGTATTTACAAAATCCTGTTAAATGTACATCTTGCACTCTACTTCTCTTTGTATTGATGGCTAGCTTTGTCAACAAACAAAAAACACATTCAGAATTTATATTAATGGTTACAAACCAAGCTCAGCTTCATATTGAAAATAAAATAAAAATACTTTGTCATCACCGAGCTACAGTAACTCACACAGAAATGGCTACCATTCGGAGAAGGTGGCACACAGAGAACTGTGTGGGTCTATAAGAATAATAAAGTATATTCAATTTAATATTGCAGATTGACATAATAGGGCCGACAACAACCATACATGTGCTGGCTTGGATATTTCATTTTCACATTGTCCTTTACAGCACAGTTCCAGCAAATATGGTAGATGCCCAACCAAGCTAGGCTTGTCTCAGCTCAGTAGTGTGAAATGGGTACTCGTGCACTGTCTAGGACCCTGGTCCAGATGTGTGTATCACCTCTCCCAGACCTTGGGCTAACTTTGTTGAAGGAACCAGTCATCTCACCATGTGGGGTGGGCGAAGGTGATGTTATACTGCTTGGCCCAGCGTGCAAACACCTGTTTCTCCGTGATGAAGCGATGGTGGGGCCCCTTCCGGCCCCTCTCGTTCTGCAGGTAGGTCACACACTCATCTGTGCCTCTGGGTTTATAGTAGTGGTAAGGCATCTTCTTGGGCTGGGGCTTTTTCCTGGAAGAAGAGGTGTTACAAATGATTACATTGACAATGTGCTTCAAGACAACCAGCATACATTGGGTAGCAATAACCATAAGGCTCCTTCATAAACAAGGAAGACTGGTGCCCACACATTGTTGAATTATCCCCCCGCTGTTTTATAGTGCAATGTTTCGACCCAAAGGTCTTCGTCAGGCTTCTTTCAGAGACAACCATAATACACAATGTTCTATTATTCATATGAAAGCAATCCTGTCAATTGCAGACAATGGTTCCATAATAATCAGTATAGATGATTAACTAATTGCTCACTAACTACTAATTTATGATTACACACAACAATGTAATAGCCTGATAGATTTAAGTGCTTGATAGATTGATTCATCCTCTTATGTGTAACCTTGTTCATTAGTTTATACTCACCCACAGTGACTGGGCGGAACCATCCCATACACTTTAATATTGTCACACTTCTCTATGGCGATCACCATGGTGAACCAGCCGGTGCTCAACCAGGACTGAGACTTTGCTCTGTGGAAGGAAACCATAGAATAAAATGTTAACAAAAAATAGCATTTTGTAGTTTTTGATAATGGCATTAGATCCCAGAAAAATCTCCACATTGTGCTCAGCATCATTATAGATGAATAGTGCCAAAATAAATTGTATTCATAAATTGAATTCCATATTGAATTTGTACTTAATGATTTTTGCATTATCCCCATTGTTCTGTCACCATATCTGCTTTCCATTCTACCCACCTGTCTCGCCCTGTCTCCTTCTGAAACAGTGTATCAAACTTGTGCATCTTGCTGGGAGTGATGGTAAAGCTGGACAGGTTACTGTAGGTCATGCTGACTCTCTGGATCAGACGGTACAGTGTTCCTTTAGCCTCTCTACCAATCTTGGTGGGTGGTCCCCAGAATATGACTGCAGAATTTGCCTGGCGGTCTGTGAGGTTGAGAAACTCGGCTGGCCGTCGAACCACCCTGAACACGCTGGAGTGAGCCACCACCCTGAGGGTGGTCCGGCTCCCCACGTCACGGTCAAACCCCGTGGTGGGGGCATCGTTCATGCGGATCACACACTGGGCGCGGTCGATGTCAGGTCCGGCCCCGCTGCCCAGCACGTGGCTGGAGCTGGTCACCAGGGCACAGTGGTGGCAGTGCAGTGTCAGACTCTGGAGAGGGAATGCAGAAACAACAACTCAGAAAAAATATACAGTGCATTCGGAAAGTATTCAGACCCCTTGACATTTTCCACTTTGTCACGTTACAGCCTTATTCTAAAATTGATTAAATAGTTGTTTTTTCGTCATCAATCTACACACAATACCCCATAATGACAAAGCAAAAACAGGTTTATAGACATTTTAGCAAATGTATAAATAAATAGGAAAAATAAAATTTACATAAGTATTCAGACCCTTTACTCAGTACTTTGTTGAAGCACCTTTGGCAGTGATTACAGCCTAGATTATTCTTGGGTATGACGCTACAAGCTTGGCACACCTGTATTTGGGGAGTTTCTCCCATTCTTCTCTGCAGATCCTCTCAAGCTCTGCCAGGTTCGATGGGGAGCGTCGCTGCACAGCTATTTTCAGGTCTCTCCAGAGATGTTCGATTGGGTTCAAGTCCAGGCTCTGGCTGGGCCACTCAAGGACATTCAGAGACTTGTCCCGAAGCCACTCCTGCGTTGTCTTGGCTGTGTGCTTAGGGTCGTTGTCCTGTTGGAAGGTGAACCTTCACCCCAGTCTGAGGTCCTGAGCACTCTGGAGCAGGTTTTCATCAAGGATCTCTCCGTACTTTGCTCCGTTCATCTTTCCCTCGATCCTGACTAGTCTCCCAATCCCTGCCGATGAAAAACATCCCCACAGCATGATGCTGCCACCACCATGCTTCACCGCAGGGATTGTGCCAGATTTCCTCCAGTCGTGACGCTTGGACTTCAGGCCAAAGAGTTCAATCTTGGCTCCATCAGACCAGAGAATCTTGTTTCTCATGGTCTGAGAGTTCTTTAGGTGCCTTTTGGCAATCTCCAAGCGGGCTTTTACTGAGGAGTGGCTTCTGTCTGGCCACTCTACCAAAAAGGCCTGATTAGTGGAGTGCTGCAGAAATGGTTGTCCTTCTGGAAGGTTCTCCCATCTCCACAGAGGAACTCTGGAGCTCTGTCAGAGTGACCATTGGGTTCTTGGTCACCTCCCTAACCAAGGCTCTTCTCCCCCAATTGCTCAGTTTGGCGGGCGGCCAGATCTAGGAAGAGTCTTGGTGGTTCCAAACTTCTTCCATTTAAGAATGATGGAGGCTACTGTGTTCTTGGGGACCTTCAATGCTGCAGAATTTCTTTGGTACCCTTCCCCAGATCTGTGCCTCGACACAATCCTTTCTCGGAGCTCTACGGACAATTCCTTTGACGTCATGGCTTGGTTTTTGCTCTGACATGCACTGTCAACTGTGGGACCTTATATAGACAGGTGTGTGCCTTTCCAAATCATATCCAATCAATTGAATTTACCACAGGTGGACTCCAATCAAGTTGTCGAAACATCAAGGATGATCAAAGGAAACAAGGTATTTCTGTTTTTTTTTTATACATTTGCAAAAAAATCTAAAAACCTGTTTTCACTTTGTCATTATGGGGTATTGTGTGTAGATTGATGAGGATTTTTATTTATTTAATACATTTTAGAATAAGGCTGTAACGTAACAAAATGTGGAAAAAGTCAAGGGGTCTGAATATACATTCCGAATGCACTGTAGATAGATAGATCTCCCTCCCCAAAAGTGAGAAGACAAAACAATATAAATAAAAAACAATTAGGAATTACCAGCTATGTATAGTGTTTATTACATTTACATTTTAGTCATTTAGCAGATGCAATGTGCAAATAGTTGTAGTACGAATAGTAGGGGGAAGATAAATAAACAGATACAGTGGGGAAAAAAAGTATTTAGTCAGCCACCAATTGTGCAAGTTCTCCCACTTAAAAAGATGAGAGAGGCCTGTAATTTTTATCATAGGTACACGTCAACTATGACAGACAAATTGAGGGGGAAAAATCCAGATAATCACATTGTAGGATTTTTAATGAATTTATTTGCAAATTATGGTGGAAAATAAGTATTTGGTCACCTACAAACAAGCAAGATTTCTGGCTCTCACAGACCTGTAACTTCTTCTTTAAGAGGCTCCTCTGTCCTCCACTCGTTACCTGTATTAATGGCACCTGTTTGAACTTGTTATCAGTATAAAAGACACCTGACCACAACCTCAAACAGTCACACTCCAAACTCCACTATGGCCAAGACCAAAGAGCTGTCAAAGGACACCAGAAACAAAATTGTAGACCTGCACCAGGCTGGGAAGACTGAATCTGCAATAGGTAAGCAGCTTGGTTTGAAGAAATCAACTGTGGGAACAATTATTAGGAAATGGAAGACATACAAGACCACTGATAATCTCCCACAATCTGGGGCTCCATGCAACATCTCACCCCGTGGGGTCAAAATGATCACAAGAACGGTGAGCAAAAATCCCAGAACCACATGGGGGAACCTAGTGAATGACCTGCAGAGAGCTGGGACCAAAGTAACAAAGCCTACCATCAGTAACACACTACGCCGCCAGGGACTAAAATCCTGCAGTGTCAGACGTGTCCCCCTGCTTAAGCCAGTACATGTCCAGGCCCGTCTGAAGTTTGCTAGAGTGCATTTGGATGATCCAGAAGAGGATTGGGAGAATGTCATATGGTCAGATGAAACCAAAATAGAACCTTTTGGTAAAAACTCAACTCGTCGTGTTTGGAGGATAAAGAATGCTGAGTTGCATCCAAAGAACACCATACCTACTGTGAAGCATGGGGGTGGAAACATCATGCTTTGGGGCTGTTTTTCTGCAAAGGGACCAGGACGACTGATCCGTGTAAAGGAAAGAATGAATGGGGCCATGTATCGTGAGATTTTGAGTGAAAACCTCCTTCCATCAGCAAGGGCATTGAAGATGAAACGTGGCTGGGTCTTTCAGCATGACAATGATCCCAAACACACCGCCCGGGCAACGAAGGAGTGGCTTCGTAAGAAGCATTTCAAGGTCCTGGAGTGGCCTAGCCAGTCTCCAGATCTCAACCCCATTGAAAATCTTTGGAGGGAGTTTAAAGTCCATGTTGCCCAGCGACAGCCCCAAAACATCACTGCTCTAGAGGAGATCTGCATGGAGGAATGGGCCAAAATACCAGCAACAGTGTGTGAAAACCTTGTGAAGACTTACAGAAAAGTTTGACCTGTATCATTGACCTGTATCTTTTTTTCCCCACTGTAAATATTGGTGGTATTTACAATGTTTGTGCTGCACTCGTTGCTGCTGTGATTGCACACCGCTGCGATATTTTTTATATTTTTTATTTCACCTAACAGATATGGGAGTTCATCAATGCTTGATTTCTTTTCAAATTCTTTGTGGGTCCGTGTAATCTGTGGGAAATACAGTATGTATCTCTAAGGTGGTCATACATTTGGCAGGAAGTTAGTAAGTGCAGCTCAGTTTCCACCTCATTTTGTGGGCAGTGTGCAGATAGCCTGTCTTCTCTCGAGAGCCAGGTCTGCCTATGGCGGCCTCTCTCAATAGCAAGGCTATGCTCAAAGAGTCTGTACATAGTCAAGGATGTTCTTAATTTTGGGTCAGTCACTGTGGTCAGGTATTCTAGTCCTGTGTACTCTGTTTAGGGTCAGATATAATTCCATGCATTGTTTGGGGTTTTGCGTTGCACACAAAGTATATTGTTGCAGAATTCTGCATGCATTGTCTCAATTGGGTGTTTGAACTTGTCCCTGTCTCACCCCACGGCCCTGTGGAAAGAAATGTGTGTGTTTATTGCCAATTTTAACCGCACACTTGTTGTTTGTGTACATGGATTTTATAATGTCGTATGTTATTCCCCCAACACCACTTTACATCCATTTGTATAGCAGACCCTCATGCCAAATTGAGTCAAAAGCTTTTTTTAAATAAACAAAGCATGAGAAGACTTTGCTTTTGTTTTGTTTGTTTGTCAATAAGGGTGTGCAGGGTGTATACGTGGTCTGTCGTACGTTATTTTGGTAGAAAGCCAATTTGACGTTTGCTCAGGACATTGTTTTCACTGAGGAAATGTTGGAGTCTGCTGTTGATGATACTGCAGAGGATTTTTCCAAGATGACTGGATGCAGATTCCACAGTAATTATTGGGGTCAAATTTGTCTCAACTTTTGTAGATTGGGGTGATCAGACCTTGGTTCCAAATATTGGGGAAGATACCAGAGCTGAGGATAATGTTGGAGAGTTTAAGAATAGCACATTTGAATTTGTGGTCTGTATATTTTATCATTTTGTTTAGTGTACCATCAACACCACAGGGCTTTTTGGGTTGGAGGGTTTGTATTTTGTCCTGTAGCATATCCAATGTAATTGGAGAATCCAGTGGGTTCTGGTAGTCTTTAATAGCTGATTCTAAGTTTTGTAAATTATCTTGTATGGGTAAACCATTTCTCCAACCTTTTCGGCCATAGAACAAAGAGCAAAACATATACATCTCCATTTTGGATAGATAGCTCTTCGTGTTGTATGTTTAGTGTGTTCCTATTTTCCCAGAAGTTATTTGATTCTATGGATTCTTTAATCACATTGAGCTGTTTTCTGACATGATGTTCCTTATTTTTTCTTAGTGTATTTATGTATTGTTTCACCATAGTGAAGGCGTAAGCTAAGGTTTTCTGGTTCTCTCTGTTTTTGGTTGGATAGGTTTCTCAATTTCTTTCTTAGGTTTCTGCATTCTTCATCAAACCATTTCTCATTGTTGTTAGTTTTAGGTTTTCTGCTTGAAATTAAATGTGATATGTTAGCTGATAGGTCAAATATACTGTTCAGGCTTCCTACTGCTAAGTTTACACCTGCACTATTGCAGGGAAACATTTTGTCAAGGAAGTTGTCTAGGAGGGATTGGATTCGTTGTTAGCCAATTGTTTTTTGGTAGGTTTCTACACTACCCTCCTTCCATCTATAACATTTCTTAAAAGCATGCAGTTTGCTCGGCTTCGATGCCTTATGGTTGAGTATTGCTCTGTTCAAGTAGATTGTGATTTGATAGTGGTGTCTCAGCGGGCCGACTGAATGCTCTGAGAGACTCTGGGTTGAGGTCGGTGATAAAGTAGTCTACTGTACTACTGCCAAGAGATAAGCTATAGGTGTACCTACCATAGGAGTCCCCTCGAAGCCTACCATTGAGTATGTACAGACCCAGCTTGCGACAGAGCTGCAGGAGTTGTTGGTTGTTTTGTCATAGTTGTATCTAGGGGGGCATATTGGGGAGGGGATGCTGTCACCTCTAGTTAGGTGTTTGTCTCCCTGTGTTTTCTCTCTCTCTCTCTCGCTCTCTGAAAACTCAGTGGAAGTTAAATAGTAGTTCGAAACAAAAGCTCACCACAGTCATACACAAAGCAGCTACATGAACACAGCTGTATGGATTGTGCAACAAGTTTTTTTTACTCGATTTGGACAGGAGTTGTTCCTAAAATGCATTTGTGTCTGTTTTTGGGCTATGCATTATTGTTTCTATGGATCATGCGGTAGAGACTATAATCCACCCACTACTACTATTTAGCCAGTGCTAAGCATTTTTTGTCCACCACTTCAACTTGACCCCGCAAGTGTGAGCAGAACAGGGTTCAAATTAACCCATTTCTTTAATGTTCTGTTTTTATACAAGATGTAGCCTTCTTGACCAGGTCTCTTGGATTAAATGGAGGTTCCATAGATTTTCTCTGTAATTCCAACCCTGAGTGTAAATTACCTTGTTTCCATAGACAGCCACATAGCCCTCCTTCCCTGCCCATTTCTTGAGGTCAGTGACCTTGATGGCGTGATGAGGCGAGGACGCCCGGAAGGGACTGTAGAAGGGACTGATGTCGTTGCCGCTGTTGGAGCTAAAGAGGATGAGGAGGGTCATCAGGAGGAAGATGGCTCCGAAGATCACCATCTTCTGGCTCTGAGGCCCTTGCTGCCAAAGATAGGGGGAACCGTTTATATAATGTACATCAATGTTAGTGCTGTGTTTTCTGTCAATGTTAGTCTCCTGTGACAGACTGTTACATAAATGTAACAAATTGAGTAGCTGACCAGCATGTACACTGTATTTGGTTCTGGGTGCAGAAATCAATGTTAGTGCTTTGTTGTCTATCTGATTTATAGTAATGAAAAACAACCTCTAAAAGGCAGTTCAAATGCCAGTTGCCGTTCTGAGAGCAACTCGAGTTCAGGTTTATTTACCATCTGTGCACATAATATGTGACCAAATTTTTTTACAAAGCATACAGATAGGGCTATTATGCATAGTGCATCAGTAATAATATTTGATGGCAAATTCTACAAAAAAACAAAAAACAAATACATTTCAAGTAAGAGTATATCAATGCTCAGAATGACCTTACCTTGTCAACCAGCCTCAGCCCCATGCTTTCAAGTCAGGCTGAGCTACATTACATGTTCTGTGCTTTTCTGGTCACCACCCCTGTCAAGAGGCAGATGTTCCATAGTGAATACACGCTATAATATTTCAGGCTGCCATCTTGTGTGCTTATTGTAAATAGGTCGTTTTCAATAAAACGTCACAATAGGTTGTTTTTCGTTCGATTTGCCTGCTCCGCTAAAACCAGTGACAACTGCTTGCCGTTGTTAAATAAATGGGAACTATTTAGTTGTAATATCATCACCTCTTGAAGAGCATTGTCAGACCTACACATTTCCGATTATTCCATGCAAAACAATTGCGCACATTTAGCTCTGTCATCAGAGTTATACAGCAAGTAACTGCATGCTTTTCATGATTAGTAAACATCAATTGATCATGTAATTTCAGATACGTAGGGTAGCCTCACGATATCGCTCAATATTGGCCACCATTAATTGGATATTTGAGTGATATAAATTAAAAATTAATTGTACCTTACAAGTATGGGTGGTTTAGGTTCATTTCAAATATTTTGTGGGCTCTGCCTGTCAAACAACAGAAGGGCGCATTTGCCATGGGACAGTTAGTTGAAATTTACTTTGCAAGCTACAGTTGGCTAAACATGTAGTTAGTGTGGTAAGTAGACCTAATGTACTGTTTTCTCCAACCAATGTAGGCCTACCTAGCGAAGTTTGCTAACATTATCCCCTTTTCAACATAGTTTTTTAAGAATGTTTAATTATGATTGCAGCTGACAGACATGATATACCGATATAGGCTACATTGATTGATGGACCATGTCAAATTGGCTAGCTAAAAACAGATCATGTCAAATATGGCTAGCAAGCTAGTTAACAAGCGAACTTTCAGGGTTAAACTAGATGAGTATATCCAAATATTGTTTGATTTGCTTGCCGTCTATAGTGGCGATGAAATTTAAGAACGGCAAGCATAGAAATAGTACACATGGAACAGCTCTACCGCTTCTTAGACTCCAATGAGAATGACAGATCTACAACACACATTTCTATGTGAATTTGGTAGGGTCGCCCAAAAAGTTACATATTGCGATCCCTTTAAAACGGCAAGTAGTTGTCAATGGTTTTAGCGGATCTGGGGGTCTCCTTGCCCCCCAGAAGCAAAATCAAACATACAGTAGCCTATTGTGACGTTTTATTGAAAAAGACCTATAAGAACCCTATGATATGGTAGCAGAGAAACATTTTCACAATTGTCTCAGGAAATAATACAGAATAATGTATTGTGGTTATAGGCATATTGCTTACTAAAATGCATTCTCAAGAATTTGACAACCATAATCTTTTTTTATTTTCTTTCGTTTTTTGTTTTTCCAACTGATATCATACATCTAGGCCCTATCCGTTTGACAGTGGTTTATCAAAACAAACACCTCCGGTTTAAATAAACAGGCATATCTATTGCACATATTTAATTTTAGCGCACTGACATTTGTTTTGACACAACTGTAATTATGAGCCTATCAAAATCTAAATATGAAAATGCTATAGAATAAGCTATTGTTATGGGGGACATGACAATATTCTGGCGCAGACCTAAACCCGTTGTCTTACTGCTCACGTAGGCTATCAGATATGATTCTTGTTGACACCATAAATAGCTCTATTCTAAGCCATAATAGCGGGAAATGGCTGTCATTCAACAATTACTGTAGAATAATGACTAAATGAAATGAACACGAGGTTTTCTTACCTATTTGTTTTTTTATCCATATGAGATCCGTGCATCGTTGACGTTTGATCTGTCGGCGCGTCCCCCATCTTCCTACACTATCGTAGGAGGGGACTCGCTTGCGTCATCAACATTTCAGCGCTGCAGTGTAAATGATTATTAGGAACTTTATAAATAATTTATACAAGACAAAAAGGCTAGTATTTGAAAATGTACATAGTATATTTCAGTGTTGGGAAAACCAGACACCACTTCAGAATAAACAAGAGAAAACAACACAATACTGTATTTATAATATATAATATATTTATAATACATTTCTTTGGAATCAGACACAACAACAACATCATTAAGTAATTAAAAAAGGCAGGTAAAGAGCATTTCATATTTCCTAAAAGAGAGGACTATAACAGCTGCAAATAATCCAGTGAGAACACATGCACACAAGTCCACACAATCAAATGGGATTTTCCATTGAACATGATTGTAGCACTATCAAACTTTGTAAATATCATTAAGACATTCAGAATATAAGGCATATCAGACCTTGTATAAAAGTAACATTAAACAATTTACATTGTCATGCAACAACACATTTTGTTTAAAGTCAACATGTATGAAATGTCAGACAAAAATAGGAAGGTAAAGAAAAAGGCCCACTTTTTGGGGAGGAGTGTCTCTCTACTCATAACATTTAAAGCCATTCCATTGGACATCAATCCAGGCCTCTGCAAAACCAATCAAATCAACAAAAGAGTTTCTCTTTGCGATCAGATTTATCTGATAGTAAATGATCAGCACATTATTACATTTCAGTGACACTAAATTCATGATTCTTGTTACATTTGGACCATGACATAATAAATATATGTGAAAGTTTGAAATGCTGTTAAGACTAAACTCTGATAGGAAACAATGTTTCATTACATTGAAATACACAGACATGCAGCAGAGAACAGGAAAACACATAATACGTTGCTGAAACATTCAGTCAGTGCATCATAAAAGCTACATTAAATGACAAAACATTGGATCTTCAGAGTGCAGAAATTAAAAGGCATAATTAAGACAAACAAACAAAGGCATCAAGTTTGTTCAAACACTAACAATCAAATATGATTTGGCATCACTAGACCTACCAATAGCAGTTTCAATTTAATAGTGGTTCGAATACTGTACTTTAGCCATAGGCTAAAGGTCTAAGATTAGAAATATGAGCACTTTGACACATGTAAAAATTTGGCAGTTTGATGCTTGACTATTGAATACAATGTTTTGAACACCATTTAGGCTGTGTCAGAAATATTATAACTAATACTGCAGCCCCATGAAGGATTAACATCATTTGACTCTCATACTGCACAGAATTCCCCCTCAATGGGATCATACGGGGGTCAGAGGTCAACAAAGATCAAAAAGGGTCACCAGGCACAACACTCAGGGGTCATGTTTCCTCTCCTGCAGGTTCCAGGTGGGGTGTTTGAACTCCACCCTGTGGTGGGAGGCCCACCGGGCATAGATGGCCTTCTCGGTGATGAAGCGATGGCCGCCGCGGCGTGCGTGCTCGTGCATCCGGTACATGCGGCACTCATCCATTCGGCTCCCCTCGTAGTAATGGTAGGGAGCAACACTGTGATTGGCACGGCTACAGAGAAGCATGAAAGGGGTGTGGTTAATAGTCATATACATCCAATCAATCCCAATAACTCTCAGTACAATGTGGTGTAACACAAAACAGGGTAATCTCAGGCTAGTTGACAGCTAGTTCAGGGTTCCTGTTTATTTTATTCAAATAATCTCAAAACGGAATAAATGTACTATTACACCAGAATAAATGTCCTATTACACCAGAATAAATGTCCTATTACACCAGAATAAATGTGCTATTACACCAGAATAAATGTGCTATTACACCAGAATAAATGTCCTATTACACCAGAATAAATGTGCTATTAAACAAGTAGTTGCTTCCACATCTTTTTCAAATAACTCACCTGCAGTAGTTATCGTCGATCATCCCATAGACGTGAATACTGTCACACATGTCCATGGCCAGGATCATGGTGAAGAAACCAGTGCTGAGAAAAGCACCTGAATTCATTCTGAAACAGAGAAAACTCATAATAAGAATAGCAGCATTGCCATCTTGGTCGTGTTCATTTGGCACCAAACAGAAGAAAATGGACTGAAAAAGGAAGGGACTACCTGGACTTGACCGATAAGAAACTGTCATTTTTTTTCTCCATTTTGTACCCTAATTAACATGACCCTTGAGTGCTTGAGGAGGCCATTATTTACCTGTTTTTCCCCGTCTCGTTCTGAAAAACACTGTCACAGTACTGGATCTTCTCCCGAGTCACCATGTACATTTTGACCTGCGGGTACTTTGTGGCCATCTTCATCAAGGCATTAAAAACACGCCCTTTCCCATCCTGCCTCATGTTCCGCTCAGGACCCCAGAACACGTAGGTGGTGTCTGCAGAGTGCCTGAAGTAATAGCTCTCATTTTTGATCAGCAGGGGAACACTGGTGTGCGATACGACCCTTAGACTGGTTCTGCTCCCTACGTCCCTCTCATAGCCCAGCGTGGGGGCGTTGTTCATACGGATCACACATCCCATTTGGTCAATCTCCTCTCTGAGACCCGCCCCCTGCATCTGGCCCGAGCTGGACACCAAGGCACACTGGCGGCAGTGCATCTTCAGAAACTGGAGGGAGAGAATAGGGCATAATATCAGATGAGGTGAAAATGTATTGATGTGGTTACATCAACATATAGTATATGTTTCTTTCTGGCTGAAGGTGTTGGCAAGTGGAACAAGACATGGGCTGTGTTCATTCGGCACCAAAACCAAAGAAAATAGACTGAAACAGGGAGGGACTACCTGGACTTGTCCAATAGAAACGCAAATTGTAATTTTCTGTTGCAAAACACAAAGCAGACCTCTGCAAATCAACGCTCACCTGTTCCATCTTGTCAGGGGTGATGCTGAGGTATCCTTGGAGACCCATGTTGACCATGCTGGTGGACCCATCTGATCTGGTCATGTGGACGTACCATAACAACACTGACAGTGTTACAATAACCAGACAAATCCAGTGGAACCTCTGTGGACATCAGATGAACAGGCTAAATAACTGTAGTCAGTGTGCATAGGAAGCAGTTGTTACTGTAATAATGATGAGGAGTAGGAAACAAGATGTAATGTTTACCTGAGACTTCATATCGTTTAGAGACCTCTGGGCCCGGCCCTAATGGATTTCATCACTATTGGTGGGAGATGAGTTGGCTATCTCACCTGTTGAATAAAAACGACTACCGTTAATTTGACAACTGACAATTCAAGTTTATTCAATAGCACATTTAAAACCATTGTAGGGAGTTCACTTCAGTGCGCATCGGTCGACATGATGACCAATCGAACCGCGTTAGCTAGCTAGTTAGTTAGCTAGTTAGCTAGCTAGCTAGTTAGCTTTAGCTAGCTAGTTAGCTATCATCATGACCAATCAATTAACAGAAACGTTGACCAAACGAATAACCGACTGTTTGTAATTATTATTATAATACGTTAACATGGAATAAGAAGATAAATGTTAAGCTAACTAACCTCATATTTTCCTTATTGTGAGTGATGGTGTTACGCATATTATGTTCAGTCAGTGAATACATCCTGGATAGCGTAGTTCCTTCTTCTTCAGTGGGGTTTATCGGCGGTTGGCATCCAATGTTATGGTGCATTACCGCCTACTGTACTGGAGTGTGGGCCAGCGACAGAGAAACTAAATCCTACCTGCCAGCCCCGTTGCTCTTAAAAAAGATAACAAAATATTTGAGATTATATCTAATCACGTTCTACTCAATATACTATTTAAACTAACTTCCTGTATCCCCTTCTCCCTCATACTAGATCTCATCCTCTCTCTTTCCCTCTGATACTACCCACACTGTAGCAATACATGCTCCACGGTCTCTGTTTCCTGACAAAAATCACACTTTCCTGTTGGATGCTTTCCTATCACATTTAATGTCTTATTCAACTGGCTGTGTCCCATCCTTCATCTTGTAAAAATAGCCTCCTCTCTTCTGTCCCTTCCTGCCGTCCTCCCCTTTCCTCTGTACTTGAAATAAATGCCTTCCCTTATTATCTCTATTCCGCTGCTCCTGCCATCTCTGCACCATCACTGTATATATCAGTCTTTTTGCCTCTGCCTTGCTCATTGAAACTTCAACATCAACATTCCCACTACTAAGTGCTTGTTTAGCCTGTTCATCTACTGCCTCGTTCCCCTCCACCCCCACATGAGCGGGGACCCAAGTAAATCTTATCTGAATACCTATCTGTTTAATCCTGCCATGGGATTGTAGCACAGTTTAGTGCCTTCTTCTTCTTCTTCTTCTTCTTCGATGAGGTTTAATGGCGGTTGGATACCAATATGTTGCATTACCGCCACCTACTAGACTGGAGTACAACTCCCTTATATTTTGCTTAAAAATTAACATAAACAAATTTAAACTCTACTATCTAACACTACACTCACAAATTCCACAAAAAAAAAAATATATAAAATACAATTAACAGCACCCAACTCCACTATTTAAATCTATTTATTCCTAGCTCATGCCCTCAACCTGAAAGGATGGGACATCACCATTTAACACACCCTGTAACTCTTCTGAAGTCAAGTCTCACACACCCAAATACCTCTCTGCAGCTGCCACAACAACCTCAATTTTCTTCGACTTACGTTCCATCCCTGTAGTACAATGCTAAAAATCCAATCTTACTGAAACATAAATCACTTCTTGGCCTATCCCTCTGTACTGGTACATATCTACTACTCTCACCACTCCTCCCCCTTGACCCATCTTCCTCTACTTTCTTCACTGCCTCAGCATATGACAACTTCTGCACTACTCTTGATGAATATTTTTTTCAGTAAACTATTAGATAAACAAAGTTAATTACTGACATGACGAACATAGAGTCAAAATTCTCTGTTGCTAGGCAATAACTTAATTGGTTCCTTTCACTAGGTTTGTGTGTGTGTGAAATGGGGATCTGACCTTGGGTCGAATTCCTCGCTCTTACCTAATACATGGCTGTCCTACCTTATCAGGGACTGAAACCAGACTGTTGCCCTTTGCCTCTCTCCTCAAACAAAGTAGAGAGAGCGGAGACAGAGTTGAACAGAGTTTAGACTAATCATAAGTAATTACAGCATGACGGAAGGGAAGAGAGGAGTGGGTTTAGGTACGTTTGAAAGATTGAGTGTGGACCTGTCATGTCCAACAATCAATCTTCAGGTCAAGCCAGGGTGAGCCGGGGTTGAACAGAGTTTAAACTGAACATGATTATTTTTGCATAACAAGGGATTGATTGATTGTACTACTATTGATTCTAAACTGAATAAAAGTCCAATTTAGCCACTATCATAGACTAAGGAAGTGGGCGGAGTGGTAGAGAGAGGGAAACTGAGGATGGTGGTGGGGGAACCCAAGAGGGAGGGGCTTTAAGCTAAGATGTATGTGAATATGACTATATAAATGGAGAGCTGAGAGGTAGACGAGAGTTGCTCTGCAGACCAGCTCAGCTTTAGTTGCTCTATGTAATAAAGTCTATCTTGATTCTACAAAAACTCTGGAAGAACTTTGATTTTTAAGAAGTATAGTGATAATTTTCCACATCATATTGGCACCCCAGACGGGACTGGAAAGAGACCATTGGGGTACTTATACCATCGGAAAAAGTTTGGACGAATCACACACAAAAATACAGTGGCCACTGTTAATAGAGGAAAGCGACGTTCTTACTTTTAACATAGAAATTGTGTGATTCGATCAAGCTGAATTTGAGGGTAAGGTACGGGAGGGGTCTCTCCAGTATTAAGGACTACATTTAGGAAAAGTACAGAGTTTTTGTTGGAATGAGAAATAAGCATGCATGCAATGTTATTGTTTATAAGTGTGTAAATAAGTTAAATCCTGTGGATACCGCTTTGAAGAGCTAAGGTTAGCACTCCAGAGGGCTGAACGGGCAGGTGGCTAGCCAGTACGTGAATAGGTGCCTATGGTTACCGCTCTAACGTGGAGTTCATTGTTAGAGGCTGCTCGGGGGTAGGTGGTGCATCATCCTGTGGTGTGGTGATGCAAAAGTTAGACAGGGCCAATCGGGTAAAGAAGTAGGTCATCCTGAGTAGGTGAGACCATAAATTGGAAGTAGCGCCGGTCATCCAGAGTAGGTGAACAGTTGTGAAATAGCCACTAGGGCTTCAAAATATAAAGAAAGTGTTAAATAGAGTAGGTCTGCTCAACTCGTGCGGGTGAATGGTTTGCTTGAGTGGCTGTGGTTCATTCAATTGTGATTAAGTTGTATGTTTCATCTGTCTCATTCAGGTTGCTCATTTGGTCAGCTTGATCAATTTGTGTGGTTCGGTTGTTTTGTCTGACTCGTTTTGTACAAGACTGGTTTGTTGGACCTGCTTGGGTTTGCGAAAGCAACTCTTTCATCTTTGTCCACTGGTCTGACTCAATTCGTGCATTCAATCTGTCGAATTCACTCAGTTGTTCATCTGATGTATTTGTTCAATTCTTCTGTTTCATTTGTTTGTCCTGCTGGTCATTCTGTCTGATTCATTTAAGCACGAGTGGCTGCTTATCTGTGTGAGTGATCAGACAATAATAAGAAATCCTGCAAATAATAGCCTTTTTTGTGTGGAGGTAGTGTCAGGAAAGGGACTATATTTGAGGTTGCTTGAAGCTTCTGTGTGTGGAAAATTCACATTACTAGGAGGGGTAAAATAAATCCTGTTGGAGGAACAGGTCACGTGTACCGGTGTGATAGTATGACGTCTACACATTGTATTTCGGCCAATCTTTTAGGGTGGTTTCGGACATTATATTTGGAAAATTTAGAAGTGATGTAGGATTATGGTAAAGTTGACCACAGTAAAATAATAAGTGTGATAGGGTTAACATTCCAAATTTGGGCCCTTTTATAGAAGAAAATATTCCTATAGGTTATACAAATAGTGTTAAAGCGTGTTTGAGAACAACATTGCGTGAATGTGATATGAGAATGGTATAAATGTGGAAAATGAGTCGCACTCTGAAGTTTGAATAATGAGATATACAGTGAGGGGAAAAAAGTATTTGATCCCCTGCTGATTTTGTACATTTGCCCACTGACAAAGAAATGATCAGTCTATAATTTTAATGGTAGGTTTATTTGAACAATGAGAGACAGAATAACAACAAAAAAATCCAGAAAAACGCATGTCAAAAATGTTACAAATTGATTTGGTCCTTAAATGAAACTGATATACCTTTTTATTTATCATAGTTTTCCTTAACCAATTATGTTCTTTAATGCAAGGCCGACAGACAAGTTCCTTACTTTCTCCTCCTTCCACTTTCCTCTTCCATTTTTGCGGTAAGGCTGCAATTATTTGGTTGTAATTTTGGGTGGAGCAAACATTTCCATATGTTTTTGTTAGCTGCATGTGCGACATAACTCCACCAGTCCTACCGATAATATCATTTACAAAGATTATACCTTTTTTAAACATTTTGTCAAAAAATATAGTTTTTTTGTCAATTTAGTATATTTGAGTTTAACCACAATATTTGTTGCATTATTTGTTCTGTCGTTTCTGGAGAATTAAATTGAAATTGCAACCAATTTTCTATGGCTTGTTTTAGAAATAGTGATATCTGGGAGATGATTTCCTTTTCAAATAACTGAAAGTGAGTGGTTGTAATCTGAATAAAGGGAAAAAGACCATTCTTGAACATTGGGTGAGACAATCTTACTAATTTGCTAGAGAACCAGTTCGGATTTAAGTATAACTTTTGTATGACTGAAGCTTTTAGTGATAGGTCTAATGCTTTAATATTTAATCATTTCTGTCCCCCGAATTCATATTCATTATATAAATAGGCACATTTAATTTTGCCGTTCCAAATAAAATGGAATATTTTTTTCTCATATAATTTAAAAAACTGTTCGCTAGGCGTAGGCAAGACCATAAGCAAATAGGTAAACTGGGATAATACTAATGAGTTAATCAGGGTGATTTTTCCACAAATTGACAGGCACCCACCTTTCCATGGTAGCAAGATTTTATCTATTTTTGCTAACTTTCTATTATAATTTATTGAAGTGAGATCATTTATTTCCTTTGGGATATGTATTCTGAGTATATCCACATCACCATCAGACCATTTTATTGGTAAACTACATGGTAATGTAAAAATTGTATTTTTTATTGATCCAATACGCAATATAGTACATTTGTCATAATTTGGTTGTAATCCAGAGAGGTTAGAAAATGTATCTAGATCCTCTATGAGGCTGTGGAGTGATTCTAGTTGTGGATTTAAAAGAAAACATTAATCATAAGCGTACAATGACACCTTTGTTTTTAAGCCCTGGATTTCTAATCCCCTGATATTATTGTTGGATCTGATTTTAATAGCTAACATCTCGATGGCCACAATAAATAGATATGCCGATAGTGGACAACCTTGTTTCACTCCTCTTGACAGTTTAAAACTTTCTGAGAAATAGCCATTATTTACTATTTTACACCTAGGGTTACTATACATGATTTTGACCCATTTTATAAGAGATTCACCAAAATTGAAATGCTCCAGGCATTTATATATAAACCCCAGTCGTACTTTATCAAATGCCTTTTCGAA